CAGAAAAAAACAAACCAAATGTTTAGAGCTTTATCACAAAGACAAAAATGACTAGAAACTAATATTCCTCGTATAATAATCTGATTTAGTTTTTGCTCAGAGGCAGTAATTACCTTTTTTGGCCTTGGTCCTTTTGGTCTGTCGGGTGTCAGTATCTCTGGTCGCTACTCTCCGTCTGTAAGTTTCGGTGTAACTCTCAGTCTGGGTCCCGTTGTCTTGTACTAAGACAGGTGAGGACTCAGACTGCAGGTTACCCACAATCTGATTCATATTATAGCTGCTTCCAGAGCTACCTGAGTCTTTTTCATGACCATGTATCTGCCTTTTGAAGACACTAAAATGAAGAAAGACAGAAAAGGTTAAAAACGTTTGGTGACAGTGTATGTGTTGTATTTCAGGAATATAAGGCATTAATCTTGGTACAAAACATTGGCATAGAACACTGAAAATTACCGAGATATCCTTTCTCTGTAGGAACATTGTGGAGTTCCGTTTTCTGTGTAATAGCCTGCTTCTATCAGGCGAAGACTTCTTCTGGGAGTCGCTGAGTTCATCTTTCTTTTTCTGAGGTGACTTGTAAAAATCTCCGTAGAAATGTTTAAGATGTGGCTTAATGTCGGTGGTTTTAAATAGAAGTTATTCTAACTGTCATGACATGAATAGGAACATGAACACGACTCAAAGATCAAAGCACACTTTCATGTTCTTGTCATGATGTCATGTTCTTTGATCTATGGTTGCTAGGCAACACATTTTAGACAACAAATCTTGACAGAACATGACTGTTCATGTTCTTTGATCTATGGTTGCTAGGCAACACATTTTAGACAACAAACCTTGACAGAACAGGCATCTGTATAAATATATTAACCAATAAATAGATAAACAAATAAAACAACAAATAATTAAAAAAGAATGCATAATTTTCTGTTTGACATTGACTATTCAATTGTAGTTATTTTAAAATATTAGTGTCAAAAACTTCGGACTTGCTAAAATTAATATAGTGTCTTTTTTTTTTATTGAGCGGTGCTGCTGTAAGTCAGAAAATAAATATCAAATACCAAGTAAGATAGTTTTTGGGGTCAAACTAACAATAAAACAGTTCAAATGATCCATTATAAGTTCTGCATTGAAATCACTACCTCTTCACCACACATCCCCCCTGCTTGTTACCAGGCTGTAGATGTTTAGATCTTGACACTCAGCATTGATTAAAACATTTTTTTTTTATACTAAAATGGTATGATTACATTTTTTTTTTTTTTAGGTCTGTCTGATTTTATGAAAGTAGCCAAGGGTCAAGGTAGACAGGAATGAATTGGGGTCATGGTAAAAAAGGATGAATCAGGGTTGAGGGAGGTGGATTTAAGTGTATTTTGTGGTGTGGAGGGATGAGAGGGTGGCTTAACTGTGAGAAATGAGGGCGATACATTAGCATTCCCCCAACTGAAATGCGTACCCCTTCTCTTATTTAAACTAAATGTGGAGGACGCTGATCCTCAATATTGAAGTGCAGCTAGTGGGCATAACTTAGCCTTAACCCTTCACAAACCATGTCCTTTAATACCCTCACAGCATGACCATGTAAAAATAAAAAAATTAAATAGGCTGCGTCAGTGCATCTTGGCTCATTTGCATACTAAACAGTGATTGGATGTTTACGAATGGGAAGGGAGGGACATTAGAAAACATTAGACAAGACCTTCAAACTTCTTCAAAACCTAAAATTTCTTCAAAAGTAAAACCATTTTGGAATTTAAAAGGAGATAGCATAAATGACTTGAAGCAAGGTTCTGCCCCCTTGATTTGATTTAATTAAAACATGTAAAGAACATTAATCTATACATAAAACTACATTTTCCAAGTCCCACCTTAAATTTTCAATTTTAATGAAGGACTTTAACATAATTTTTGGTATATTAAATTCAAATTAAAATAACAAAAGTGAAAGCACATGGTAATTATTTGTGGAAATAAGTAATGTAGCCCCTAACTAAGTTGTACTTTTGACTGTAGAGGGCTGAATCATTATAATGCTAAAATAAGATGATCCCACTTTTGTAATTCCTGACCATGGTTTCTCGCTTTCTCCTCTCCTTTAAACCACTCTTTTCTGTTAAAGTCAAAATTTCTGTATGACAACTGCTGATAAGCAGACTCTCTATGTTAATTTTAATCCCTTTTAAACATGTGACAACTAACCCCAAAATGACTGCGACATGTTGCCCCAAACTACCGTGTTTGCTAATTAAAGCTCTATCTTAAACTTATCTTAAAACAGAACAATGACTGAGGTATGACAGGATGTCTTAATCTCGCTTCTAACAAGTCCACATGTTTCACTGCTAGGATTTTTATCTGGAAGAAGCTTATATTAAAATAAATAAAGTTAATTTTTTTTCTTTTGGGTTGGTGCTCATCTCAGCTCACAATTCACTCCTCTCTTCTCAGACAGGACACGACCCCTGACCATGTAAAGGAAGAAAACTAGTATTCCGCTTTTTAGTTATGCCCTCTGGTGGCAAAGATAATTGCACTGTGACAACTTACCTGTGTGACAACAAGCCCCGGTCTCCCCTATTCAAGAATTAGGCCATCCAGTTAAGATAAATGTTATGTTGTTGGTTGTTAAAATCTGGATGAAAGATATTTTTTTTCTACTTTTCATTTTTATTTTTCGATTTCCCCCCTGAGGGATTGCCACCTTATTGTGGTCAGGGGGTTTGTGTGCCTCAGCGACCCTAAGCGACCAGCAGGAGCTATAGTCTTCAGGTGGGACACCCAAGTTCGACAGGTCTTAAGGTAGAGGCCTGACAGAGTGCAATCCACTTCTCCAAGTTGAGAGCTAGACACACAGCTAACAACCCATGCCTTGAAGAAAACACCAACAGTGTTAAAAATGTGTAAAAAAAAAAAGAAAAAGAAAAGAAAAAAAACAAAACCCTAACATTTTTGACTGCACCCTCATATGTGCATTCCTAGAACTAGCCCTGTTCAGGATTCAGTTCAATTCATAGCTTCTAGGCTGGGAGATGAGAGTGTTGTGGCTGTGTTGCTTTGACAAACAGGTTTGTAAAAATGAAATTGTTTATAAATCATGAGGTTTTAAGTGTACTGTCCAATGGTATGCTATTTATCAGGTTTGCTCAGTAAATTGGGCTCAGTGAGTGATTTGTTCACGAAAATGATTAAAAGAATTCACACTGAACATGCACCGTTCCCTTGCAAACCGCTGCAATGATTGGATACTGCAGGTTTTATGCACTACTTGTTACATGCTGTGTCCTATTGTATGCAAGTTGTTCTGGTGGCAAAAAAAGTTAGTTTTGTCAGACAAAAATGATTACAGAGTGTAGTTCACTGCGTGATTCGTTCACCAAGTGATTCAGGCGTCAGTGCATGCGGTCCCTCGTTCGCCGGCTGCTCACTTGACAATGCTGCGTGCTATAGCAGCTGCACTGCTGACAACTCAACTGAAGTGAGAAATGAACGAATCACTTGAGGAAGTGATTCGGTTCAGTACGTTCACTTGAAAGATCTGGTTCTTTTGAATGAGTCATTCACAAACGACACAACACTAGCTGCTGTGACAGAATTACCTGGCTCTGTATTTTTCTCTGTATTACACTCCCCACATACCCACGTATGCATGGACTTTTATGTTGGTTTAAATATATCTTGTGTTTTTTTCTTAAAGCAAGCTCCCATAATGGGTTGATCTTTACTTTATATCAAATAAATGAGCCCTAACTCCACAGTATGTTTTTTTATGTTATTTCAATTCATTTTTTTCATTATAGTTGGCCTACTATTTAATTTTTTTATTTTTACATGGTCATGCTGTGAGGGTATTAAAGGACATGGTTTGTGAAGGGTTAAGGCTAAGTTATGCCGACTAGCTGCACTTCAATATTGAGGATCAGCATCCTCCACATTTAGTTTAAATAAGAGAAGGGGTACGCATTTCAGTTGGGGGAATGCTAATGTATCGCCCTCATTTCTCACAGTTAAGCCACCCTCTCATCCCTCCACACCACAAAATACACTTAAATCCACCTCCCTCAACCCTGATTCATCCTTTTTTACCATGACCCCAATTCATTCCTGTCTACCTTGACCCTTGGCTACTATCATAAAATCAGACAGACCTAAAAAAAAAAAAATGTAATCATACCATTTTAGTATAAAAAAAAATGTTTTAATCAATGCTGAGTGTCAAGATCTAAACATCTACAGCCTGGTAACAAGCAGGGGGGATGTGTGGTGAAGAGGTAGTGATTTCAATGCAGAATTTATAATGGATCATTTGAACTGTTTTATTGTTAGTTTGACCCCAAAAACTATCTTACTTGGTATTTGATATTTATTTTCTGACTTACAGCAGCACCGCTCAATAAAAAAAAAAGACACTATATTAATTTTAGCAAGTCCGAAGTTTTTGACACTAATATTTTAAAATAACTACAATTGAATAGTCAATGTCAAACAGAAAATTATGCATTCTTTTTTAATTATTTGTTGTTTTATTTGTTTATCTATTTATTGGTTAATATATTTATACAGATGCCTGTTCTGTCAAGGTTTGTTGTCTAAAATGTGTTGCCTAGCAACCATAGATCAAAGAACATGAACAGTCATGTTCTGTCAAGATTTGTTGTCTAAAATGTGTTGCCTAGCAACCATAGATCAAAGAACATGACATCATGACAAGAACATGAAAGTGTGCTTTGATCTTTGAGTCGTGTTCATGTTCCTATTCATGTCATGACAGTTAAAATAACTTCTATTTAAAACCACCGACATTAAGCCACATCTTAAACATTTCTACGGAGATTTTTACAAGTCACCTCAGAAAAAGAAAGATGAACTCAGCGACTCCCAGAAGAAGTCTTCGCCTGATAGAAGCAGGCTATTACACAGAAAACGGAACTCCACAATGTTCCTACAGAGAAAGGATATCTCGGTAATTTTCAGTGTTCTATGCCAATGTTTTGTACCAAGATTAATGCCTTATATTCCTGAAATACAACACATACACTGTCACCAAACGTTTTTAACCTTTTCTGTCTTTCTTCATTTTAGTGTCTTCAAAAGGCGGATACATGGTCATGAAAAAGACTCAGGTAGCTCTGGAAGCAGCTATAATATGAATCAGATTGTGGGTAACCTGCAGTCTGAGTCCTCACCTGTCTTAGTACAAGACAACGGGACCCAGACTGAGAGTTACACCGAAACTTACAGACGGAGAGTAGCGACCAGAGATACTGACACCCGACAGACCAAAAGGACCAAGGCCAAAGAAGGTAATTACTGCCTCTGAGCAAAAACTAAATCAGATTATTATACGAGGAATATTAGTTTCTAGTCATTTTTGTCTTTGTGATAAAGCTCTAAACATTTGGTTTGTTTTTTTCTGCAGGAAACAAGTCATGGAGTCCTCCTTGGATGCGGATCATTTTTTTCTGTCTTTTCAACCTGTTTAGTTATGGTAAGTGACCTCAAGCTCCAAGATACAATTATAGCATTGACAGCTGGCATTATTATTTTTTTTAATTTTTAAGTCTGTGATTTGTGAAGTGTAAGATTTTTAACATGTGTGCTTTGTGTCCTACAGTAACCACCAAAATATACATCGACCAGACAATCGAGCAAGGCATAAACAGATATCTGGTTGACACCATGCCAAACTTTGCTCTGGAGTCACAAGGTATGCCATCATGAGCCCCCCCATTCATTTTTGACACTATACAAAAATCATAATTTTGCTTTGATCTAATGCTGAGGGTCAAGCTTAAAATTATTAATAGGTCTCAACTCTTTGCAATGCCTTGGAAATTGTTTGGAACTTGACCTCTAACTTTTCTTTCTTTTTGTTCTCTTAGGTGCTAGAGTGTTAGAAGACTTATCTTCAGACACCTATATGGGCAAGGAAAACCCTAGCCAGATATGTAAAAAGAAACTCTACTGGTGGTGTTCAAATAAAAAATATAGGACAGTCATACAGGTAAGCAACACACAGCCATGACAATATTTTGTTTAAATATACATTTCAAATAACATTGTTAACAGTCAAAGTTGTGGAACTTTTCAGACTTAAATATTTATCTTTCTTTTCTTTCTATCTTTCCATCAGGCCAAACCATTTCTGAATCCAGGTGAGTGCTGGCCTTTTGCAGGAGACCAAGGACACTTAGTGATTTCATTGTCTCACGCAGTCCACATCAGTCATGTGACTCTTAGCCACATGGCAAAAAGCCAGTGCCCACATGGAACCATATCTAGTGCTCCAAGACGATTCTCAGTATACGTAAGTCAGATATATTCCTGTCATTATCCCACTTATACTGAATACATACCTCATTTACATGTTGATATCCACACAATGTACAACAATATACTGAAGTGATCTCTTTTCTTTTTCCTTTGTAGGGAATGACAACACCAAATGAAGAAGGTGTCTTCCTAGGAAAACATGTTTATGATTCAAATGGTGCAGTACATCAAAGTTTTCCTATACAGAACCCAGACGAAGGTGTCTACAAATTTGTGAAGCTGAAGATAGAGAGTAACTGGGGGAACACTGACTACACCTGCCTCTATGGCTTCAAGGTGCATGGTAAACTTCACCTGTGATCTTTTCCAGAGTGAACACAGTGTAGTGAACACTGTATATATATATATATATATATATATATATATATATATATATATAGTTTCTCTCTCCCCTTTTATTCTCAGTCTTGCAGATACACATAGGCTTCTGTGATTGATGGGGTTTTCTCCAAGTGCTTTGGTTTCCCCCACCGTTGATTTTTAATCAAAAAAAAAAAAAAAAAAAAAAAGGGAGAGAAGAAGACAGCCTCCACGTGGCCTCCCCCGCAAGTAGCCAAAGAGTAGTTTGCCCTTTAAGTGAAACCAATGTCTTCAAAATGTAACAACCACAATAATAACCTCAATAAAGCAAAACAGGGACAAACAAACCAATCAAAACAGTACAAAACCGCATTCAACAAAAAACAAATACAACTTTAAATAATAGTCCCAAGATCCTTAAAAAAATAGCAAAAATGAGAAAATAAATGAGTGTGTGTGTGTGTGTGTGTGTGTAAAGTCCAGTTCTTTTGTATATGTCCAAAATGTAAGTGTGTGAGTGACGTGTGTGTGTGGGGGGAATGCTATGTGGGTGTATGTGAAAAAAAAGAGTCCAGTTCAAGTTTGTTGGTATGTGGTGTGGAGTGTTGTAGGTGTATGGGGGGGGGGGGGGAGGTGGAAGGGAACAGGGAATCCAGACAGGGACCAAGAGGACGGGGAAAGCCGGGAAACAATTAACGTCAACTTATCTGAGCTGGTTTAACAGTCAAGGTTTTACTCCAGAATGAGGAGGCTCCGAGTGCCTGACCATTGACCCTTGAGACGGTCGGTTCCACACACTCCGGGGGGGTTTCTCCGTTGCTGGTGTCCTTTCAGTTTTATTTCTCCAGTCAGCTCACAAACTTTTCTTTGTCTCACTTTCCTGTCACCTCTCTCCTGGCCCTGCACTGTCTGTCTGCCCTCTCCTTCTCTCAGCACTCAGGTGCATTCACTTACTCTGATGAGTGGCAAGCCCCTCCCCTTACCTCTGAGGAGGGAGGGCCTGCCTCACTCTCCTTCTTGCCACACTCTCCCCCCCTTGATGAGACCGTGTATACTGGAAACTCAGTCTTCAAACTAAAACCCTAAAAAATCTTCTTCTCCTGAGCTTTCCTGTAGCAGGTCCATTATTCTTTTCCTTTCCATGACCTCCAAGTCCTCCGCACTGGGGTAGAAAGGTTTCAGGTTGCAGACATGCACAGTCCTTGCATCCAAACCTGTGTCCTCCAGAACAACTTGGTAATTCAGAGGGCCCAGCTGTTGAACTACACGGTAGGGACCTCTCCACTTTTTGGCTAATTTAGCTGTGAATTTGTCCTTAGCCTTAGACAGAGGGAAATTCCTAACCCACACTCTCTGTTTGGGTTTGAAATCAACGTGGCGGCGATTTTTATTGTAGTTCCTCAGTTGCCTCTTCTTTGCTTTTTTTATGTTTTCCTCCACGTCTGTTTTCAGTTGTGTGAGATGATGCACAACGTCATATGCAGGCTCATCAGGGGATAAAATCCTGCCTTTCAGAACTTTATCCATCGGACTATTCAGCTTCCTGCCAATCTGCAGTTCAGCAGGCGTTACACCTGTAGTTTCCTGAACAGCAGAGTTTATGGCAAATCTGAATTCCGGAAGGTATTGATCCCATTTACCATGATTGTCATCCAAGTAAGAGGCTATCATACTTTTTAGAGTACGATTCACTCTTTCCGTCATATTGGTCTGTGCATGATATGCTGTGGTGAGCTTGGGAATCACAGTCCACTGGTTACAGAGTTCACGAAATATAGAAGACACAAATTGAGGTCCTCTGTCAGACAAGATGTAGTCAGGTATTCCCCATCTTGTGAAAATATCTTTCCTCAGGTAGCGGGCCATGGTCGTGGCTGTAGCCGTTCGCAGGGGGTGAATTCCACCCAACGAGTGAAATAATCCACGATCACAAGCAAATATTCATTCCTTTCTGAACTTCTAGGTAACGGACCCATGAGGTCAATCCCAAGCATTTCATTCGGGCCATTGACAGTGGTTTGTTGCAACTTTCCAGCAGGTTTTTGGTTATCTGCTTTCAGACTTTGACAAACAACACATTGCTTGATAAAGAGTTTCACATCAGTCCACATTCCAGGCCAATGTGCCACTTCATATAACCTTTTATAGGTTTTGAAGATTCCAGCATGTCCACTCAAGGGATTTTCATGATAGTTCAGGAGCATTTGTTGAACCAGACTACGGGGAATGCAAAGCCGATAATGGAACTGGTTTTCAGATTTTTGTGTTTTATGATACAACTTATCCTCCCGGATCACAAAATCCTGCTCCACTTTGATATCTCCTTCAGCAAGCTGTTTCATAACTTGCTCTAAGTTAGAGTCCTTGTGTTGTTCTTCACAAATGGTTTTAAGGGATATCGGAGTAATCTCATCACCATTTGGAGAGTACAGACAAAGACCAACCTTAGATGGAATTCTTGAGAGGGCATCAGGAGCATCGTTCAACTTTCCTTTTCTGTACTCCACAATAAAGTCAAAACGTTGCAACCTCAGTGACCATCTAATCAAGCGACTTGTGGTTTTTGTTGATGAAAGGACCCACTTCAAGGCAGAGTGATCGGTAATGACAGTGAATAGCTTCAGTTCAAGATAATGCTGCCATTTTTCCAGAGCCCAGATGACGGCAAGGCACTCTTTCTCTGTAACTGAGTAATTCCTTTCCGCTTGATTCAGGGTTCGACTTGCATAAGCAATAACTTCCTCAGTTCCATCGTCGTTTTTCTGAGTAAGCACAGCTCCAAGACCAATATCACTTGCGTCAGTATAGACTAAGAATGGATGGTCTGGATTAGGATGACCCAGGACAGGTGGAGAAATCAAGCTTGACTTGAGTTTGTCAAAGGAATACTGACATGCTGAACTCCAGATGAAAGGTTTTCCTTTCTTCTTTAGGCCATTCAAAGGCTGAGCAACTTTCGAGAAGTCTGGCACAAATTTATGATACCAGCCTGCCAGCCCCAAGAATCTCTGGACTTCCTTGAGATTTGTTGGCACCGGATAGGACCGAATTGCCTCGACCTTGTCAGGATCAGCGCTGACACCTTTACCAGAGACAATGTGTCCAAGAAATCTGATTTCTTTCAGACAGAACCTAGATTTCTTAAGATTAACAGTCAGATTCGCTTTGCAGAGACGATCGATTACAGTATGTAACCGCTCAAGATGTTGAGTCACAGATGATGAGTACACAATGATATCGTCTAGATAGACTAGACAGATATTTCCTCTGAGCCCTTCCAAGACTTTCTCCATTAGTCTTTGGAAAGTGGCGGGAGCATTTTGAGTCCAAAGGGCATCACATTGAAGTGATACAGTCCACGATGTGTAATGAATGCAGTTTTTGCTTCGCTTTCAGGATCCATGGGTACTTGCCAGTATCCACTGTTCAAATCAATCGTAGAGAAGATTGTGGCTCCAGAAAGTGACTCAAGGATTTCATTGATGTTTGGGAGAGGATAGGCATCAGTTTCAGTGACAGCATTGACTTTTCGGAAATCAACACAGAATCTATGACCGCCATCTTTTTTTGGAGGTAAGACAACAGGAGATGCCCATCCTGAGTGAGAGGGTTCAATGACTCCAGTAGCCAGCATCTCACCTAATTGTTCTTCCACGATAACTTGCTTGACAGGTGAGAGTCTATAAGGTCTTTGTTTGATAGGCACACAGGCAGTGGTATAGATGGTGTGCTGCAAAACATCCGTCTTACCAGGCTGGTTAGTACAAACTTGTGGGCTAGACTCAAGGAGATTTCTTAACAGTTTCTTGTCACTGTCCTCCAAATGAGCATCCTTCACAGCAACATCGATGTAATCTTTCACATCCATTCGAGCAGGCTCCAGAGAGAGAATGGGAGGTGGAACAGAACTTATCAGTGAAAGATTCAGGGCTGATCTGTTGGGGGTCATTTGAGTGACTTTTTTGTCACGGTCTCTTGTCTGTGTGTAGTGGGCACTGCCAGGCTGGAATGGGTAAGCAACAGAGGGCATTGACTTAAAGCTATACTCCTTATCAGCCACATTGATGATCATTCCAACACTGGAAATGAGGTTCAGGCCAAGAACAACACTATACGCCAGAGCGTTTGGTCCCAATACCGCTACAGGTAAAGTGGAGGCATGTCCATGGAGAGCCATGGTGAGGTCTCCCGATCCAATGGAAGTAGCCGGTTCACCATTAGCCAGATACAGTGGACCTTCTGTCCAAGGTCGAAGGATGTCTCTGGTACCCTTCAGTTCCCGCCAAAGATACTCATGAATGAGAGTGTAACTGGCCCCAGTGTCAACTATAGCTTTTCCATGCCATGAATTTATGGAGAGAGGCACAATAAGTTGTAGGGGACTAGAGGAAGAATCGGGTGGAGGGCCAGAACTCTCTGAGGTGGATCCATTCCTCTGTGGTTGCCGAGTTGGCTGCTTTCCAGATTTTCTTGATTTTACAAGGGAGACAGAGCCTTTTCCAGGCAGAGCTTTTGTCTTTGGTGGGCGTGACAAGTGTTTAGGTATCCTGGGAGAATGACTGAAAGGTTCTGGTGTGCTGTAATGTGGACAAGAGCCAGGAAGGTGGTTACCTTTACATCTCCAGCATAAGACAGGTGGTCTGTTCTTTTCAACAGGTGGACCTGAGTGCATGGTTTTAGAAAGAGGATTAATGTTTTTAGCACACATTCTTGAATTGTACTCAAGCTGCTGTTCATGATCTTTTTCAAGTTGATGACCAAGGCGCACCAGATCTTCCACAGTGTCAACACGACCCCGGAGTTGACTAGCAAGAAAAGGTTTGATGTTTTTCAGAATCATCTTAACAATATTAGCTTCTGTGAGAGAGGGTTTCCATCTTTTACAAAGAGCTCTATATGAGAAAGCAAAGTCTCTGATAGTTTCATTTTCATGCTGTTTCTTGGTTCGAACACGCTCTGCTAATTCATCCTCATAATCTTCTGCAAGGAAAGCTGCAAGGAAAACTGTCTCAAATTGATTCCAAGTAACAACCTTAGATCGGGCAATTTCCCACCAGTCGCGGGCTGTTCCCCGGAGAACAGTTCTGAAAGTGGCAAGAATATCAGCATCTGACAAAGGATGAAGAGCAAGAAAGTCATGACACTTTGACAGATAACTGAGGGGATCAGGATCATCATGTATCCCACCATATGTAGGAAAGGTTAACTTAATGTGATCACTCTTTGTAACCGCTAAATTAGGGGCTGCAAGTGAGGTTGGAGTTTTCTCCCCTGAACAAGGACTGGAACATGGATAAGCAGAGGTAGATTTACCTTCTACCAAAAAAGATTCGAGTCGTCTGTCCAGTAAGATGATTTTCTGTTCAAGGTCTTGCATTTGTTCTTTCCTCTCCGTTTCTTCTTTTCCAAGTTGGATGGTCAGTTTTGTGATTGCAGAGCTACTTTCGTTAACTGTGTCCACCAATTGACAGATACTTTCCTGAGCAGTAGTGTGAAAGCATTTAATTTCCTTCTGAAGTTCCACTTGAAGTTGTTCGACCATGAAGCGAATTTCTGAAAGAAGAGATGTCTCAGAGTTTTTCAGCTCTTCGTCCACAACCATTTTAATTCCTTTCACAAGTTTATCCATTTCCGTTTCCACACTTTCCTTATGAGAAATGATATGTGACAGAAGCAGCCGATGATTGTCACGGGCTTTATTCATTAGATCTTTAAAGTGTTTAGTAGAAGATGTTTGAATTCCTTCAACACACGCTGTCAGGTGTTTCATTGCAACACTTTGTGTTTCCATTTCTTTATGGATCCTATCCCAACCTTCCTGGGTTTTTTCTGCAATTTGGTTTAAGTTCCGTGCAGGAGTGGGGAGGGTTTTTGGGAGTTCGCACTGAGACTGAGACAGTGAATATGGGGACGAGGCTGAAAACGCGAAATGGCCTCCTCCTGGGTCAGGCAAAGAAGGTACCGCTTCTGTTTCCCAAGTAAGTGACTGGTTTAGTGACTGGGCAGGTTCAAAGTGGGAGGGAAATTGGGCAAGGTCATGAGTTTCAGATGCCTTTACTGAAGGGGGCAGTGGTGTCTGAAAATATGTTTGCAAGTGTGCACTAAATGCTGTGTCTGTGCCATAAACACGTACAGGTGTCTGCACATCAGGAGCTTCTATATCAAGGTCACCAAGAGACTTCTGATTAGACATTTTGTGTTAAGCAGAGAATGAATTACTTTTTCAAGAAATTACCACATTCAAGTATAATTTGTCACCACAATCAAACTCATGCCACAAAAACAGTTACTCAATCAATTGATTCAATCAAAGTTCAATCAAGATTCAATATTCAAAGCGATCAGGTGTAATTCAACCCCAATTAATGGTAATAGAATAAATGAAATAATGAAATAATCGCATGGTTAGAACCGAAACAATTAACTCAGCACATTTCGTGGTTTAGGGCCCCACGTTGGGCGCCATTTCTGTAGCGTAGGGGTTCAAAAAGAGGGCTCAGGTTAGGTTTGGAGTTGGGCGCCAGACAGGGGAACTAATCATCCTATCATGAATTTATAAAAAATCAAAATACCCTGAGACTTAATCTACAGAAATATTCTAAAGAAAATACGATACCCCTGCTACAAAATTTCAACAAAAGATTCGAGAGTAAAGAAAAAATACTTTTTATCAAAGTTAAATGTTCAATAAAGCAAAACAGGGACAAACTAATCAAAATAGCACAAAACCGCATTCAACAAAAACCAAATACAACTTTAAATAATAGTCCCAAGATCCTTAAAAAATAGCAAAAATGAGAAAATAAATGAGTGTGTGTGTGTGTGTGTGTGTGTGTGTGTGTGTGTGTGTAAAGTCCAGTTCTTTTGTATATGTCCAAAATGTAAGTGTGTGAGTGACGTGTGTGTGTGGGGGGAATGCTATGTGGGTGTATGTGAAAAAAAAGAGTCCAGTTCAAGTTTGTTGGTATGTGGTGTGGAGTGTTGTAGGTGTATGGGGGGGGGGGGGAGGTGGAAGGGAACAGGGAATCCAGACAGGGACCAAGAGGACGGGGAAAGCCGGGAAACAATTAACGTCAACTTATCTGAGCTGGTTTAACAGTCAAGGTTTTACTCCAGAATGAGGAGGCTCCGAGTGCCTGACCATTGACCCTTGAGACGGTCGGTTCCACACACTCCGGGGGGGTTTCTCCGTTGCTGGTGTCCTTTCAGTTTTATTTCTCCAGTCAGCTCACAAACTTTTCTTTGTCTCACTTTCCTGTCACCTCTCTCCTGGCCCTGCACTGTCTGTCTGCCCTCTCCTTCTCTCAGCACTCAGGTGCATTCACTTACTCTGATGAGTGGCAAGCCCCTCCCCTTACCTCTGAGGAGGGAGGGCCTGCCTCACTCTCCTTCTTGCCACAATGTATCAGACCAAACTGTTTTTGAGTCAGGCTGTAAATGTGTTTATTTTTGCTCAGGCTTTTAGAGCTCTTTGTGTTCGTGGTTTGTAATGCTTCTGCAGCCAGCCTCAAGCGGGACCTTGGAGTACTGTACTTTTTAGCACTTGAACATCAGCTTCATTTCTCAAGACAGGAGGTTGTACTTGGTGTACAGGTACATGGTCCTTCATCACTCAAGTAAAAATGGACTTTAATATTGGGGACATTGTCTTAATAGTTGACCCATCAGCTCCTCAAGGACTGGTAAAAATCAGAGGATGACTTTGGGCCTGCTGGGTGGCGTTCAGAAGTGACTTTGAAATCATGCAGATAACTCAGAAAGAGAGGCTTTGCACGACAAACTTTGCTCTAGAGTCACAAGGTATGCCATCATGAGCCACCCCAATCATTTTTGACACTATATCGAGGCTTCCTTTTATTTAAAACATTTCAGAAAAAGCCGTACTCATACAACTTCAGTCGCCTTATGGATCATTGCAGCTAGGCCTACCAAAAAGTGGCAAAATCCACAGTCTCTCAGAATGGTGAACCTATTCCCATCTTTTTTCCCGAGACTTCATGGACTTAGCTTCTTTTCTTTTTAAATATAAAACACACCTTAATGTGAGATTGTCCTTTCTGTGATTATTATTTGGCAACTATTAAAATTCCCCCAAAACGCATTGCTTGTTAAAAGTGTATTTTTGTGACACTGTCAGCTGGTAAATACTGTGACCTTTGTGGGTCTAAAACCAGTTCTACCAATATCATCATCCAGCTGTGGGAATCGACAAAAAAAGGAATTATTTCACCTTCCATGAACCTTTGGCTCTCGTCTGACAGTACTTAGGACAGCCAGAGAACGGCATTATTCATCATGCATGTGACGTCCTCTGCTGGCAGCAGGTGGGAATGACAGCACCTGCACTATGGGACTGTATGAAAAAGTGTGTTCAGCTAGGGCTTCACTAAAAGTACAATACTTGGCGGCCATATTGGATCGGCCGCTGTGGCGACCCCAAAGGTCAGCTGCTAGAGCACGCAGCATTGTCAGGTTCAGCTAGGGCTTCACTAAAAGTACAATACTTGAGGACAATTCCATTATTCTTTGTTTTAGTTGTTTGCTTGTTTGTTTTTTGGTCCCCAGATAAAATCCTTAAACCATCAAGAGTCCAACGTGAAACACAGACTCCATTATCTGATCACTACCATTGAAAGGCAATGTTTCACTAATTGGAAACATATTGGAATAATTTTCTCTCAAGATGTCACCTAAAGTCTGTGGCTTGAGACCAGCAGCAGTTAAAACTTAAAAAATCTAAATAAATGGTATTTTTCTAACTGGTGACCTTATCTGAACTCTCCTCTGTATTCTGGCCTGACCCAGAAGCCTGCATGGACTCATCAGACATTTGGCACCGTTCATCCACAAAGACCTCCCAAACCGGTCCTGAGATCATCAGGCCCCCTCATCCAGCATCCTGCCAGTATTGTTGAACTGCCCTGAACTTGATTGAAAATAATGATGGCCAGTAATGTTAAAACATTTTTTTTTATACTAAAATGGTATGATTACATTTTTTTTTTTTAGGTCTGTCTGATTTTATGATAGTAGCCAAGGGTCAAGGTAGACAGGAATGAATTGGGGTCATGGTAAAAAAGGATGAATCAGGGTTGAGGGAGGTGGATTTAAGTGTATTTTGTGGTGTGGAGGGATGAGAGGGTGGCTTAACTGTGAGAAATGAGGGCGATACATTAGCATTCCCCCAACTGAAATGCGTACCCCTTCTCTTATTTAAACTAAATGTGGAGGACGCTGATCCTCAATATTGAAGTGCAGCTAGTCGGCATAACTTAGCCTTAACCCTTCACAAACCATGTCCTTTAATACCCTCATAGCATGACCATGTAAAAATAAAAAAAATTAAATAGTAGGCCAACTATAATGAAAAAAATGAATTGAAATAACATAAAAAAACATACTGTGGAGTTAGGGCTCATTTATTTGATATAAAGTAAAGATCAACCAATTCTGGGAGCTTGCTTTAAGAAAAAAACACAAGATATATTTAAACCAACATAAAAGTCCATGCATACGTGGGTATGTGGGGAGTGTAATACAGAGAAAAATACAGAGCCAGGTAATTCTGTCACAGCAGCTAGTGTTGTGTCATTTGTGAATGACTCATTCAAAAGAACCAGATCTTTCAAAGGGAACGTACTGAACCGAATCACTTCCTCAAGTGATTCGTTCATTTCTCACTTCAGTTGAGTTGTCAGCAGTGCAGCTGCTATAGCACGCAGCATTGTCAAGTGAGCAGCCGGCGAACGAGGGACCGCATGCACTGACGCCTGAATCACTTGGTGAACGAATCACGCAGTGAACTATACACTCTGTAATCATTTTTGTCTGACAAAACTAACTTTTTTTGCCACCAGAACAACTTGCATACAATAGGACACAGCATGTAACAAGTAGTGCATAAAACCTGCAGTATCCAATCATTGCAGCGGTTTGCAAGGGAACGGTGCATGTTCAGTGTGAATTCTTTTAATCATTTTCGTGAACAAATCACTCACTGAGCCCAATTTACTGAGCAAACCTGATAAATAGCATACCATTGGACAGTACACTTAAAACCTCATGATTTATAAACAATTTCATTTTTACAAACCTGTTTGTCAAAGCAACACAGCCACAACACTCTCATCTCCCAGCCTAGAAGCTATGAATTGAACTGAATCCTGAACAGGGCTAGTTCTAGGAATGCACATATGAGGGTGCAGTCAGAAATGTTAGGGTTTTGTTTTTTTTCTTTTCTTTTTCTTTTTTTTTTACACATTTTTAACACTGTTGGTGTTTTCTTCAAGGCATGGGTTGTTAGCTGTGTGTCTAGCTCTCAACTTGGAGAAGTGGATTGCACTCTGTCAGGCCTCTACCTTAAGACCTGTCGAACTTGGGTGTCCCACCTGAAGACTATAGCTCCTGCTGGTCGCTTAGGGTCGCTGAGGCACACAAACCCCCTGACCACAATAAGGTGGCAATCCCTCAGGGGGGAAATCGAAAAATAAAAATGAAAAGTAGAAAAAAAATATCTTTCATCCAGATTTTAACAACCAACAACATAACATTTATCTTAACTGGATGGCCTAATTCTTGAATAGGGGAGACCGGGGCTTGTTGTCACACAGGTAAGTTGTCACAGTGCAATTATCTTTGCCACCAGAGGGCATAACTAAAAAGCGGAATACTAGTTTTCTTCCTTTACATGGTCAGGGGTCGTGTCCTGTCTGAGAAGAGAGGAGTGAATTGTGAGCAGTCATTTTGGGGTTAGTTGTCACATGTTTAAAAGGGATTAAAATTAACATAGAGAGTCTGCTTATCAGCAGTTGTCATACAGAAATTTTGACTTTAACAGAAAAGAGTGGTTTAAAGGAGAGGAGAAAGCGAGAAACCATGGTCAGGAATTACAAAAGAAAAACAGAGCAAGGCAGTGCAGTGCCTAACGTGATGCTGAGAACAGTCAGACAGGTGACCCTAGCTAATAAATCAATCTGGAGTACAATAAAGGACTTTAATGTCAACTACCACACCATGGCTCGGTACTGCAAAACATTCACCTCAGCCAAGATACAAAGTCAGACAGCTCTTCAAACTCTAGAGCATGTTGATAATATCTTATAACGTTTGTTAAATGATTTTTTCTTTCTCAATGATAAACATTTTCTGTGCCTGACTTTGATGTTTACTTTCATGTAAAAAAATGAGAACAACAGTAATTTTGTCCTTGTTTTATAAGCCGCAAAATCCACTGTGACATCTTACCCCATGTAGTGAGACAACTTCCCCGATGGTGGGGCATCATGTCACATGTTCACACTCTCTATTTGATTGCTTATAACTCTGCACTCACACAAGATATGAAAATGACATGAATACGAAATATATACCTGAGACTTTGGTCTTTTATCTGGTACACATTTTGTTTATATATGATGTATTGATTGCAAGAAATATACAAGAGTGTAAAAAGTGTGACAACAAGCCCGGTCTCTCCTACATTTCAACCTGAAGGAAAGACTTGTCACTATAATCAATATTTACAAAACTGAACAGTAGTCATATGAAAAGAAATCACCAAGCATCACAAGTTCTCAAACTAATTTGTAAAACATAACAGATAAAGGGCAGAACATTTTATAACTTTTTTCTTTATAAGCTAATAACTCAAAATATCCCCTCTCTCCACCTCACTATTCTCTCTCTCGCCAATCTCTACACTCCACTATACACCAACACCAAGCATTTTCTCAAAGTTGTAAAACTAATTTGTCAAACACAACAGATTCAGAGCAGATACAGGCTATAACACACGTAACATTTTTCTTTTTTTTTTCTTCTCTTTTGTTTTTTTTTAAAATGATTTATTTATTTATTAGCAACTTAATAACTAAAATCTCCTACTTTCTCTCCACCTTACCATCTTTTCTCTCCATTCCACTCTTCTTTCTCTTCATTCTGCAATTCCACTATTCTACTCTGTGCTTGTGACTTGAGAAATGCTCCTGCTGGATAAAAAACAGTAGACTATTTCTCAGTTGACTGCACAAATATGTATGGATGTTACATTAACTTTTGTTTTAGTTGTTGCTAATTATGAGTTATCTCACGGGTCGCAACGACGAGTTTGGTGGAGTTTTGCTGCTTCGTCAAAGTCTCCCACTCTGTCTTAAAACCTGACACTACAGTCTCAGGCTGCGTCAGTGCATCTTGGCTCATTTGCATACTAAACAGTGATTGGATGTTTACGAATGGGAAGGGAGGGACATTAGAAAACATTAGACAAGACCTTCAAACTTCTTCAAAACCTAAAATTTCTTCAAAAGTAAAACCATTTTGGAATTTAAAAGGAGATAGCATAAATGACTTGAAGCAAGGTTCTGCCCCCTTGATTTGATTTAATTAAAACATGTAAAGAACATTAATCTATACATAAAACTACATTTTCCAAGTCCCACCTTAAATTTTCAATTTTAATGAAGGACTTTAACATAATTTTTGGTATATTAAATTCAAATTAAAATAACAAAAGTGAAAGCACATGGTAATTATTTGTGTAAATAAGTAATGTAGCCCCTAACTAAGTTGTACTTTTGACTGTAGAGGGCTGAATCATTATAATGCTAAAATAAGATGATCCCACTTTTTTAGATGGAAAAAAAACCTGTTTTCTATCCCAGTCATTACAGTAAATCAAACATTTATTCGTGATTGTTGTTTAAGACACACAACATGTGATGAAACTATTAATGTTGGGGCAGGTAGCTCCTGAAACCTCTCTGAAATCATCTATATAACTGTTTTAAGAGAAATTTGATCCTTGCATGGTCACACAAGTCACTATACCCATCAAAACACCTGATTCACGGTTTGACAAAATAAATGGAGAACTATGTAAAGATCAAAGTTCAGTGACTTTAACTTTGAGGGGTTATATTTCTTTACAGATCACAAACAAAGGGCTTAGCTTTCTTTACACCATTAAAGTGTTTATTGACATTATTAAATGTGCTCATCCTGCTGTGCACTTTCACTGTATTTATGGTGGACTGGCCCATGCTTCTGTGTTTATTTTGACATTACTGGCCATCATTATTTTCAATCAAGTTCAGGGCAGTTCAACAATACTGGCAGGATGCTGGATGAGAGGGCCTGATGATCTCAGGACCGGTTTGGGAGGTCTTTGTGGATGAACGGTGCCAAATGTCTGATGAGTCCATGCAGGCTTCTGGGTCAGGCCAGAATACAGAGGAGAGTTCAGATAAGGTCACCAGTTAGAAAAATACCATTTATTTAGATTTTTTAAGTTTTAACTGCTGCTGGTCTCAAGCCACAGACTTTAGGTGACATCTTGAGAGAAAATTATTCCAATATGTTTCCAATTAGTGAAACATTGCCTTTCAATGGTAGTGATCAGATAATGGAGTCTGTGTTTCACGTTGGACTCTTGATGGTTTAAGGATTTTATCTGGGGACCAAAAAACAAACAAGCAAACAACTAAAACAAAGAATAATGGAATTGTCCTCAAGTATTGTACTTTTAGTGAAGCCCTAGCTGAACCTGACAATGCTGCGTGCTCTAGCAGCTGACCTTTGGGTCGCCACAGCGGCCGATCCAATATGGCCGCCAAGTATTGTACTTTTAGTGAAGCCCTAGCTGAACACACTTTTTCATACAGTCCCATAGTGCATGTGCTGTCATTCCCACCTGCTGCCAGCAGAGGACGTCACATGCATGATGAATAATGCCGTTCTCTGGCTGTCCTAAGTACTGTCAGACGAGAGCCAAAGGTTCATGGAAGGTGAAATAATTCCTTTTTTTGTCGATTCCCACAGCTGGATGATGATATTGGTAGAACTGGTTTTAGACCCACAAAGGTCACAGTATTTACCAGCTGACAGTGTCACAAAAATACACTTTTAACAAGCAATGCGTTTTGGGGGAATTTTAATAGTTGCTAAATAATAATCACAGAAAGGACAATCTCACATTAAGGTGTGTTTTATATTTAAAAAGAAAAGAAGCTAAGTCCATGAAGTCTCGGGAAAAAAGATGGGAATAGGTTCACCATTCTGAGAGACTGTGGATTTTGCCACTTTTTGGTAGGCCTAGCTGCAATGATCCATAAGGCGACTGAAGTTGTATGAGTACGGCTTTTTCTGAAATGTTTTAAATAAAAGGAAGCCTCGATATAGTGTCAAAAATGATTGGGGTGGCTCATGGTGGCATACCTTGTGACTCTAGAGCAAAGTTTGTCGTGCAAAGCCTCTCTTTCTGAGTTATCTGCATGATTTCAAAGTCACTTCTGAACGCCACCCAGCAGGCCCAAAGTCATCCTCTGATTTTTACCAGTCCTTGAGGAGCTGATGGGTCAACTATTAAGACAATGTCCCCAATATTAAAGTCCATTTTTACTTGAGTGATGAAGGACCATGTACCTGTACACCAAGTACAACCTCCTGTCTTGAGAAATGAAGCTGATGTTCAAGTGCTAAAAAGTACAGTACTCCAAGGTCCCGCTTGAGGCTGGCTGCAGAAGCATTACAAACCACGAACACAAAGAGCTCTAAAAGCCTGAGCAAAAATAAACACATTTACAGCCTGACTCAAAAACAGTTTGGTCTGATACATTGTGGCAAGAAGGAGAGTGAGGCAGGCCCTCCCTCCTCAGAGGTAAGGGGAGGGGCTTGCCACTCATCAGAGTAAGTGAATGCACCTGAGTGCTGAGAGAAGGAGAGGGCAGACAGACAGTGCAGGGCCAGGAGAGAGGTGACAGGAAAGTGAGACAAAGAAAAGTTTGTGAGCTGACTGGAGAAATAAAACTGAAAGGACACCAGCAACGGAGAAACCCCCCGGAGTGTGTGGAACCGACCGTCTCAAGGGTCAATGGTCAGGCACTCGGAGCCTCCTCATTCTGGAGTAAAACCTTGACTGTTAAACCAGCTCAGATAAGTTGACGTTAATTGTTTCCCGGCTTTCCCCGTCCTCTTGGTCCCTGTCTGGATTCCCTGTTCCCTTCCACCTCCCTCCCCCCATACACCTACAACACTCCACACCACATACCAACAAACTTGAACTGGACTCTTTTTTTTCCACATACACCCACATAGCATTCCCCCCACACACACACGTCACTCACACACTTACATTTTGGACATATACAAAAGAACTGGACTTCACACACACACACTCATTTATTTTCTCATTTTTGCTATTTTTTAAGGATCTTGGGACTATTATTTAAAGTTGTATTTGGTTTTTGTTGAATGCGGTTTTGTGCTATTTTGATTAGTTTGTCCCTGTTTTGCTTTATTGAACATTTAACTTTGATAAAAAGTATTTTTTCTTTACTCCCGAATCTTTTGTTGAAATTTTGTAGCAGGGGTATCGATCGAGCTAGTCGTATTTTCTTTAGAATATTTCTGTAGATTAAGTCTCAGGGTATTTTGATTTTTTATAAATTCATGATAGGATGATTAGTTCCCCTGTCTGGCGCCCAACTCCAAACCTAACCTGAGCCCTCTTTTTGAACCCCTACGCTACAGAAATGGCGCCCAACGTGGGGCCCTAAACCACGAAATGTGCTGAGTTAATTGTTTCGGTTCTAACCATGCGATTATTTCATTATTTCATTTATTCTATTACCATTAATTGGGGTTGAATTACACCTGATCGCTTTGAATATTGAATCTTGATTGAGTAACTGTTTTTGTGGCATGATTTTGAATGTGGTGACAAATTATACTTGAATGTGGTCATTTCTTGAAAAAGTAATTCATTCTCTGCTTAACACAAAATGTCTAATCAGAAGTCTCTTGGTGACCTTGATATAGAAGCTCCTGATGTGCAGACACCTGTACGTGTTTATGGCACAGACACAGCATTTAGTGCACACTTGCAAACATATTTTCAGACACCACTGCCCCCTTCAGTAAAGGCATCTGAAACTCATGACCTTGCCCAATTTCCCTCCCACTTTGAACCTGCCCAGTCACTAAACCAGTCACTTACTTGGGAAACAGAAGCGGTACCTTCTTTGCCTGACCCAGGAGGAGGCCATTTCGCGTTTTCAGCCTCGTCCCCATATTCACTGTCTCAGTCTCAGTGCGAACTCCCAAAAACCCTCCCCACTCCTGCACGGAACTTAAACCAAATTGCAGAAAAAACCCAGGAAGGTTGGGATAGGATCCATAAAGAAATGGAAACACAAAGTGTTGCAATGTAACACCTGACAGCGTGTGTTGAAGGAATTCAAACATCTTCTACTAAACACTTTAAAGATCTAATGAATAAAGCCCGTGACAATCATCGGCTGCTTCTGTCACATATCATTTCTCATAAGGAAAGTGTGGAAACGGAAATGGATAAACTTGTGAAAGGAATTAAAATGGTTGTGGACGAAGAGCTGAAAAACTCTGAGACATCTCTTCTTTCAGAAATTCGCTTCATGGTCGAACAACTTCAAGTGGAACTTCAGAAGGAAATGAAATGCTTTCACACTACTGCTCAGGAAAGTATCTGTCAATTGGTGGACACAGTTAACGAAAGTAGCTCTGCAATCACAAAACTGACCATCCAACTTGGAAAAGAAGAAACGGAGAGGAAAGAACAAATGCAAGACCTTGAACAGAAAATCATCTTACTGGACAGACGACTCGAATCTTTTTTGGTAGAAGGTAAATCTACCTCTGCTTATCCATGTTCCAGTCCTTGTTCAGGGGAGAAAACTCCAACCTCACTTGCAGCCCCTAATTTAGCGGTTACAAAGAGTGATCACATTAAGTTAACCTTTCCTACATATGGTGGGATACATGATGATCCTGATCCCCTCAGTTATCTGTCAAAGTGTCATGACTTTCTTGCTCTTCATCCTTTGTCAGATGCTGATATTCTTGCCACTTTCAGAACTGTTCTCCGGGGAACAGCCCGCGACTGGTGGGAAATTGCCCGATCTAAGGTTGTTACTTGGAATCAATTTGAGACAGTTTTCCTTGCAGCTTTCCTTGCAGAAGATTATGAGGATGAATTAGCAGAGCGTGTTCGAACCAAGAAACAGCATGAAAATGAAACTATCAGAGACTTTGCTTTCTCATATAGAGCTCTTTGTAAAAGATGGAAACCCTCTCTCACAGAAGCTAATATTGTTAAGATGATTCTGAAAAACATCAAACCTTTTCTTGCTAGTCAACTCCGGGGTCGTGTTGACACTGTGGAAGATCTGGTGCGCCTTGGTCATCAACTTGAAAAAGATCATGAACAGCAGCTTGAGTACAATTCAAGAATGTGTGCTAAAAACATTAATCCTCTTTCTAAAACCATGCACTCAGGTCCACCTGTTGAAAAGAACAGACCACCTGTCTTATGCTGGAGATGTAAAGGTAACCACCTGTCTTATGCTGGAGATGTAAAGGTAACCACCTTCCTGGCTCTTGTCCACATTACAGCACACCAGAACCTTTCAGTCATTCTCCCAGGATACCTAAACACTTGTCACGCCCACCAAAGACAAAAGCTCTGCCTGGAAAAGGCTCTGTCTCCCTTGTAAAATCAAGAAAATCTGGAAAGCAGCCAACTCGGCAACCACAGAGGAATGGATCCACCTCAGAGAGTTCTGGCCCTCCACCCGATTCTTCCTCTAGTCCCCTACAACTTATTGTGCCTCTCTCCATAAATTCATGGCATGGAAAAGCTATAGTTGACACTGGGGCCAGTTACACTCTCATTCATGAGTATCTTTGGCGGGAACTGAAGGGTACCAGAGACATCCTTCGACCTTGGACAGAAGGTCCACTGTATCTGGCTAATGGTGAACCGGCTACTTCCATTGGATCGGGAGACCTCACCATGGCTCTCCATGGACATGCCTCCACTTTACCTGTAGCGGTATTGGGACCAAACGCTCTGGCGTATAGTGTTGTTCTTGGCCTGAACCTCATTTCCAGTGTTGGAATGATCATCAATGTGGCTGATAAGGAGTATAGCTTTAAGTCAATGCCCTCTGTTGCTTACCCATTCCAGCCTGGCAGTGCCCACTACACACAGACAAGAGACCGTGACAAAAAAGTCACTCAAATGACCCCCAACAGATCAGCCCTGAATCTTTCACTGATAAGTTCTGTTCCACCTCCCATTCTCTCTCTGGAGCCTGCTCGAATGGATGTGAAAGATTACATCGATGTTGCTGTGAAGGATGCTCATTTGGAGGACAGTGACAAGAAACTGTTAAGAAATCTCCTTGAGTCTAGCCCACAAGTTTGTACTAACCAGCCTGGTAAGACGGATGTTTTGCAGCACACCATCTATACCACTGCCTGTGTGCCTATCAAACAAAGACCTTATAGACTCTCACCTGTCAAGCAAGTTATCGTGGAAGAACAATTAGGTGAGATGCTGGCTACTGGAGTCATTGAACCCTCTCACTCAGGATGGGCATCTCCTGTTGTCTTACCTCCAAAAAAAGATGGCGGTCATAGATTCTGTGTTGATTTCCGAAAAGTCAATGCTGTCACTGAAACTGATGCCTATCCTCTCCCAAACATCAATGAAATCCTTGAGTCACTTTCTGGAGCCACAATCTTCTCTACGATTGATTTGAACAGTGGATACTGGCAAGTACCCATGGATCCTGAAAGCGAAGCAAAAACTGCATTCATTACACATCGTGGACTGTATCACTTCAATGTGATGCCCTTTGGACTCAAAAATGCTCCCGCCACTTTCCAAAGACTAATGGAGAAAGTCTTGGAAGGGCTCAGAGGAAATATCTGTCTAGTCTATCTAGACGATATCATTGTGTACTCATCATCTGTGACTCAACATCTTGAGCGGTTACATACTGTAATCGATCGTCTCTGCAAAGCGAATCTGACTGTTAATCTTAAGAAATCTAGGTTCTGTCTGAAAGAAATCAGATTTCTTGGACACATTGTCTCTGGTAAAGGTGTCAGCGCTGATCCTGACAAGGTCGAGGCAATTCGGTCCTATCCGGTGCCGACAAATCTCAAGGAAGTCCAGAGATTCTTGGGGCTGGCAGGCTGGTATCATAAATTTGTGCCAGACTTCTCGAAAGTTGCTCAGCCTTTGAATGACCTAAAGAAGAAAGGAAAACCTTTCATCTGGAGTTCAGCATGTCAGTATTCCTTTGACAAACTCAAGTCAAGCTTGATTTCTCCACCTGTCCTGGGTCATCCTAATCCAGACCATCCATTCTTAGTCTATACTGACGCAAGTGATATTGGTCTTGGAGCTGTGCTTACTCAGAAAAACGACGATGGAACTGAGGAAGTTATTGCTTATGCAAGTCGAACCCTGAATCAAGCGGAAAGGAATTACTCAGTTACAGAGAAAGAGTGCCTTGCCGTCATCTGGGCTCTGGAAAAATGGCAGCATTATCTTGAACTGAAGCTATTCACTGTCATTACCGATCACTCTGCCTTGAAGTGGGTCCTTTCATCAACAAAAACCACAAGTCGCTTGATTAGATGGTCACTGAGGTTGCAACGTTTTGACTTTATTGTGGAGTACAGAAAAGGAAAGTTGAACGATGCTCCTGATGCCCTCTCAAGAATTCCATCTAAGGTTGGTCTTTGTCTGTACTCTCCAAATGGTGATGAGATTACTCCGATATCCCTTAAAACCATTTGTGAAGAACAACACAAGGACACTAACTTAGAGCAAGTTATGAAACAGCTTGCTGAAGGAGATATCAAAGTGGAGCAGGATTTTGTGATCCGGGAGGATAAGTTGTATCATAAAACACAAAAATCTGAAAACCAGTTCCATTATCGGCTTTGCATTCCCCGTAGTCTGGTTCAACAAATGCTCCTGAACTATCATGAAAATCCCTTGAGTGGACATGCTGGAATCTTCAAAACCTATAAAAGGTTATATGAAGTGGCACATTGGCCTGGAATGTGGACTGATGTGAAACTCTTTATCAAGCAATGTGTTGTTTGTCAAAGTCTGAAAGCAGATAACCAAAAACCTGCTGGAAAGTTGCAACAAACCACTGTCAATGGCCCGAATGAAATGCTTGGGATTGACCTCATGGGTCCGTTACCTAGAAGTTCAGAAAGGAATGAATATTTGCTTGTGATCGTGGATTATTTCACTCGTTGGGTGGAATTCACCCCCCTGCGAACGGCTACAGCCACGACCATGGCCCGCTACCTGAGGAAAGATATTTTCACAAGATGGGGAATACCTGACTACATCTTGTCTGACAGAGGACCTCAATTTGTGTCTTCTATATTTCGTGAACTCTGTAACCAGTGGACTGTGATTCCCAAGCTCACCACAGCATATCATCCACAGACCAATATGACGGAAAGAGTGAATCGTACTCTAAAAAGTATGATAGCCTCTTGCTTGGATGACAATCATGGTAAATGGGATCAATACCTTCCGGAATTCAGATTTGCCATAAACTCCGCTGTTCAGGAAACTACAGGTGTAACGCCTGCTGAACTGCAGATTGGCAGGAAGCTGAATAGTCCGATGGATAAAGTTCTGAAAGGCAGGATTTTATCCCCTGATGAGCCTGCATATGACGTTGTGCATCATCTCACACAACTGAAAACAGACGTGGAGGAAAACATAAAAAAAGCAAAGAAGAGGCAACTGAGGAACTACAATAAAAATCGCCGCCACGTTGATTTCAAACCCAAACAGAGAGTGTGGGTTAGGAATTTCCCTCTGTCTAAGGCTAAGGACAAATTCACAGCTAAATTAGCCAAAAAGTGGAGAGGTCCCTACCGTGTAGTTCAACAGCTGGGCCCTCTGAATTACCAAGTTGTTCTGGAGGACACAGGTTTGGATGCAAGGACTGTGCATGTCTGCAACCTGAAACCTTTCTACCCCAGTGCGGAGGACTTGGAGGTCATGGAAAGGAAAAGAATAATGGACCTGCTACAGGAAAGCTCAGGAGAAGAAGATTTTTAGGGTTTTAGTTTGAAGACTGAGTTTCCAGTATACACGGTCTCATCAAGGGGGGAGAGTGTGGCAAGAAGGAGAGTGAGGCAGGCCCTCCCTCCTCAGAGGTAAGGGGAGGGGCTTGCCACTCATCAGAGTAAGTGAATGCACCTGAGTGCTGAGAGAAGGAGAGGGCAGACAGACAGTGCAGGGCCAGGAGAGAGGTGACAGGAAAGTGAGACAAAGAAAAGTTTGTGAGCTGACTGGAGAAATAAAACTGAAAGGACACCAGCAACGGAGAAACCCCCCCGGAGTGTGTGGAACCGACCGTCTCAAGGGTCAATGGTCAGGCACTCGGAGCCTCCTCATTCTGGAGTAAAACCTTGACTGTTAAACCAGCTCAGATAAGTTGACGTTAATTGTTTCCCGGCTTTCCCCGTCCTCTTGGTCCCTGTCTGGACTCCCTGTTCCCTTCCACCTCCCTCCCCCCATACACCTACAACACTCCACACCACATACCAACAAACTTGAACTGGACTCTTTTTTTTCACATACACCCACATAGCATTCCCCCCACACACACACGTCACTCACACACTTACATTTTGGACATATACAAAAGAACTGGACTTTACACACACACACACACACACACACACACACACACACACACACACACACACACACACACACACACACTCATTTATTTTCTCATTTTTGCTATTTTTTTAAGGATCTTGGGACTATTATTTAAAGTTGTATTTGGTTTTTGTTGAATGCGGTTTTGTGCTGTTTTGATTGGTTTGTTTGTCCCTGTTTTGCTTTATTGAACATTTAACTTTGATAAAAAGTATTTTTTCTTTACTCTCGAATCTTTTGTTGAAATTTTGTAGCAGGGGTATCGATCGAGCTAGTCGTATTTTCTTTAGAATATTTCGGTAGATTAAGTCTCAGGGTATTTTGATTTTTTATAAATTCATGATAGGATGATTAGTTCCCCTGTCTGGCGCCCAACTCCAAACCTAACCTGAGCCCTTTTTTTGAACCCCTACGCTACAACATGCATCCAAAAGTCCAGCTGCATGATATACGAACATGAAGCACTTAGGCAGGCATGTAGTGGGGGGCTTTAGGGATATTTTCGTTCACTTTTGTCTAAAAGTGCCAAATTTGGCACAGGTGTAGCTCAGGGCATACTTAAATGATTTAGCTAGGGCGCCCGCGCCGGTGACCTTTGGGGTCGCCACAGCGGCCGATCCAATATGGCCGCCACTTGAAATAGCTTTTGTCTCTAACATTTGAAACAGATGAGTTACAAATGTAAACTTGGTGTCTATTTCATGTGTTTTGACAATTAGAAATGTGTTGGAATGCTCTTTTTTTATTTTTGGGTGTGTCTAGACCCCTAATTTGCATATTTCCAAATGGCGTAAAACCTGGTGCAATAGGTCTAATTCAACTAATTCTGACATGCATGATTCCTTTCTGATGTTTATATGAAATGTGTGTGTGTGTGTGTGTGTGTGTGGGGGGGGGGGGGGTCGGCTGTGGTTGTTACATTTTGAAGACATTGGTTTCGCTTAAAGGGCAAACTACTCTTTGGCTACTTGCGGGGGAGGCCACGTGGAGGCTGTCTTCTTCTCTCCCTTTTTTTTTTTTTTTTTTTTTGATTAAAAATCAACGGTGGGGGAAACCAAAGCACTTGGAGAAAACCCCATCAATCACAGAAGCCTATGTGTATCTGCAAGACTGAGAATAAAAGGGGAGAGAGAAACTATACAGTGTTCACTACACTGTGTTCACTCTGGAAAAGATCACAGGTGAAGTTTACCATGCACCTTGAAGCCATAGAGGCAGGTGTAGTCAGTGTTCCCCCAGTTACTCTCTATCTTCAGCTTCACAAATTTGTAGACACCTTCGTCTGGGTTCTGTATAGGAAAACTTTGATGTACTGCACCATTTGAATCATAAACATGTTTTCCTAGGAAGACACCTTCTTCATTTGGTGTTGTCATTCCCTACAAAGGAAAAAGAAAAGAGATCACTTCAGTATATTGTTGTACATTGTGTGGATATCAACATGTAAATGAGGTATGTATTCAGTATAAGTGGGATAATGACAGGAATATATCTGACTTACGTATACTGAGAATCGTCTTGGAGCACTAGATATGGTTCCATGTGGGCACTGGCTTTTTGCCATGTGGCTAAGAGTCACATGACTGATGTGGACTGCGTGAGACAATGAAATCACTAAGTGTCCTTGGTCTCCTGCAAAAGGCCAGCACTCACCTGGATTCAGAAATGGTTTGGCCTGATGGAAAGATAGAAAGAAAAGAAAGATAAATATTTAAGTCTGAAAAGTTCCACAACTTTGACTGTTAACAATGTTATTTGAAATGTATATTTAAACAAAATATTGTCATGGCTGTGTGTTGCTTACCTGTATGACTGTCCTATATTTTTTATTTGAACACCACCAGTAGAGTTTCTTTTTACATATCTGGCTAGGGTTTTCCTTGCCCATATAGGTGTCTGAAGATAAGTCTTCTAACACTCTAGCACCTAAGAGAACAAAAAGAAAGAAAAGTTAGAGGTCAAGTTCCAAACAATTTCCAAGGCATTGCAAAGAGTTGAGACCTATTAATAATTTTAAGCTTGACCCTCAGCATTAGATCAAAGCAAAATTATGATTTTTGTATAGTGTCAAAAATGAATGGGGGGGCTCATGATGGCATACCTTGTGACTCCAGAGCAAAGTTTGGCATGGTGTCAACCAGATATCTGTTTATGCCTTGCTCGATTGTCTGGTCGATGTATATTTTGGTGGTTACTGTAGGACACAAAGCACACATGTTAAAAATCTTACACTTCACAAATCACAGACTTAAAAATTAAAAAAAATAATAATGCCAGCTGTCAATGTTATAATTGTATCTTGGAGCTTGAGGTCACTTACCATAACTAAACAGGTTGAAAAGACAGAAAAAAATGATCCGCATCCAAAGAGGACTCCATGACTTGTTTCCTGCAGACAAAAACAAACCAAATGTTTAGAGCTTTATCACAAAGACAAAAATGACTAGAAACTAATATTCCTCGTATAATAATCTGATTTAGTTTTTGCTCAGAGGCAGTAATTACCTTCTTTGGCCTTGGTCCTTTTGGTCTGTCGGGTGTCAGTATCTCTGGTCGCTACTCTCCGTCTGTAAGTTTCGGTGTAACTCTCAGTCTGGGTCCCGTTGTCTTGTACTAAGACAGGTGAGGACTCAGACTGCAGGTTACCCACAATCTGATTCATATTATAGCTGCTTCCAGAGCTACCTGAGTCTTTTTCATGACCATGTATCCGCCTTTTGAAGACACTAAAAGATAGAAAGACAGAAAAGGTTAAAAACGTTTGGTGACAATGTATGTGTTGTATTTTAGGAATATAAGGCATTAATCTTGGTACAAAACATTTGCATAGAACACTGAAAATTACTGAAATATCCTTTCTCTGTAGGAACATTGTGGAGTTCCGTTTTCTGTGTAATAGCCTGCTTCTATCAGGCGAAGACTTCTTCTGGGAGTCGCTGAGTTCATCTTTCTTTTTCTGAGGTGACTTGTAAAAATCTCCGTAGAAATGTTTAAGATGTGGCTTAATGTCGGTGGTTTTAAATAGAAGTTATTCTAACTGTCATGACATGAATAGGAACATGAACACGACTCAAAGATCAAAGCACACTTTCATGTTCTTGTCATGATGTCATGTTCTTTGATCTATGGTTGCTAGGCAACACATTTTAGACAACAAATCTTGACAGAACATGACTGTTCATGTTCTTTGATCTATGGTTGCTAGGCAACACATTTTAGACAACAAACCTTGACAGAACAGGCATCTGTATAAATATATTAACCAATAAATAGATAAACAAATAAAACAACAAATAATTAAAAAAGAATGCATAATTTTCTGTTTGACATTGACTATTCAATTGTAGTTATTTTAAAATATTAGTGTCAAAAACTTCAGACTTGCTAAAATTAATATAGTGTCTTTTTTTTTTATTGAGCGGTGCTGCTGTAAGTCAGAAAATAAATATCAAATACCAAGTAAGATAGTTTTTGGGGTCAAACTAACAATAAAACAGTTCATTCCATTATAAGTTCTGCATTGAAATCACTACCTCTTCACCACACATCCCCCCTGCTTGTTACCAGGCTGTAGATGTTTAGATCTTGACACTCAGCATTGATTAAAACATTTTTTTTTTATACTAAAATGGTATGATTACATTTTTCTTTTTTTTAGGTCTGTCTGATTTTATGAAAGTAGCCAAGGGTCAAGGTAGACAGGAATGAATTGGGGTCATGGTAAAAAAGGATGAATCAGGGTTGAGGGAGGTGGATTTAAGTGTATTTTGTGGTGTGGAGGGATGAGAGGGTGGCTTAACTGTGAGAAATGAGGGCGATACATTAGCATTCCCCCAACTGAAATGCGTACCCCTTCTCTTATTTAAACTAAATGTGGAGGATGCTGATCCTCAATATTGAAGTGCAGCTAGTCGGCATAACTTAGCCTTAACCCTTCACAAACCATGTCCTTTAATACCCTCATAGCATGACCATGTAAAAATAAAAAAATTAAATAGTAGGCCAACTATAATGAAAAAAATGAATTGAAATAACATAAAAAACATACTGTGGAGTTAGGGCTCATTTATTTGATATAAAGTAAAGATCAACCAATTCTGGGAGCTTGCTTTAAGAAAAAAACACAAGATATATTTAAACCAACATGAAAGTCCATGCATACGTGGGTATGTGGGGAGTGTAATACAGAGAAAAATACAGAGCCAGGTAATTCTGTCACAGCAGCTAGTGTTGTGTCGTTTGTGAATGACTCATTCAAAAGAACCAGATCTTTCAAGTGAACGTACTGAACCGAATCACTTCCTCAAGTGATTCGTTCATTTCTCACTTCAGTTGAGTTGTCAGCAGTGCAGCTGCTATAGCACGCAGCATTGTCAAGTGAGCAGCCGGCGAACGAGGGACCGCATGCACTGACGCCTGAATCACTTGGTGAACGAATCACGCAGTGAACTACACTCTGTAATCATTTTTGTCTGACAAAACTAACTTTTTTTGCCACCAGAACAACTTGCATACAATAGGACACAGCATGTAACAAGTAGTGCATAAAACCTGCAGTATCCAATCATTGCAGCGGTTTGCAAGGGAACGGTGCATGTTCAGTGTGAATTCTTTTAATCATTTTCGTGAACACACACTCACTGAGCCCAATTTACTGAGCAAACCTGATAAATAGCATACCATTGGACAGTACACTTAAAACCTCATGATTTATAAACAATTTCATTTTTACAAACCTGTTTGTCAAAGCAACACAGCCACAACACTCTCATCTCCCAGCCTAGAAGCTATGAATTGAACTGAATCCTGAACAGGGCTAGTTCTAGGAATGCACATATGAGGGTGCAGTCAGAAATGTTAGGGTTTTGTTTTTTTTCTTTTCTTTTTTTTTTTTTTTTTTACACATTTTTAACACTGTTGGTGTTTTCTTCAAGGCATGGGTTGTTAGCTGTGTGTCCAGCTCTCAACTTGGAGAAGTGGATTGCACTCTGTCAGGCCTCTACCTTAAGACCTGTCGAACTTGGGTGTCCCACCTGAAGACTATAGCTCCTGCAGGTCGCTTAGGGTCGCTGAGGCACACAAACCCCCTGACCACAATAAGGTGGCAATCCCTCAGGGGGGAAATCGAAAAATAAAAATGAAAAGTAGAAAAAAAATATCTTTCATCCAGATTTTAACAACCAACAACATAACATTTATCTTAACTGGATGGCCTAATTCTTAAATAGGGGAGACCGGGGCTTGTTGTCACACAGGTAAGTTGTCACAGTGCAATTATCTTTGCCACCAGAGGGCATAACTAAAAAGCGGAACACTAGTTTTCTTCCTTTACATGGTCAGGGGTCGTGTCCTGTCTGAGAAGAGAGGAGTGAATTGTGAGCTGAGATGAGCACCAACCCAAAGGAAAAAAAATTAACTTTATTTATTTTAATATAAGCTTCTTCCAGATAAAAATCCTAGCAGTGAAACATGTGGACTTGTTAGAAGCGAGATTAAGACATCCTGTCATACCTCAGTCATTGTTCTGTTTCAAGATAAGTTTAAGATAGAGCTTTAATTAGCAAACACGGTAGTTTAGGGCAACATGTCGCAGTCATTTTGGGGTTAGTTGTCACATGTTTAAAAGGGATTAAAATTAACATAGAGAGTCTGCTTATCAGCAGTTGTCATACAGAAATTTTGACTTTAACAGAAAAGAGTGGTTTAAAGGAGAGGAGAAAGCGAGAAACCATGGTCAGGAATTACAAAAGAAAAACAGAGCAAGGCAGTGCAGTGCCTAACGTGATGCTGACAACAGTCAGACAGGTGACCCTAGCTAATAAATCAATCTGGAGTACAATAAAGGACTTTAATGTCAACTACCACACCATGGCTCGGTACTGCAAAACATTCACCTCAGCCAAGATACAAAGTCAGACAGCTCTTCAAACTCTAGAGCATGTTGATAATATCTTATAACGTTTGTTAAATGATTTTTTCTTTCTCAATGATAAACATTTTCTGTGCCTGACTTTGATGTTTACTTTCATGTAAAAAAATGAGAACAACAGTAATTTTGTCCTTGTTTTATAAGCCGCAAAATCCACTGTGACATCTTACCCCATGTAGTGAGACAACTTCCCCGATGGTGGGGCATCATGTCACATGTTCACACTCTCTATTTGATTGCTTATAACTCTGCACTCACACAAGATATGAAAATGACATGAATACGAAATATATACCTGAGACTTTGGTCTTTTATCTGGTACACATTTTGTTTATATATGATGTATTGATTGCAAGAAATATACAAGAGTGTAAAAAGTGTGACAACAAGCCCGGTCTCTCCTACATTTCAACCTAAAGGAAAGACTTGTCACTATAATCAATATTTACAAAACTGAACAGTAGTCATATGAAAAGAAATCACCAAGCATCACAAGTTCTCAAACTAATTTGTAAAACATAACAGATAAAGGGCAGAACATTTTATAACTTTTTTCTTTATAAGCTAATAACTCAAAATATCCCCTCTCTCCACCTCACTATTCTCTCTCTCGCCAATCTCTACACTCCACTATACACCAACACCAAGCATTTTCTCAAAGTTGTAAAACTAATTTGTCAAACACAACAGATTCAGAGCAGATACAGGCTATAACACACGTAACATTTTTCTTTTTTTTTTCTTCTCTTTTGTTTTTTTTTTAAATGATTTATTTATTTATTAGCAACTTAATAACTAAAATCTCCTACTTTCTCTCCACCTTACCATCTTTTCTCTCCATTCCACTCTTCTTTCTCTTCATTCTGCAATTCCACTATTCTACTCTGTGCTTGTGACTTGAGAAATGCTCCTGCTGGATAAAAAACAGTAGACTATTTCTCAGTTGACTGCACAAATATGTATGGATGTTACATTAACTTTTGTTTTAGTTGTTGCTAATTATGAGTTATCTCACGGGTCGCAACGACGAGTTTGGTGGAGTTTTGCTGCTTCGTCAAAGTCTCCCACTCTGTCTTAAAACCTGACACTACAGTCTCAGGCTGCGTCAGTGCATCTTGGCTCATTTGCATACTAAACAGTGATTGGATGTTTACGAATGGGAAGGGAGGGACGGGGCAGGCAATCTCTGACTGCAGGGTGTGTGAAGACCATAGACTGTATATAGAATGGACAGCGTCTGCCTCATCGCTGGGTGAAGCCACCGCGAGAACAGCACCCTCTGTTGATGGGCTGCAGTATGGGTCATGAATCTTGCCTCCTCCAGCAATCCCTATGGAGCTGTGGGACAAACTTTAGAAATGTATTACACAGAATATAAATCTTTCTCCCCCCTGGTTGTGATGTTGACATGTAGTTATTGTAAGACTGGTTTGTGCTCGTCTTCTTTTTTTCTGTGAAGCTCCGTTTTTAAAAGTTATTAGGGGGTTCAAGTTTTCTTTGATTGACACCCGATACAGCCTAATGGCATTCAGGGATTGCGTAGCTCACCCGGGGATACGCTGTTTGAGCCGAGTGTCATCACAGTGACTCTCGGAGACTCTCCCACTGAATGCACACAATGCTATGAAGAAAAATCCCGGAAATATAGAGAGCTTTTTAGCTTCAAATCCGTATACAGGAACCAAGGCGGAACCAAGTTGTCCATCGTATATACAGTCTATGGTGAAGACACACGCTGCATGGAGATGAAGGGATGAGAGATGAGTGGAGGCTGATAATTAACTTGTGCTTTTTCGGCGGATCCACCATTAAAAATTTGATTTGAAGGGGCAGGCCATTTGTTTAAGTGACTGTTGCACCCTCTTGCCCCAGTGTAGAACCGGCCCGATCCTGAACCGTTCAGCTGTGTATCAGTTCAGGAGGTTGGAGTCGCAGGCTGAATGATTTGGTGATTTGGTGAATGAATCTTTTGATATAATCTTTCTAGTGAACTGATTCTAGTGATTCAGTACATCTAAAAGAACTGCCATGCCCATCACTAACAGAGTTTTTAGACAAGTTATTTACGAAATTCAATCTTATTTTTCTAAAATTGTGCGTGTGTGTTAGTGATGGGACGTTTCAAGCCGAGGCTTTGAGGCGTGTACCGGTTATGAAGGGGGCTTGTCTGATGAAGTCCCGCTTTGAAGCTTGCATTGGTTTGCTGAAAACTACGTGACCAGTAACAAACAAGGCCTCGCATTACACAGGTAATATGACTGGTTCATTTTGCGTGTCGTTTTTCAAATTAAAAGCACGACAAAAACGCGTCGCTATGCAGGTTGTATAAGGTGGTAGGTTGGTTTGCACGTTCGTAGCAGAGTTTGGATTATAATCAGCAGTGGTAGTCGTTGAAAGCATAGGGTTAGTTAGTTGCAGTAGAAAAAAATGGAGAAATGGTAGAATTAGTAGTAGTAGCAGTGGCAGTAGTAGAATTAGTAGGAGTACTTTAATGGGGCAAGCAAGAAAGAAAAAAAGATAACCCCCCCCCCACACACACACACACACACACACACACTCCCTGCCCCCCTCCCAACATACTGTACCGTCACCCAAGCACTGCCCTTCCAACACACAACACCACCTATGTGTTTGATAAATAATTAACACTGATAGCCATGAAAAGCACAAACCAAAATAACAAAGAGATCGAAAATATTCATTAGGTATAAAAAGGGAGAGCAAAGTTATATCAAACACTGTAGACTTTGTGGTTATTGTACAGGGATTAATAAAGGTGGGTGGTGCCCCTTCAACTAGTTCATAAATGTCATGAATGAAGATTATTATCAAATATTAATCTTCAGACATTTATTATAACTTCAAATCGCTACACCGTGTTGTAGCCCCAGCTCTCCGCATTGCCCTTAATAAACTCCATAGTGTGTTGGGTCAGAACTGCGGGCTTGATCATTGTGGGCAAAACATCAACCATCCAGGAGATGATTTTAGGTTCTTTCTTCCCGGCTTTAGGAGCAACATTTTGATAGTGGTGCACCATTTTAATAAGATTGTGCATGGTCCTGACCAGTCGCCCAAACTGCGGGTCAGCTGGCTGTCTCCTAATGCTGTCCAAAATCTGCAGAACCGGTGGGGTAGTAAATCGAGGGTCTTGATTTGTATTGGCGGACCACCACCGATGCATACGATGCAGATTGGGGACCGTAGTAACACACCGTTCTTGGAGGAGGCACTGGCTGGTCAAGTAAGGGGAATGTCTCCAACAAGCTCTGTTTTAAGAAACATTTTTGCTCCGGGCAACTCTGGTTTAAGTCCCTGAAACAGCGTTTGAATAAATAATTGATGTCCTCAACTAAAACACGGAGCTTTGGGTGAGGGGAATGTCTCCCGTTTCCCATAGGGAGCAGGGTAGGCGCAGGCCTACCCCAAACCAGACACGCTCCTCCGGTCCCAGAAGGGCTGGCGGAAGCGCTGGCCCCTTCGGGCATAGTGGACTTCCATCCAGCCGTCCAGGTAGCCACTCATGTTTGAGTGGCTTCAATGAATTATAGCTTTTAGCTTTTTAGATATTTAATAGTTTTTTATAAAAATATTAAATAGAATTCTGATTTTTTTCCAGTAAAAGGAAACTTAGCCGTAAACAAGAAGGAAACTTAACAGTAAGTTTTTAACTTTCTTAAATAAAAATCAGATTGTTTTCTCAAAAAAGGTTAACATTTAAAATATAAATTTTTATGAACTTTTTTTTTTTTTTTGGGGGGGGGGGGGGGGGGTTAAATATAGGGTATGGGTAAAATTTATATTTATAATTTAAATGTATATTTTATATGGGTAATATATAGACAGATATGGGGTAAAATGTGGGGTACACGTTATGTAAAAAAATAAATGAATGAATAGATGAATAAATAAATAAAATGAGGGGGGGGGGGGGGGGGGTCAGTCCCGTCTTAATTTTGGCCACGTGGATACATTTTAATGTAGCCTTGTGATGTCATCATCAATGGAACGGCATTCCCCTCATGATGTGGCAAGTCTACATTCTAACGTATCCATAGAAACCAAATTTGAAAAATAAACACAGACTACACAGAATAATTACAATACAATTATATGAATGATGAAACTAAAGTAGCAAAATCTTGGAGAAGAAAACTGTGCAACAAGTGCACCTGTAGTCCATGGGCCTGACGGATATTTGGTACACCTCAGGGTGGCAAAGGTTCATCATGATTTTTGAAAAGACACGTCTGTAGATTATAGTTTTGTATGATAACATTTCCAGGTGCCTAGCTAAATATTGGTTATCAGCTCATGAAGTTAACCACCCCTTAAGATAAATTCGTTTTTTTTTACGGCAGGGACATTTCTCAAAGGTTTACAATAGACTGTTTAGTATCATTTTGAAGGGGACCCTTGTGGCTTTCATTTAAGTCTGTATGTGTTCATCTTAGACCAACATGGAAGTCACTAGAGCTCTTTAAATCACAAAAAATACAAATTTTCCTGCAATTTTCACCTACATGAAGATGATGGATCCACTCAGTTTTTCACACTCGGGAACAATATTCTGAAACTGTTGAACCGTTAGCTTACGCAGTCTCTCACAGAGCGGTGTAGCTCTTCCTCAGCCTCTCAGGAGTGTTAGGCGATGTTGTTTGTTGGAGATGTTAGCATTACACAACTTTGCATGTTTGTTTTTTCCTTTATCACTTTTTTTTAAATGTGTTGCTGGCATCAAATTTATGATTCGTATACATTTTATTAATTGATGAGATTTTTCACTAGTTACATTTTAAATGTTGTCTGCAATATTTTCAAGTAAATGTAAGCTTTGACTGATCTGCAACACATCAAACCCATCTGTTTTAATCGACATTTCAAACAAGATCAGGTTGTGTGACATGAATAAAGAAAAGACAAAAAAAGCTTTGCTTCTGTACCCTTTTCCCCATATTTATTTGAAATTATTTCAAAAGATAAAAACATGGTTGATTAACATGAAATGACCACACAGAGTTTTTGCTTTTCAGAGTGGACTGAGTGACAACTAAAGGGGACAAAAACCTGCCAGGTCACCTGTGTGTCAATGTGAGCAAGGAAACAACCACTGATGAATATTTGTTGCTTTTGTGACCCAGACCTGATAAACTGATTATTTTTACAGACAGGATCCCCAAAATGTGTCTCGTTGGCAAAAAAACCAGCACTCGCATCCATTCAGCTCACTCACCCGTTATGGCCAAACATCCAGAGAAGTGCTGCAGAGAGTCTGCTCCCTCAGACCACAGTCACCACCTGGAACATTGTTATAATCATCTCTCTTTCCTATATTACAAGCTTTTTACAACATAAAAATAGATCATTAACTATGATTACCTTATTCCTTAATGTAAATATACAATATTTATTGCATTTTCAAATAAACTTGTTTCTTATTTATTTTGTCGTCATCATCTTTCACCCTAGAGAAAAATAAAATAAAAAGGTACCGATGAGAGTGACAACAGATTCTAGTGTAAGGCAAAGACCAGCAGGGGGCGCAGCATCACAGAGATTGAAGACCTGAACAAGCTTTTCTTTCTGTTCACCTTCCTTTAAATATGTCGTTAGTGTTTTCAAAGCAAAGACACCCCGTCTGCGTAGACTCTTCTCTGGCACTTAAGTGTTTCTATTTTTTTTCTTTTTGGTTAATTTCTACCGTCTACAATCTGGACAAACTGCCTCTTGCATAGCATTCAAACGACAAACCGATAGAGCTGTTCTGGCCGTACAGTCCTTCAATTAAAAGGGTCCCCAGCAGAAAAATAAGATGATGGATTCAGAAGGAAATTGAGCTTGGACAAAAAGTTGCAAAACCATCCCTTAAACACACCCAGACCTCTGCACTGCACACCTGCAGCAAACCACTTCCACTCGGTCCACAGAGCAAGCAGGACTTCTGTTTTTGTTGGTCACAGTGTATTTGGAAAAAGACTGAAGATTCCTCTTTGTAATTTTAAGTTTTTAAGCTTTTCTTTTAACATAAGTGCTTTAAAAAGCATCATGCACAGTGTCTCGGTTTAGCAGTCAAGCTGCCGTGCAACATCGCCGAAAGATAGGAAATAACCACCCCTGCTGACAGGAATGAAAGGGCCGAAAAAAACAACCAGGAAATAGAGCCCGTTAAACGTAAAAATAATGGAGCAGGCTGGGTTTCTGTCACAGAATGCATGATCACAAAGAGGGTTTCAAACATGCCAATTATACAGACACAGAGCAGGACTGTCCTCACTCTGTGCGGCTCAAACTGACTCCACCCGCTTTTGGCACACCAACAGACATGATTCAAACGCACCCTCACCTGGCACTGCTGGAATGGCTATTTAAGACAAAAACTAACAAAAACCCTCCAAACATAAGCCTCATCAAGTCCCACATTCATGGCATCTTTGTTTTTTTTTTTTTGTTTTTTTGTTTTTTGTGGGAACCTTTTCTGCAGAACAGTTTCGGTCCAAAGCGTTCCGATTTCCCCTCCACAAGCTAACGCTGACACCAAAGAGAATAAAATCAAACAAAGTAAAAGATGTTACTCAGAATTATGAAAATCACCGTTATGACCATCATCATGGATATGCATTAAAAACAAAAAAGGTGGAATGCACAGATTTGAAGTTTGGTCCTGATATGTCAAAAGTTCTTCTTCTTCGTCCAGTCAGCAGAGGAGAAGTCCAGCTGGTCGCAGTCAGAGAGATGGACTGTTTGTGTCTTTTGTCCTCTCGTGCAGTGACAGAAGGTGATCGCTGAGTAGTGTCGAACCTGAAAGGTGTCGTAGTGTTTATGTTGCATTCCAGCTGGTGGTTTAGTGTTAATGTGTGAGCGTGTGTTGTGTGTTTGAGTGCTCCGTCACCCCCTTGCAGCCCGACCTGCAGACAGACCATGTATCCGCTGGTCGGCTGACTGAGAGTTAAAGTCCTGAGCTGAGGTCCGTTCACCTCCCGATGGGCGGCGCAGGAGGAGCTCCTCTCATCATGGCTGAAGGGGGGAAGGAGAGGGGGGTGGGGGTCAATACAGGTCACTCGCTCATGTAAAAGGCTTCAATCTGAACGTTTAGGGTATTACTGGATCATTCGTCTTTTATTTGTGATCCAGAAACCAAAACCGATTCACTGTCTGAGTCATATAGACCAAAATCGTTTTGTTTTTTTATTTCCCTTTTTATCCCGTTTTGGATTGAATATTGAAAAGGTCTCATGGTTTAGATCCAAATGAAAAGTCAGGTGACCAGTTTGTTTTTCTGTTTCCTGATGCAAACCGGAAAAAGAAAGTCTTCATTTTTCATTTACATATTCCCTTTAACATTTCTCATTTTTGTCAGAGAGTCAAGCGTTGTTTGAAGACGAGTGGAAGTGCCAAAGTTTTCAGAATAAAAGCCCAAAGTGGCTTTTTTTTTAGCGCTCTGCATCAGGAAACAGATTATCAAACCGGCCACAGGAGATTGTTTTCATTTCTGGTCACAAATGATCAAAAGGGAGAAAAAGGAAAGAGCAAAAAAAAAGAAAATCCGACTAAAGGTGCTTTCATATGGATTAATGTAAACCTTTAAAAAGATTTAAATGTGGGGTGTTGATCTAAAACTTGGTTTAAGTTTCAAAGAATGAGGTTAAGGTGTGTTTCAGACTGTTTTTCACTCTGACAAACGAGGATGGAGCCTTTGAATTTCTTTGTTTTGTAGTTATTGCGTTACGTTTTGTTAAGCAGTGTTAAATAAAAAAAAAAAAATCACAAAGGGATGAATATTTTTAACGTGATTTTAAAGATCAATTATGTTTTAAAATGACTGGATGTAAAATAATCATGATAATCACTGATTGGTGACTTTAACTGTACCATCAAAACCTCCGCCCTCCACATCTCTGCTCACTACAGGCAGATTTCTCAATATTAAACAGTCTGTTGGGAGATTGTCTCCTCTCAGTGACTGCAGAGGTTTCATCACTGCAAATATCCTAGGGCATCACAATTAAAGGGCCAGTCTGATGTTTTTTTCATGTATCAGGTACTTGTGGATAATAAAAGAGAAGAGGGTGCACAGCGAGAATAAGACAGCAGTACTCATACCCTTGTTGTTGTTGTTCTTACTGGGGTAAACCTTGCTGAAATGCCGGTACTCCTCAGGAGGTGGGAAGTCCTCCATGGGGTGGAAGCTGAACCTGGATTCAAAATCATCTGAAAATAAACAGCCAGTTAAAAAACTGCTTTTTAGATGAGGTGAAGTCACAACAAGTTAAGAAGAGGAGCTTAGATGTTTCTCATCTAAGATGTTGACTCAGATCAAGAAGTGGGACGCTCAGGTTACTGAAATGTTAGCAAACTTCTCAAACTAAGTCTTTAAATTTTGGTTCATAGTGAGTTGTGGGCATTTTTGTGTCCATTATAAACCTGCAGGAACAATGAGTGTGCCGCTCATGCTGCCTGCATTTATTTATAAAGGGGAGTGCTGTAAATCCACTGTTTATTCAAACATCTGAAACAGGATCAGCCACAGTCCTAATGTCAGTGTAGATGGTTGTCTCTGACACATCCAAAAGGTCCTGTGGGTCTTTGCACAGCACTTCTCCAATAAATCCTTGATTAAAGGGAAATTAGACTCGACTCAAAGTTTGGGGACTCAACTACAACCCTGGTTATCTATGAATCTATGAACCTTTCCACGTGAGAGCACTCAGTGAGACGAGACAAGAAAATGTGAGCTTCAAGAATTAGAGTAGGTCAACAGTAGGTGGTAGTAATGGTCCAGGTCAGTGGTTCTCAAGTCCAGTCCTCGAGGCCCCCTGTCCTGTATGTTTGGATGTTTCCCTGCTCCAACACACCTGATTCAAATGATCAGCTCGTTATCAAGCTCTGTAATGGCTTAATAACGAGCTGATCATTTGAATCAGGTGTGTTGGAGCAGGGAAACATCCAAAACATGCAGGACAGTGGGCCTTGAGGACTGGACTTGAGAACCACTGGTCCAGGTAAAGAATGTAATGGTGCTTTTCCACCCAAAGGACCTGGGGCTTGTAGTTCCAGGGACTTCTCGAGGAACTACAGGGTTCCTGTTGTCTTCCTTTCATGCCTCAGTAGAGATAAAGATACTACAAGACTTTTCAAGGGGTAGATCTTTTACCCCAAAAACTAAATCCAGACCCTAGTTCCTGTGCTTGAAGAGCACCTTTATACTGATACAGAAGAACTCAGTCTCCCAACATTAGCAGTCAAAATTCAAACGGTAGAAAAAAAAGAGGAGAAACCACAGTTTTGACCGTCTTAATGCAAAACACAAGCCTCAGAGAGTCATCCAAGAGATCCAAGAGCCGACCCAGCTGTCCTAACTGAGCAGAAACCATAAAAAAGCTTGTTTGCATGGCTGCAGGAAGACACTCAACCATCATCGAACATCAATCTGTGACTTTCATCAAAAATGAAGATCTTCATCTGCAGGATTATCCTATTCCAGTCAATTCATGAACAAGGTGGAGGAGGGACACGATGACGCTTGACTCACCCATGATGGACTTAGAGGAGGAGATGGAGGAGTGGCCGTTCCTGATTGGCGGGGGCGGAGGAGGGGGTCCAGCCGGGGTTCGGGAGGAGGTTGATGAGACGGAGGAGGGAGGTGGAGGGGGTTTGCCTACACGGCTGTGGGGCTCTGAGGAAGCGGAGCTGTGACCGCGGTACGGAGGCGGGGGAGGAGGGGCGTCTCGGCCGCCATTACGAGACCCGAGCTGGGGCACCTGGGGAGCTGTGGGGACAAGACACGCACGCACGCGCACGCACACACGCACACACACACACACACACACACACACACACACACACACACACACACACACACACACACACACACACACAAATGATCAGGATAACATGAATGACTGAACCAATGAACTTTAATACAACCTGAGACAGAACTCATGTTATCGATCCAAACTTTGGTCTCAGTTTGGATGTCAAACACCTGCAACAGGTTTTAGGACCTGCTCTGAACATGGCGATGATGGTTGCCGAGCAGAAAAGTCGTCACTCTAATAGCTGCATGACTGTCTTTCCATTTTCTTATTTATTTATCGCTCTCATCTGAAGATGGACCCACCTCCTGTGATCAGTTTGCCGAGACTTGTCTCGTCCTCCTCCAGTTGTTCTTTATTTTCTTAAACTTAAGATTTACTCACTCCACAAAGTTCTTTTGCTGAATATTTACCTGCTTTTACTTCAAATGACTGATTGTGGACTTAAGAGGAGAAATGACGCTTTTCTGCTGCTCTATTTGACTCGTGTTTCAGGACATAGTTCACTCCTTACGTGACTAAAAAAATAAAAGTTAGACATTGAGGATGCTCTATTATCTGATATTCAAACACTCACTGAAAGAAACCTCATACAAACAACGTCCTTCCCGGCCACTCTCTTTATAGTCCAGCTTTTATGCTGAATATTTTAGTAACTGCACATTTCAGCTCCTTAAATGAAGACTTATGTGCTTGTGTGGTCTTTATTGACGAATGACGAGTCTGAACAGCAGAGGAAAACTTAACGTGTCCCTTTGGTCTTTGAGAAAGTCACGATCAGCGTTTATGATTTTATCGTGAATATTGCTTCAAACAAAGCCTTCGTCAGATAACAAAAGAAAAGTACGAAGAAGAAGAAGAGGGAAAAGGAGGACGTTTACACGCTGGTATAAAAGTATGGGAGACGCAGAGAGAGTGAAAGTGAGGAGGAATGCTGGAATATTCCACAGGGCTTCAGGAATGCAGAGAAACCAGGAGGCCTAGTGGCGAATCGCTCCGGCGTCCAATCACAACACAGAGTTCTGGCTAACAAGTGCCTTCCTGTTTCATATGTTCACCCTGAATTCAAATTATGAATATGTTTCCAATGAGCTCTGAGGAGGAAGTCTTATCATGAACGGACTTCACTTCTGACACATATGATCATGTAACGCCTCCCTCTCCACGAACAAACACTCAGTAAACTTTTGACACACAGAGGTGTCTAAACTGTGAGTGATAATCCACAAAGAATCTGCCCAATCAAGCCTGAACACGTACGCCAACACAGAGCCGATCTGCTCCACGTGTTGAAATACCGGAAAACTCCCAAACTGCGAATCCAGTTTGTTCAAAAATGAAAAGTGATTTGATGAATTTGAAATAAAGCTGGTGGCTGCGGATGTTACAGCCAGAAGAGCCGGATTAATGGGATATTTACTCCCCTGTCATCGGCTGTAGGTGTGATCACGTGGAGAAAAACGTTTGTTGATTTACGGCTGCATGAGTCAAACGAGTCTAAACTTGAATTTGGCCTCTGAGTAAACATTTCTGCAGCAGAGATGATGAAGTGGAGTTTCTTTAACGTCCTTTATCCTGGAATCATTGCTTTAAGATGATTTTGGTGGAGTATTATGAAGTCTTCTCAGACAGACAGCAGTCGAAAGACACAGAAGGAAGAATGACTGATGAATAATTAAGAGTTGGAATCCGCAGCTCAGCTGATCATTTTGGAGAACAGATTATTGCCAAAGTCCTCAAAGCCCTAGAAGTGAGACGTTTGTCGGTGCGTGCAGTGTTTCCTTACTGTTTGTAGTGTCACTACTTCTGAGTATTTCTCAACACTTTACTGTCCTAGATTTTTACCTCCTTAGAGCTCAAAGGTTATGTATGTTTACCACCTGGCTTTAAAACCTGCAAGAGACAACCTGATCACACACGTCACCAAAAGTAAGTGCTGAAAAAATTACCACTGGACTTAAACTGAGATGAGTGCAGAGCTAAACTAGACTTGACCGCGTCTGCAGAGAACTGTTAGCCAAGCTAACAAGCAGAGCTGACTGGATATTGATCTGTGTCACCCGTACGACTGAAAAACTGCAACCTCTGAAATATCCCTTTAAGAGAACACTGAGGGACTTTAATGTTACAGAGAATGTAACTCCTGAAGCTGATTAGCGATCAGCTGATGTCAACACGAGATACCAGGAACCAGTCTGAGCTTTCAGGGTCTTACCTGCTCTGCGTCCAGGTGGCTCTCTGGCAGGAGGTGGTGGTCTGCCGCCCTGAGAGGATGGAGACGATGAGAGAGGAGGTGGAGGAGCGTGGCTGCGTCCCATGCTGCCTCCTGCTGATGTGTGTTTTTTGTGCAGGGAGTTTTGCCGCTGCGGCAGTTCCGGGGCTCCGCCCCCATCCACATGTGACGGCCCGTTGGAGACGCCTCCAGATGTGTGTGGTCTGTACGGTGGGGGAGGTGGAGGGGCCGAGGAACCACCTGTTGGCGGCCTGCTGGAAGATGGAGGTGGCCTTGTATTGCTTGAAGAGGTGTGGCCTCTGTTTGGAGTTGGTGGGAGGGGCTTCTCTCGGTTATGGGCAGAAGAGGAGTGTGAAGGAGGTGCCTTCTGGCTCGGGGTTGCGGGGGCATTGCCGCGGCCACCTCTGTTGAAGGGTGGCGGAGGAGGCGGGGCTGAGGTGCTGTGCTTCATCCCGCCACCTGTGGAGGAGCTGCTGCTGCTGGAGGGGCGGGAGATGTCGGGAAGGGAGGGGCGGTGGGAGCGCTGGTGCTCTGGAGGGGATGGCGAGCTGGAACGGCCCGTGGGAGGACGAGGGGCTGCAGACCGGGACCCTGGAGGCTTCAGAGCAGATCTGCCCACAGATCCTCCAGATGACCCATCTAGATGGAGAACAGTGGAGGAGTGTTGATGGTCAGACAATAGAGCTCGAATTTCATTTACATGTGCATGAAAACACTCAATTTACAACTTTCTGAATCTTTAAAGATAAAATACACTGAATGTGAAAAAATAAAAAAGAGAGTGAAGCCAGGACATCTGAAGCATCTCTGTTTGGACCAAAACTGCATGAAGATCTCTTAAACCTCATAATTCAAATCTCTGTTTGAGCTGTCGAGGGATCACAAAGGTCCTTCTGCTCTGCATGTAAATTATTTAAATCCGTGAAGACAATTGAGTTCTAGTCTTCAATCCATAATTCATCTCTCTCTCTCTCCTCCAAACTTTAAACCCCACCTCAGATATGTTTGCTCCATTTAAAAAAAGAAAAAGCTGTTCATAACGCAGAGGTTGACACTCACCTAAATCTGCTACTGCCTCTGGGGTTTTTTAAGACCACTGGCCATTAAACATTACTTTGATTTGGGAAGATTAGTCAGAAAATGTACTTCAGAAATGACCTGATTTGATGCTAAAAAACTACACCACCTTTCTATAACCTCTACAATTGAAGTTGGGATGCTGAGTAGAAGAGGAAATAGAATGACGATCTGCAAGTCATTTAAAGACTACATATGAATAGACAACAGATCAGACGTTGAAAACTGAAAACTTACATTTCTTTGTAAACAGCACAAATATAAATTTGATGCCAGGAACATGTTTCAGAGAGTTGGGACAGTGACATTTTTACAGTTGTGTGGTATCACCTCTTCTTCTTACAACACTGTAAATGTTTGGGAATTAATGTTGTTTTCGTCTAGTCTGGTGGAGGACTTCAGCCTTTGTCTTATTTTCGGTGCCATGATGCACAAAATGTCTCCATTTGGGGACAAGTCAGGACTGCAGGCAGGTCAGTTCATCAGCAGGACTCTTCTACTACAGAGCCATGCTGTTGTTATCCCTGCAGAATGTGGTTTGTCATTGTCTCACTGAAATAGAGAAGTCTCCGGCGTTTAAAGATCATGTGACAGTGTTAAATGCGTTTGTCTGTTGACATATTTTTTGTTGCATTCTCAGAGTTTTGGAGGTGATATTGAGTCCATGCAGTGATTTCAACTCAGGGGTCCTGTCTGGTTTTGGTGCAGTGCTGCCTGAGGGGCCTGAAGATCAGGACCGTCCAGTCTTGGTTTTGGTCCTCGTCCCTTTTGTACAGAGATTTCTCCGGCTTATCAGAATCTTTTAATGATATTATGTCCTTTAGATGATGAAATCCACTCATTCTTTCACATTTCAAACTCAAACTGTTGAACCATCAGCTCACGTAGTCTCTCACAGAGTATCTTTCCATCATCAGAGTATCATTCCTATCTTTCCATCTGAGAGACTCAGCCTCTCTGAATGTCCTTTTTATACTCAGTTATGTTACTAACCTGTTGGAAATTAACCTCATTCGTTGAAAAATGTTGCTTCAGATATTTTTTTTACATTTCAAATACAAAACTTCTTCACTATTTTCTTTTCCCTGTAAGAACTTCTGAAATACGCTGCAGGAATATGATAAATGACATTTACCTCCTATGGGTCGTAGTTTTGGCACACCTCCTTGGAAAAGACCTCCCATCCCCATGGGTGCCCCCCCTCCAAAACCTCCACCTCCTCCTCCTCCTCCGCCGCCGCCGCCTCCTCCTCCTGACTCTGGTGGAAAAATGAGACAAATGTCAGCAAAGATACATTTAAAAGCAGAAGTGGAACTGCATTCAAATATCTAGGAGATAAAGAGATATCTAACATTGAGGCAGATGTACCAGTGCACAAGTAAAGTCAAACCAAAGAGCGCCAGGCAGCGAACATCCGCGTTCGATTTGTATCAAGGATGAGACATACATGACAACATTTTGGTAGTCTTGGCTGTTTAGCTGAACATGCTACACACTACAAGCAAGTGGTTATATGGTGTCTCTCTGAAGGGCGCATCAACAGGAGGTAAACCAACCTAAAAGAGGGGGCTGGAATCAAAGCCCTAAACCTCTGACTGGGAAGCGACCCACTCCACCACCAAACCATGGTTGCCCCAGTAAGGTGACGCCTCTCCAGCAGCCACTCCCACCCTCCATACTTTGCTTTGCACTGGGACTGAACTTGTGACTCTCAACTTGATGGCATCAGACTTCGATACTGTCCACCCAAAAGTCAGGGAAATGCTAATCTGCATTTGAAACACCATTTGCATATTTAAAGTTTTGCCCCTTCGGTTGTAACATAACCTTAATGACATCCAGCCTGCAGGTGCTGCCTTCAGATGTGACTTCAGATGTGACTTCAGATGTGACTTCAGATGTGACTTCAGGATGTTTCCAGCGTGCAGCCTGTTCTCGACTATTCTGTTCATAAACTAGGGCTGGGTATTGTTAAGAATCTCACCATCCGATTCGATTTCGATTCATTAGGTCACAGTTCAATTCAATTCAATCCGATTCTGATTGAAATGCTTTGATATCGATTCAGTATCAAGTAGAAATACACAAGTAAGAGTACCCGATAATTCTTTTAAATAACTATTTATTTAGTTTCATACCTTATGAACAGTCAAGACACTGCTTTAACACTGAACTACAGTGCATGTTCATTTAAATTATGTGTTTCTTTCCTCTTGTAAATTGTAAAATAACTCATAACATTTTGAGTAATAAAACATCAGCTCAATAATACTAGTACATGATGCGTACAAAAGTATAAAAGAAATGATTCTGTATTTCTTTCTGCTTGGAAATGATGAAGAAATAACTGTCCTCACTATTTGGTCTGATCCTAAAAACCATTTAAACCCCTTTTAGATGACAAAGAGGAAATCTGATGTTTTTCCCCCCTTTCTTTCCATGTGTTTTCCATGACTGAAAATGTTTTCAACCATTTCCAGGTTTCCCAGGATGTGTGGAGACTCTACTTTTTACACGCTCCTTCATTATAAAAACATGGTGCGTCTATCCCGTGTCTTGTAAAAACGCTCAGTTACAGATACGTTCTGATGTTTGAGAGTAAAATGAACGTTTGTATGTGTGTCACTCACTCTCTATTACGGGGGCGCTCCGGTCATTGACCACGCCGACCTTCTTTAGTCTGGCGCCCTTGCAGATGTCGGACAGCAGCGCTCCTCTGCCTTTAGTCTCAGAGGAGCTCAGTTTGGGAGGAGTTGTGTTCGCCTGTAGAGGAAGGTAACAAAGACAATCACACCTCCAGCTCTGCTAATATGATCTGAAAACTCGAGCCCACCTAAAGGACAACCACATCTCATAAACAAGTCACATGGCCGTCTGAAGAGTTCACTGGAAAGCTTTTGGTGAGGATATTTGATCTTCAGTCCTTGCAGATATCAACACCTCTGATGTTCATGCCAGTAAATAAATTTAAAAAAAAAAAAAACCATTGATCATAAATTTTCCAACTGAAATAACAAATTGTGTTTGTGTGTCACATAAATGTAAAGATATTATGTCGAATACAGAATCACAGAGGAGGCTACAGCCAAATTTAAAGCCTAAGCTCACTTTGATTTATTCCTCAGATAGACAAAGATGTTCCACCTCTTGTGATTCAGGATGAGGATCGACAACCAGGTCCATGAAATACCCGCTTCAGGTTTTTCCCAACACCTGGAGACCAGTAACCTTTGAGGTTATCGAGTCTCAAGGCTCTTGTAAAGTCATGTTATACTTCATGCTAATTCACGCCATGTTCATCAAATCAGTGGTGTAGCCCATTAATAGACTGTCTAATAACATTTCTGATCAGTGAACAGGTCTATAAGTACACAGGTGCAGTAAGGTCTCAAGTGTGGCTACATTTTACCACAGTTAAGGGCAACTCAGGCTGCTGCTGCAGGGCTGCTCGCCACCCTCCTCTTCACGCGAAGAAGCCGAGGTTAGCACAACCAGACTTTAGAGCAAGTCCTGTTAGTTACAAATCACGATCCAGCGTTGAATCAGAAGTTGAAATTAACATCAGCAGCAGAAAAGCTTTTTAGCTAACTGACCGAGGAGATACACAATGACATTGTGAAGTGTTCAAGATCGGATCAGTAAAGCGAGAATTAGGCTAAAATAGATTATGCCGTCTCATGATGTGCTCAAATGTCACATCTAGGAAGAGAAAATTTTGTTTTTTGGAGAAAAATCTGCACAAATTGAACAGTTTGAAGAAGAACAGTAATAGAATGGACTTGGTAAGATAAGAAGAACTTTATTAATCCCCAAAGGGAAATTCAACAGCGGTATTGATAAGGACTCGGATCTTAAAGACTCACTCCGATAAAAATCATGTTTTTCATGTTGTCTACATGTTCATATGGCATTTTTCTCATACTTGAGGACACATCATGAGAAAAAGAAGTGCGAAATTGCATTTCTGAGTATTTCTGCATTCAAATCGCTGTGAATATCTGGCAGACCCAAACGGCAGGATCAGAAACACTGAGATTTCCTACATAACCAATCCAAGCTCCACCCGGCTATGCAGGCCAGACTCTGAGAAATAGAGAGGATGATCACGGAACAAGCGTCTGCGTTAGTGGATTCAAATGCTCGTAAGAAAGCTAATTATGACATTAGCTTTAATCACCCTAATAGTGTCCAAGAGCTGAATAGCTTCTATGTTACCTGTTACTTCTACTACACCGGTTGGGCTGCAAGCTAACTCGAGGAGAAGTGTGCAGAGCAGCGTTGTCTCCGCCCACGACTCAGAGGCGAATTGCTAATGAACAACTGGAGCTCTGCAGAAGAAAAGCCCTTGAAAACGACACAGGTAACATGATTTGGGCTAAAAACTTCATAATCACAGTTTAAAGACCACTGAGAATGAATAGAATCAATGTGGATGAAAATTAACGATCACCATCTCTAGTTGTGATAACAGCTCATGGATTATTACACAGTTAAGGTTTTCACTTACATTTGATCCCTTCATGTATTATGATAGAGTTTCTGAATGTCTCTAAACTTTGATGAAAATCAAACTTTGTGAATTAAAATGACTCTTCATTTCTGCGACACTCTCAGTCACACACTCACTGACCTCATTGAAGGTTGGTGGAGGTGGGGGTCCAGGTGGAGGAGGAGGAGGGGGAGGAATAGGCATCCTGTCCCTCTGTTGGCACCTCTCTGTATGTTGGGGGTTAGGACCGGTGTCTTCACCGTCTCAGCTGGGACAACACACGACAACTCCTGAGAAAAGAAAAAAACAAAACAGATATATATTAAGTTTACAAATGCCTCACAGCAATGCAAAGTTTTTTAACACACATACTCAGATGCTGAGGTTTTACCAAGCCTTTCAAAAAAACATGGGTGCACAAACATGAAGGGGTGCAGGATCATGTATGAATGTTATGATAAATGTACACAACGACAGGTTACGTGTTCTATCATGTAGTCTGTACGAAAGGTTCTATTGATAAGAACAGTCAAATGTCACTTCCTGCAAAACCGACAACACCTCATTTTGGGTAAAAGCAGTCCATCCAGAGGAAAAGAAGATGGAAATCTAGGAGTCTTTGGCAACTTAGTGGCCTAAGACAAGAAAACCGTATCAACGGCCTGTTGGGGAAACACATAAACCAGGACTTTTTTAACACCATGGGTGACGCTACATTAGAAAAACGTTCACAGTCTAAGGCCACATGAAGGTCGTGCTTTTCCGCCTCTGCTGACATGTCTTGCTTAAGTACGAGTGTCACTTAAACATGTGCTTCTTCTGTATAAATGTGAGATCATCAGCATAGAAACGGATATATTTAAGAAAACTGGTCGAACAGTCTTTGCTTAATCCAACATGTGGCGTTTAATACTTCTCTTTCCAGACTGTCAGAATGATTAAATGGAGACTGATGAGGAAGGATTGACTCCACCTTTTTGTTCAATAAACATCAGCGCACAAGAATTCACGTCATCTTATGCCCATCAATAGGATGCTTTTTCTCGATTAAGCGATCAGCTGTTTGCGTAATAAGTGGTGAAACTATAAGACAGTGTCCTTCAAAGTAAAGTCTGTCAATGTCCTGAAACCAAAATATATTCTGTTAACTGTCAGAGAGAAAGACAGAAGGAAGGAGGAACTATTTCAAAAGTTCATCATTTCATCATCAAAATGTTACCCAGTGTAAATAATCAAAATAGTTGAGTCAGGGTTAAATGAATGGTACGTTAGGGAGAAAACAAGATGCAGAGCAGGATGCCAACACGTTTCACTCTGCTCCTCCACAGAGAAACAAACAGCTGATCCCAGCATGCTGTAAAAGAAGACATTCTTGGGAGAAGGAAGCAGTTACTGAAGCAGCTCCTTGGATACACCAGAGAGAAAAACCATGAGCATTTTCAAAAGGACTGTCAGTGCAGAGAGAAGCTCTGCTGCGTGTTGAAAATCTCTGCTTCAATAAAGTCGAACTCTAAAAGGCCATTAGAGAACTATTTCACAAGCATCTCCAATAGTTCTGGTTCCTGATTGTGGTATGACTGCAGTCTCATCGATGTTAACCAATCAAACCTCAACATGAAGCGCAAAATCAACATATTCAATGATATCAATATAACCATGATGATGATTTTTGTGTGAGGAATGTGGACAAGAGTGTACTGGCGGCCTCTTGATGTGTGCACACTTTCCTTTGGTTTGACACTTTTCACATGAACTTTTTCAAGAGGGAGACGGTCTTATAAAACAAAGAAGACCTGTTGCCGAGTCCATGTTGTCTATTTGCCTGTCTCTGTTTACCTGCCCTCCTTAATCATACCCAGAATACACCTGTGCCTGAAACTGCTCTAAACGTGTCATCTCTGCACACAAAGCTGACTGAGGTCACTGGATCTCCCCAAACCAGTTAGCAGTCTGAGCCCATTGTTGGCTAATGCAGGCAGCGCAGGCTCCTCACCCCGCCCTCACCCTGTGCTGCAGCTCCATTCCTCAGACCGCCTGGCTGAGAGTCGGGCAGGTTTTCACTCAGAGAAACCAAAGGAATCTCACCCAGCAAGCTCGCCAGTCACTCAGTGACGCGGTTTAAGCGGAAAGACATGGCGGCAGGCAGAAACCAGGAGTCAGGGGGTTTATACTCTTTTTTTCTGAGGGACTGAGAAATGTCATAAAACAGCCACTCAGAGGAAGAGACACAAGATTCAGTAACAGTCTCTCAGTGCATTAAACTCTTTGTGAATCAGCCTTCAGCTAGAATAATTATGTGGCTGCTACAAACAAACAACATAGTGGATTAATCTGCTGATTTTGATCATGTCGAGAGGGTTTGATCAGTGTTTCCTGAAAGCAACCGTCCAAGAATATTCTGTGTTTATGTAAAGAAGCAAAAAATACTCAAATTCAAGGGGTTAGACTCTAGAATTTGACTATTGTGTGAACAGTCACAACTTATTAATAAATATTTGCAGTTTTGCACATGCAGGTCAAAGATGTCCCTGTTTCTAACAAAGGTGAATCAACCTACGACCAATAGAGAGGATTAAAACAACAACGTTTAATCCCTGTTGTTAATAAATGAATCAAGTACAAATTTGACTGGGATTTTGATCCTGCAAGAGTGAGTTAAATAATCCAAACAGAAGTCAAACTGGTGATTTCAAACAATTTAGGTCCCTGATCCTGATCCTGCTTTCTTACACCGAGTGTCTGCTGATCCTGAGTCCTGATCTAATTCTGTTTTTTTTGCTGAAATAACAGAGTTGCACGCCATTTTGGGGTATGCTTGTTCACAAAAATAACTTAAGTAAATAAACAAAATAAGCTGCAGAGATATTTTGGGTCACGTTAAGTTGCATCAGGCAGTAATGTAGGTTAACACGCATTCCAAATCCGACTTTGACTGCTGCAATAACTTAGTTCAACTTTGATTTTAAGTCATTTTCAGGACAAACCGTGAGCCCAAAACTCCAAAAACCTGCATGATTTAGCTCAGAGAAAGGCTGGCTGTCCAAAGGGATGAGTTCACTCACCCTCTGAGATCTTTTTTTGCTTTAGTGAACCGCACATATTGTATTGCATGTATTGTTTTCAATGGTATTGTGTATATCCCAAACAGCTCTGTGATCATTCCTACTTGATAGTGTGAAATGCTGACACTTTGTCTGCAGGTTGCTGATGTTTAGTAGCTAGCGTGTCCAGAATGGATGCTCAGTTTATGATGGTTGGTGTGTCATGATCAGTTAAAAATGCAGAGGTCAGGATCAGGACATTCAGAGTCTGGCCAATATTCAGGCTGATTCAAAGAAGATTCATTTTGACCATGTCTTTACTTCCATTAATAAGTAAATAAACAATCTCTTACAGATGCTTGTCCCAAAGAAAGGCAGGGTAAGTGAACAGACTGTAACAAATGAGAGGAAGTATTTTGCTGAAGCTGCACGGCCTCACCTGTACGCATGAAAAGATCACTAAGACGCTGGAGGGGAGGTTGTTTTATTCCACTACAACGGACACACAGTCCAGTCCAACTACACCTCCTTACCATGAGTGTGACAGTCAGTATGTTGACATATTTAAAGAAAAGATTTGTTGCATCAGCCCAACTGAAACTGGACTTATAGCAGTGGTTCTCAAGTCCAGTCCTCGAGGCCCACTGTCCTGCATGTTTTGGATATTTCCCTGCTCCAACACACCTGATTCAAATGATTAAGAATAAGAATAAGAAGAACTTAACTGATCCCCGAAGGGAAATTCAATTGTCTGTTGTCTCATATAATATGTTTATAAAAGTCTATTATTTACATAAGATTTACATTATATTGTCTAATAGCTGTTGGTACAAAAGATCTTCTGAATCTTTCTGTCCTGCAGCGAAGGGAGAGGAGCCGTCCACCACCATCGGCCCTTTGGTCCATCAATGTGTTGTGAAGTGGGTGATCCATGTTCTTGAGAATAGTCTCCACCTTCTTCAGTGTAGATCTCTCCACCACATCCTCCACTGAGTCCAGCTTGAGTCCAACCACAGAGCCAGCCTTCTTCACCAGTTTGTTAAGACGTCTTGCATCTTTGTGTTTGATGTTTCCTCCCCAGCAGACTGCAGCGTAGAACAGATCAGCTCGTTATTAAGCCATTACAGAGCTTGATAACGAGCTGATCATTTGAATCAGGTGTGTTGGAGCAGGGAAACATCAAGAACATGCAGGACAGTGGGCCTCGAAGACTGGACTTGAGAACCACTGCATTAGTCTGACAGAAATCACACTGATTTGAACTTCTCATGCAAACATACCAGTAAAAAAAAGGTTGGAAATCGATTTCCTCTAATATGCAAATAACTCATCTGAGCTGACACTGGCCTAAGCGTTCTGAGCACGCTGAGAAAGGTGAAGCTTTCCTGTTGTAGAGCTGTAAAAGAGACAAGGTGTTTTTATTGTTCCATATGTAACAGGCAAACCGGGAGACGGCCCGACAGTAACGGGCTGAAAGAGGGCAAGTCATCGCCTCCTGCAGCAGAGGCGTCCATGCTTCTGTCAATGATTTGATTTTCAGCAGCGTTCGTAAACTGGGACAACATTAGTCCAGTTAGATCGCCTAACTGTAGCTCATCTTAACTGTGCATGGAAACGTACTGAGTGCTTTTTATCCACAACAACTGGACTCTGTCAGGCATCTGCCTCTGCACAGCTTTGGCAGAGGGCTGTTTCTTTGACATTTTTACTTTTTTAAAAGGTAAAGAATTTGGAGAGAAAAATAACACAGATTTTTCTCTGAGCTAGGCTATTCCACCTCTCTCTGATACTGCACATAACTTTGTTTCCAGATGCTGGTTCGAACAGCTCTGCACATGGAGCCAGTTCCGCTAAAAGCACACACAACTGACAGCTATACCGATAAAAGCAACAGGTCCTGACCTTTAACCCCTATAATCTGACTAATCCTTTCCATGAAACATCAAAGTGAAGTGAGGGCCTGAAGTGGGTCAAGATCGTGATGTTTGTTTCACGTAAAGCTGCGCACCAAAACGGTCTGTAAACAATGAAGTCATGGTGGCACGAAGTAAAGTTTCCACACATAAACAGGGTGACGCTGCAGACCCAGGAGCACAACCAGGGAGGGAGGGAGGGAGGGAGGAAGGAAGGCTGTATGAGGAAGTTAGAAGCTTTTGTGGTTAAGGAAATACAGTCGGCTAAAGGCCTGCGGATGTGCGCGAGTGTTTCTAGGATTTTTCAGGCTCTGATGGCTCAAGACTGCCAAAACATGCCGACACAGGTTAGAGTTCATGCATAATCCCAGGACAGGTTTCACAATAGATGAGACTGTCCTGTTTGGCTAACTAGTCAATGAAGAGACACACTAGATAATAAATGTTGTTGAAAGACCAGCAGGAGTTTACAGGGTGATAAAGACAAACTGCGTGACATCAACAGGATTTCACAGTCCCATCAGGATGTCATACATATCATCACAGTCATAGCCTAACATGAACTACAGCACAGTGAGTCTGGGAGCTGTAGTTTTAGGCTGGATGAACATGTCTGCTGCAGATGTGCACAGAAGATAGCTGATGCCATGACTGGATTTGAACTGTTCTATCTTGTCTGAGCGTTGACATGACTAAACTAAATTTAACCAACTTTTACATTTCCACGCCCGAACAACTTCATTTTGTAAAGTTTCCATGGAAATTACAGCGTCACCCCTTGGCAACAAAAAGCTACTACCGTGCAAAACCTTGGATTTTTGTTGCAACCATAGACTGTATATACTATGGACAACTTGGTTCCGCCTCCTGCCTGTATACGGTTTTGAAGCCAAAGGGTTCTCGGTATTTCCAGGATTTTTCTCTATTTCCTGAAACCAGCACTCCGCAGTAGCGTTGTTCGCATGCGGCGCAAGAGTCGCTGTAATGACACTCGGCTCAAACAGCGTATCCCCCGGGTGAGCTACGAAATCCCTGAACGCCAATAGGCTGTATCAGGTGTCAATCAAAGAAAACATGAACCCTCAAATAACTTTTAAAAACGGAGCTTCACAGAAAAAAGAGGACTTGAGCACAAACCAATCTTACTGTAACTACATGTCAACATCAGAAGCAGGGGGGAGAACAATGTATGTTCTGTGTGATAAATTTCTAAAGTTTGTCCACAGCCCCATAGGGATTGCTGGCGGAGGCGGGATTTATGACCTATACTGCAGCCCGTCACCAGAGGGTGCTGTTCTCACCCAGCGAGGAGGCAGAAGGCGTCCGTTCTATATGCAGACTATGGTTGCAACCGGATTACTATCATAAACTATACCAAACGCTGTCGCCATGGCAACAGATCAGAAGTTTTCGCAGGACAGTTGTACAGTCACCAAAATAAACGCATTTCAGCATGATTAAAAATACACTTACATAAAAGTTTGGATGGTGGGCAAGAAAATGGCTCAGTGGCATCCCCTGCAAAACTACCAAAAGATTGGCCTCAGCAGTTAAACTCAGCTTTAATTATGATTTTGGAGATCTGATGGAAATTATCCATAAAACTGGTGTTAAATGTTGACTAGCGTTAACTATGTTAGAAGTTCTGTATTTTAGCAGAAAGAGGAGAGCTCTGAGAGTTAAGATACTGATGCCCTAGAAAAATATGTGGATTTTTTTAATTGCAGGATAAAACAAATAAAAAGCTTGTTTGATGTTATTACTGGGGAAAAAAACCCATTAAATTTCCAGCTTAAAAAGCCGAAGTTGGGCTGAAACTTCATCTCGTTCAGCAGATCGATTATAATCTCGGTTTAATGTGTGGCTTGGATACTTTGTGAGTCCCTTTAAACCTCTTTACTGGACTTGTTGTCTCGATCGCGGCCTGGAAAACCTCTTGTTGTTCAGGTTTGGGTTGGAGCTGCATGAGGATTTAACAGGCCCGGACAGGTAGATCCAGCCGCTCCCAGGTGAACCTCGCTGGATCAGTTCACCTGCTGGCACGAGCTTAAACTTAGGTAAAGTAAAGTTAGCTTCAACATCCAACTCACCCTGGCTCAAAAAAGAGGAGGTTCGATGTCCTGGTCCTCCTAAACCACATGAATAGAAAGTGCTGTTGTGGCGATCCTTCCTCTGGGCTCAGAGAGGAAAACCAGGACCGGGAGGGAGCTGGAAAAAACCCAAAACCCTCACTCAAGTTAGCCGGCTAACGTTAGCGAGCTGTCGACGGTCCACAAGCTCGGCTAGAGGCGGTTCTGCAGGAGCCAGCAGCAGCAGCAGTTAGCGGGTCAGCGGGTCCGCATCGGGCTGTTTACTCTCCAGCTGTCAGAGTCAGTCCGGCGGGCTGAGAATCCCGACAAATAACAACTTTCTGCGATGAGTCAGCGCTTAAAACAAACTAAAGGAAGCACGAAGGGTCACTTTTGGGAGCGTCGGGCATATAAAGAAAACTTTACCCGCATTCCGGACCTGCGAGCAGAGCCATACTCCCCGCTGACACCGTTCGGTTTTATCGGTCCCTTCTCAGAAACCCGGAAACGGGACGGGCCGACACAAAATGGAGGCAGATCTGCGCTGCGTTCAAGTGCTGTCGGAAATTACAGCGTCCAGACACAAAAGTTGTAATTGACTTACAAATCTAATAAAAATACGGGAAGTATTTACAAAATGGCTCAAGTAGAGATTTATTGAAACGATCTTAAGTCCCCCCCAATTTTTTTTAAAAGGTCATTAAAAAACGAGTACATGAGATGACTTCTTCCTTTTATCGTTAATCTTATTTCGACTTACTGTCTTTTTAGCCTTTGTTTTACTTATATTTTCCTATTTAACCTTTTAGACCTCTTATTAATTTAATTGTTTTTTTCTGCTCATTTCTGTTATTCCATTTTATCATTAATATTACATCATAATTATTTTGTTATGATTTTATTATCATTATTAATATCGTCTTCTATCCTGTTTCCTGCTTTCTAACCCCCCACCCCTTTTTTTTATTTCATTTCTTTTTCTTAACTATTTTATGTTTTTATTTTGGTCCTCATGGTCTCATTTTATATTGTAGGGTTCTTGTATTGTCTGGGTTCCTTGATGGCAAATGAAAGTGGCCTTTAATTCGGAGGCCTTGTTTTTAACTGAGCTTTTGTTTATTATTTGTTTTTATTTCCATGTGCTGATGTTCTGTGCTTTACAAATGTTTATCAAAGCACTTTGTTAACTTCTGTTTTTAAAGTGCTATACAAATAAAGTTATTATAAGTATTACTATTAAAATAATTAAAATTGCTATTTTCCCTGAATTACTGGGTCAATTACCGTTTATTCTAGAGAACAGGAAAAAAACACATATATTACATTTTATTATTCTGAGATAAATGTCATTTAGGGAATGCAGTGCGTTTCAGTGCAGGTTTATTATTTTCAACTCTCTGAAAATGTATTTGAAAGCAGCAAAGGGTCAGGTGACGAAGTCGCGCCTGCGCATTCTACACAGTTGTACTTCCTGTCAAGATGGCGCTGACCAGAGGAGCGGGTCTGTGGAGGACATGCTGTAGGCTCGTACCCAGACAACCTCTCCTGTTGTCCGCTGCTGTCCGAACACAGAGCACTGTGAGCGGGGACTTGCTGCCCTGTCCAGTCCAGACCTCCCTGTCCAGTCCACCCTGGCAGGGTAAGACAGTCCTGGTCTCGGAGGAGGAGGAGCGGTCCCGACACGCCGCGGTGGTGGACACCGTGAACCAGCTGATCCACAAGCAGGACTTCGGCCGGCTGTTCGCCGTGGTTCACTTCGCCGGACGCCAGTGGAAGGTCACAAACGAAGACCTGATCCAGATCGAGAACCACATCGATGCGGAGTGTGGGGAGCGGATCCGGATGGAGAAGGTGCTGCTGGTCGGCGCGGAGGAGTTCACTCTGATCGGGAGGCCTCTGCTGGGGAAGGATCTGGTCAGGGTCGATGCTACTGTGATCGAGAAGACCGAATCTTGGCCCAAAATCAACATGGTGTTCTGGAAGAGACACCGGTATCAGCGTAAGAAGATCATCATCCAGCCACAGACAGTTCTGAGGATCAACAGCATCGAGCTGGCCCCGAGACTGACATGATCCGGGCTAGACTGTGACATTGACTCACACAAACTGAATGATGATGATGAGTCTTTAGTAAGGAGAGTTTAAGACCTCCAGCCTTCTGGAGCTAATTCAGCTGGGCCTCTGGGCTTAGTTTGTGTCTGTAAATAAAGGTTTTTCAAAGATTAAATGATTCTGTTTCATATCAGCAGATCTGTCAGTGTGACTGTTACAAACTCATTAATATGCAGTTCACAAGTTCACACTGAAGGCATCAAATCAGGTTATTCTGAGGTTGTTTTGATGAATCCATGTCCAGGGATTCCTGGTTAATGCAGCAGATTTTATCCCTCAGGAGTAACAGTTTGTTTGCTTCTGTCATACAGGCAGTAGTCAAGCTGTGAAAACAAATCTGGAGGAATGGTGGATTATATTGTTTGGGACAGATATTTTTTTCTGATGACAGTGCACAAAGTGGGAAACTAACTGCGTACCCATTTTATTGTTGCTAAAGCGCAAAGATAATTACTATATTATCCCTCGGATTGAGCTGTCCATGTCACTTTGCCACTTACTGGTGTCATTTTTTTTTTTAAAGGGAAAAAAGTGTCCTTTTCACATGCGCCTCCTCACCCAGAGTATTTTACTAAATATGCACAAAGCTCCCTGTTGCAGGGTTCTCGCTTAAACAATCAAAATATAGTGGAAAAACATAGGTGAAGTGGGAGAAATACAGTGATGGTGATCTATATTTACAGCTGGCCTTCCAATTTGCAGTGCAAAAATTATTGATTAAATAAGTTTGAAAAAAAGAACTCATTTATTCACTTTTAAACCATTTTAAACTTCAGACACTTTTTTCTAAGTTTTTACCATTTTAACTAAGTTTTTACACAAATCAGTGGAGCATTAATTTTTTTCAAACAAGGGAATATATTTTTCTTGCATCATGTGACCACCTTGACCCTCCATATCCACCTATTTTACATGTGGCAATCATGCGTTCTGTTTCCTCATTTGAAAACCTGATCCGCCAAGAAAGTGGAGAGATGAATGTCTTTGTGAATGTATGTTTGAGTTAGCTGGTAGGGCTCCAATTGTGCACCCTTGGTTACCCGATGCAACATAGAAGGGAAAGGAAAAGTAACGCTGTTTGGTGGGTAATTAGTGACTCTGCCAGGGAGGGAAATGTTTGACGCGTATGTGTGCGTCCTTTTGGAAGGGGGATGATTTTTACCATTTTCATTTCACAGCTTGAGTACTGCATATGGGTCCTCTAAGGCTGAACATGCTGTTCTTTACTAAGACTTACTGGATCTTCCAGTGTGGACTGGCTTGCTGTCATTTGACACGTCTAGTAGTGCTGTCATTAACTCTAGGATTCAGCATCATCTGCAGCTCTGTGGGGATTGAAACTCCAAAATAATGCTCAGTCAGCTTTTGTGCTTGATCAGTCTGATTGGCTGCACCTGTATGCTTAGGTCACGGATAAGAGCTCAATGTAACAATGAACCATTAAATAACAAAAGCAGGGTTAGTCAGCTGTGAGTGTAAAGGTGTGCCACAATAGGGCTTCATTAAAAATCATTAACATGGTAATTTGGGACCTTTATTGCATTGTGATTCACACGTAATCACTGACAGCCCTCAGTCTGATTAATTCTATGTTGGAGTAAAAACAATGTTGTAATACAGGACATTTACCCCCGCCTCTAATTAAAGGGATATTCCGGTGTAAAATTAGTTCAGGGTCAAACACATCGTCACACCGAGTTAGACCTCAAACCTGAAACAAAAGACCCAACCAGACACAACATCTGTTAACAGTCTGCATGACAGCTGCTTTATTCAGAGACCTGAATGACTTGACAGCAGAGATCTGATCTGAAGGCACTGTTGAACATTTCTGCTCAGTGGTTGCAACTTTTCTCTGAACTGAACTTAAATGCAGGATCAAGAGCTTGTCCAACAGGCAAAAAAACATCAACAACATAAAATGAGCTGAAAACACTGGACCAGAACTTGCTCTTAAAGTTAACAGACTGATAGAAAAGTTGTGACGTCAGTGTTTCCTGAAACAGTGGATAAAGGAACATTAAAGTACTAATCAGCAGCTTCTTCGCTGTCACAGACTTCTAAATAAACTAAATCTTCAGCTTTGGTGAAATCACAGGTTTGTATACCATCCTTTTAAACTATTTCATTGTTTTCAGGCTTCCAGTCAACTCAGAAATCAGTCTGGTCGTTGTGAACTGATGTGAAGCATCATCTTTTTAAACTCATCTGTGCTGTTATAATCATGTGTTTGATCAGGAGGGAAAACTTTTAAAATATAGATGTTCAAATGGAGTTTGGTGACATTTCTCTCCTCCTTACAAAATGAAAAAAAAAAAGACATTCTTTCATGAATCATAACAGAAAAAGCATTTTCAAAAAAGAATCTCCAGAATGATTTTCAAAAGTCCAATAAGAATTGTCCATAATATCGACTCCTCCTCCTCAAAGTCCTCCTCTGCTTCCTGAGTGGATTTCTTCTGTTTGTGTTCGTCACCTGGAGTGTATGAGCCCTTATCGAACGGGTCCAGGGGAACCGTCTGATCGTAAAACACTCGCATCTCAAACTCGCTCTCCTTGTGTGATGGGTGGCCGTAGATGCCGATGCCCACAGGACGGGCAAAGTCCCCCGGCACCACCACCACGTCCTGCCCACAAGTGACCGACTGCAGCTTGTAGGTGTCGAAGCTCGGACGCAAAGTTTTATCGGACACGTAGAGGTCGGCATCTCCTTTGAGGCTCTGCATGTGTAGGATGATTCTGCCATCGTGGTTGAGGCGTAGGTAGCTGTAGTTCCCGGCGCCGATATGGCCCTGGACCACGTGAAGCAGAACCCACTCCTCAGGGATGCCGTCCTCCTCTGAGGAGTTCAGGAAGCCTCTGACCTGAGACAGCAGGAGGGCAACGAGCAGAGCGCTGCAGCTCAGCATCATGCTGAAGGCATCTGTCGGTCAGTCAGTCACCGCCCGGACGACACCAGACAGCCTGAAAACAAGAGGAGGAATATTTAAAAAAAAACCTCAAGAGAGAAAAAAAAATCCCACAGAGCTAAATGAACCATCAGTGACTGTGAAATATTTACAGAACGCCTTCCTCAGGCTGAAGAGGTCTCAACATGTTTCTTTTGTTTGACTAACGAACCAAAACTCAAACTCAACTTTTAATACTTTGCAAATACTTTTTTTTACCATGAGCTTTAAAGCTCTGCAAGTGCTGCTTTTCTTGTGTTTGAAAGTATCAAAAAACACAGAATATTATAAAACCCAAAGCTACCAAGAGCTAAAAGAGAGAGAGAAAGAGAGAGCTAAAGAAAGAGAGCAGCAGGGAGAAGGCAAAGCTGGGAAAAAGACAAATAAGACGCTGCTTCCTGATTGTTATCTGCGCTGTACGTCTTCCTGCTCTGTCTTCCATCACAGCCATGATATTGATCACCACTCTCTAAGACTGTGATAATCTAACATATTAGTAATTGAATACTCTATCAGTTATTATGGCGATTCATTAAATAATCCAATAAGACTTCTTTTTCGAAATTAACAAATGCAAATTTTGCAGCAGTGGAAAAAGAAAGTATCATCTAATCTTGTCTTATTACTCAATCCCAAAAAGCAACAAGGAAACGGTGGGATCTGCCAGCCTGTTGAGTATGCGCAACGAAACCAGCAAGAAAACAATTCTCTGCTTTTTTAACATTAAGATTAAGAGGAAATGTGGCCAAGACTGTAAAAAATTGGCTCCCGTACTGGCGAGAGGATAACAACAGTCAGCTGGAGCAAATATGCGCTTGGGTATCAGCACTAGTTTGACCACACAAAGAGGTGGGGAGGGCGACTCTGCAGTTAGTGCTAGCTTTATAAACGCAGAAATAACAATATACACTACATATATATTTTCAAACATTTTTTTTCTTTTTTGGGAGGGGGAGTTTTTGTTATCTAATTAATCACTTTTATATTTATCATATATTTATTTAAGATTGTTGACGTCATGATAGTTGACATCATGCCAGTAGAAAAATAAAAACAGGAAATAAAAGTTAGTTGCTTGTTCAGTGAGACGCACATTTGAAATTGTAAATGACACAGTTTGGTTCACATTTAAACTTTTTCAAAAAGATTTTGTGTAAATTCGGGAAAATTGGAGTGCAGTAGGATGTTAGAAAAGAAATCCAGCTGGTTCCCTGAGCTCCTAGAGTTCATGAATTAAGGGTTTTAAGTGTGCACATTATAGTTGGTATGATATCAGTATAACTGAAACCAAAAGCATCAGAATATTTGATGTCAGCAAAAGATAAATAAATAAATAAATAAATAAAAAATAAAAAAAAAACAATACTGTGCATCCCAAGGTATTTTTTGCACATTACTTGATTGTTGTCACGTAACTGTGTCATAATCAAACAGAGGTTACTGAATACCTGACAGTAATCCCTGCCAAATGATCATGGCTGGGTCGACCTGTTTGTCGGTGATGTTGTGCAATCTGACCCGTCCCTCACACAGTTACCTTCACACGATCACTCCTCATGATTCTGTTTGTCAGAGCTGTGATTTAGTAACTCTAGTAACTGACTGTTGCTTTTTTGTAAATCCTTAAAACCTGTTACAGAAAAGAAAGCCCTACTCCTATTTTCTTGACTAGAAATTGATATAGAATGGGCTCTAACATTGAAATTGTGTTTTTTTTTTTTCTTTTTCGATGTTATTCATGCTCAATCTAAGGCAAATATTCTATAACATTCTTTTATGATAAATAAGTGCCTTGTTTGTTTATAATTAAATAAAAATAAAAACTACTGTTGCTGGCACTGAATCTAAAATGAGCCCCAAAAAAATCAAAGTTGTTCAATTTCAACATTTATTATGAGTTTTTTTCTCTTTTTCCAATGAAATATTGGGCTCTAATTTACTTATAAATCTTTAAAATCTGTGACTTTAGCCGTCTTTGAAACGCTGCTGCTGCTGGGACCCTTAGACGACCTCAGCTCACCGGGTCAGCAGTGATGGACCCCTGCTCGAGTGAAACCCATGAAGCCAGACTAACCTGTGGTCCAGTGAAAGCTGGAGTGAAACAGATCAGACGTTCAGTGAGTAGAAGAAAAGCCCGTCGGCAGCTAAAAATAACCTGCTCTGACCTTTGAAACCAGTAAAAACACTATTTCCCAAGAGTAGCAAAGCTGTTACCCGTTTTAATATCTACCAGTATGACTTTAAAAACGGTTGGTTCGTATTAATATAGTCGCGGTTTGCGTTGTCTATTTATACATTAAAAAAACACAAGCAAACAGAGAAGTCTAAAACTAAACGCTGTATTTGCGACACGACACCTGCACACATTTCCACTCGGTGACATTAAAACTCCACAGTAAAGACAGCATACCTTAAATAACAGCTTTATACGTTGAAGTGTGTCAGGTAGATCATATTCTATTCAACAAAAAAACAAGTATAAACCCAGCTCCTCACTGAAAGGTTAGCTTCTTAGCTCTCTTCAGTTTGCTATCATGCTGCTAACGTGGCTACTAGTTCACACACCGCCCAGGTTTCCACTAACTGTTGACTGTAGAGTAACCAAAGCCCTGATAAACTGGTTAGAGATTGATAGTTAAATATATTTCGGTGAAGTGTTAATGACTAAACTCGGTGTACTTACACAGCTGTCATTTCCTTCCCAGTATTTTCAGTCCAAACAGCAACCGGCTGGAAACAAAGTTCCCTTCTTCACCGCTCTCTCCTCTGACTCACACATGACTGACAGCAGCTCACCGGCGCCACCTGCCGGTTAGTCCTGACCACTGCACCGGAGTTCTTCTTCTTCTTCTTCTTCTTCTTCTTCTTCTTCTTCTTTTGGCTTTTCGGCAGTCTAGACGCCCATCAGCGTATTGCTGCCTCCCACAGTTCGTGCTCGGTATTACACAGATTTATACTGTGGCCTCACACCTTATGGTACAGGCCTGTGTCCCACAAATATTCCATAAGGGCTTTCACCACTGTATTTTGTTGTTCCTTGGGCTTGAGTAGATTCCTCAGAGAGATACAGGACAGTCCTAGCCTGGCTGGGCCATCCTGTTGCGTGAATCACTTGATGTTCCTTCCCACCACAGTCTGGACTTCGGCCCATAGAGAGCCTGTATTCCCGATCAGAAAATAACCGGGCCAATCAGAGACTGTGTTTCCACTGTTACCCGGACAACAGGGAAAGGCAGCCCCTGATTGGTCCATGTGTAGTGGTGACGTCTAGCACATGCTGCGGGACTTTTCAAAGCCCCGTTCATTCAGAACGCCGTTAATTCTGCAGTTGGCTCTGCAAAGTCGGCAGAAATCGTTTATATCCGACGTCTTCTGCGGATATAACAATATTGATGTTTACAATAATAATACTATGGTTGTACCTTAAGTCCATAGCATAGACTGTATCAAAAATGGACGCCATCTGCCTCCTTGCTGAGTGAAGCCACGAGAAAGCACCCTCTGGTGATGGGCTGCAGTATAGATCATAAATCCCGCCTCTTCCAGCTATCCCTATGGAGCGGTGGACAAACTTTAGAATATACATATTCTAATATGTACAGAATATACATTTTTCTCCACCCTGCTTGCAATATTGACATGTAGTTATTGTAAGACTGGTTTGTGCTCAAGTCCTCTTTTTTTCTGTGCAGCTCCATTTTTAAAAGTTATTAGGGGTTCATGTTTTCTATTATTGACACTTGATACAGCCTATGGGCGTATGAAGATTGCGTAGCTCATCCAGGGGGTATACTGTGAGCCGAGCGTCATCACAGCGACTCTTGGCGACTGTCCTGCTGAATGCGTACAAGGCTACTGTGCAAGTGGTGGTTCCAGGAAGTGGAGAAAAGCCCGGAAATACCGAGAGCAATTCGGCTTCAAATTCGTATAATGACGGAAGGCAAAACCAAGTTGTCCATAGTATATACAGTCTATGATCCATAGTAATGGTCCTTGATGCTGGTTACCGTACCTTCAAAAATGGTGAGATGAAGAAGCAGCAGCAAGTGCTAGTGAGCTGACTGTTGTGCCCCCCTGAGAGAGGACTAGACACTTTAAAAAAGTGAGATTCAAAAATTTTTCATGAATACAAAACAATAGAGCATGGACATCATGAGCTACCAAAAGTAGTCCAGTTCAAATTAAAAGCATAGTTTTACATTGCAGGAAGTACAGCAATATAAACCGAAAACAAGTCAAAATATAATTATTTTATGAGACAGTGTCTTCTCCAGGTGAGTTTTGGTCACGTGGCAGGTATTAAGGATAAAAGATCATCTTAAACATCATGAGAAGTGGATGAGGACATGTGAGTTAAATGTGATTATTAAGGTGTTTTTTTAATTTTTGCATCTTGACTGTAGGAGCCAGGGTCCGTTTTAGTTCTCACCTTCAGGTTCAAGTTGATCGGGTACATCTTTGCCTCAAAAACCTTGACAGAAGTGATCTGGATTTCCTGATCCTGAATCATCCTTCCCCAGATTTAACCATTTCAATGTCCAAGCCCTAAATTTAAACACAGACTTCACCAAAAGTCTCGGACATGTGAAATATGTTGTATGACAGCTTGTGTGTCGTCAAGTGTTACTTTATTTGGACTGCATATTTACGTTTGCCTTGGCATCACTGAAGTCAAAGCTGTCGTGTCGGACAGGTCTTTAAATCAGAACCACAAAAACATCCCACATGTTGAACTAAATTCAGCTTCATTAGAAAAAGACAAGAAAACATGAAACGTCTGCACGGTCGACACAAGAATCAAGCGGCCAAACGCTGCCTGAAGGTTTCTACAGACACTTTATGAAAGCAAAAATGTGTAGACATTTAAAGTTTCCCTCTGCAGTCATCTACGTCGATCTGTCACCATGTTTTATTCTCATTAGGTGTGACTCAGCTCTTTGATATATTTATACACACGTTACTCAGTGCTGCTTTAACCGTTTGTAATCCAGTCTGATCATCTCCTGGCCTGTGAGATCATACAAAATAAATTACAAATCTGTTTCCAGGCATGCACACTCACATCTCACTCATTAAAATCAACTAGTGCTAATTTCACATCTTTAGTTTTTTTTTTTTTATAATCCTTTATCACTTTAATGAACACCAACTTTAGTTTAAACAAAAAGAAAAGAAAACGGAAAAAAAAGAAAAAAACAAACAGAAAAAAAAAAAAAAAAAACAACAACAAATGTTCCAGGACGGGGGGGTGGGGTGGGGTGGGGGGGAGAGTCTCGACAACAGGTGGATGACTTGGTCGGTATGTTTTCAAAAACCACATCAAATTGTAAATTCTATAATAGATATACTCGTTCAACAAGTCTGCATAATCTGTCACATTAGATACATTTGACGTTATGTGGAAGTCACCTACTATCACCACTTCAGTGTTTAAATATTAACTGCAAACCAGTCGACCGATTTAAGGCTTCCGAGGTTTGACAGCGGAGTCACGGCGATCTGTCACATCCACAAAAAGTCCGGACCGGGCCTCCACCTTCATCGAGAGGCGTTTCCTGATGTAACTTCAGAATAAAAGGCCCCAAAAGTAGTGTGTGATCTTTTTTTTTTCTTTTTCTTCTCTCCTCAGAATATAAGATTATCTCAACATTTAAATAAATCACTGCATTTGTTGTCTTATAAAACACGCTGATATCTTCACTTCAGTGAGGGTGGCGAGAAAGAAATCTGGGGTTTAAATATGTCGATTCAAACTTTACAAACTCCAAACAGGGCTGGAGGCTTTATGAAGGGGGTGGAGACAGGGAACCATGAACTTTTCAGCTGATTTCTTTTTTTTTTTTAAAAGGAACATTGTCTGCAAAAAAATGCTCGCATTTACACTTTACAATGTAGTACCATGCTGGCGCTGCTCGCCTCATCCTAACCGTTTATCAGCAAATGGAGAATCAGTGCAGTTGGAAACTACAATGCACACACTCTACTGTTTTTAACCCCATTCTGCCAGCACACCTTCTGCTCTTATCCAATCACAACGCTGGGGAGAGGGGAAGCAGGAAATGAGGATGCATCATGAAAGGAGGAGGGAGTCAGAAATAACAAATTAAATGTTTGTACAGAAAACAAACAGAAGTAAACAAAGCGGTAAATGCAGAAAATCACACTTCATGCATTTTTAATTTGGGCAGCAGGAAAAAAAAAGGAGGCGGTGGGGGTGGAGAGGATTCACAGTTTTCTCAGCTACGGCGCAGATGATGAGGGGGTGTATACGGGGAGGGGGGTGCTGAGTAAGCGGGGTGGGGGGATGTTTCCGAGACTTCACTGAGAGGGAGAGATGCCGTAAACAGCAGAATGGGGCTAAAACTACATTCCTGGTCTGACTAACATGGATCTGCCTGGTTAACGTAGAAAGAGTCTCTGTGTTTCCAACACTCGGTGAAATTCTTGGCTTTGCCATTGTGTTTCTTACAGTTTCTTTAAAGAAATGAAGCCTGCTGGAAAAGTACGCTCTGCTCTCCCGCTCTGAGGGGAGGAGGAGGCAGCTATGATGCTGGGAGGTCCGCGCTAGAGGGAGGGAGGGAGGGAGGGAGGGAGGGTGGGCGGGAGGGGGGCTGGAGTGGGCGAGGTGGAGGGCGGTGGCGTCGGCGGCTCAGACAGGGGGAGCTTTGCGCTGCAGTAGATACTGGTGGATGTCGTCTGCGTCGCGCTTCAGCCAGGTGGCGTTGAGGAGGATGTTCTCACAGCACTGTTGCACCATACGTTCAGCTGCTGGCGCCGGGTGACTTTCAAAGAAACTCTGTATGCACACAAAGAGAGAGAGAGAGAGAGAGGGAGAGGGTTGAGAATGGATGTCAAAACACAAAAACATGAAAATCCAGAAGAAACGATCTCTGTCCTAACATTAAGTACTTAATTTAAGTAATTACTGACTGTCATAAAGCCAAGGGTCAAACTATGACGAGTATTACTGCAATATGAGAGTGATCATGAGATTTGAGAGGTGTCTCACCTTTACTTCAGCAGCCATCTTATCGATAGCAAATCCATCGACTGTGAGCTGCAGAGAACAAGAAACAAGAGTGAGCAAACAGACAACCAGAGAGAAAAGGTCTCAGCTCGGTCCCTCAGCAGAAATGTTCATTCTTCAGCGCTGAAGGTGATAAACAGGCGGGTTACCTTGATGAGCCGTGATATGAGGAAGCCGCCCTGGTAGCGGTTGTAAAGCTCCTCCCAGTTGTCTTTAACAAACTTCCAGGCAGCTTTCCGGCCTTGTTTACTGCTTCCTGCCACGCCTCCAATTACCGACACGGTGTCCTGGGGACGGACCTCTTCCTGCCAAAAGGAAGGTCCAGAGAAAGAGAGAGAGGAGATATTTAGCTACAGATCACCTGGTGCTCAAATAAGAGTTTCACTGAACTGAGAGACAAACAGCATTTCTGTGTTTTACAAATTTAAATTCAAGACTTTTCTTTTTTAACCTTTTAGATTCTGGACTCAATTTAAGACCTTTTCTATCTTTTGAGGGGGAACTGAGTTACGAAGACTTAGATGTGGCTATGTTTACTCCTCATGTAAATGTATATTTAAAAAAACATGAGTCAGCAGTTTCACAGGACTGTAAGAATGAGATGAAGTCAACAGAAACTTGCTGAAATTCCTGCAGGACACGTTATTCTGGTTATTCTGGTTGAAAACAAAACTACAGAATGAACAAAACCGGTTTCAGTTCCTCTGTTCAACGCAGAAACCAAAAACACTAAACTGTAACATTCTGCGATTGAGGTCATGTGTACCGAGAGGGCGAAGGTCAGGACTTTCTGGATGAGGTCGGGAGCAGAGATGGCACCCAGCACTCGCTCGATGCGGTTTTTCTCCTCCTGCATGTCGGCCTGTTTGTGAAGCTGAAGGCGTGAAACGAAGAGAACAACAGAGGAAGGATGAAAAGGAGAGTACAATATGTTACAAACTACACACGATGGTTTATATGAACGTGACCTGAAAAGATCTTTCTCACCTTCAGCATCGTGTCCAACGTGGCACTGTCTCCATGCTTCAGCACTGTTAGATAAACCTGAAGAGGATAAATCTAATTCAGTCACAGTTCTACTGGCTGCTTCAGGACATAATATGGATTAATGTCTGATGATCATGGGCTGAATTTCAGGTGTGCTCACCGGGCTCCTGAGGTCTGCCGGCAGGACCTGTTTGCCGTCCACATGGTCCCTGAATCTCCGCCGGGCCTCCTCCAGCGTGGGTTTGTGTCCTGCCTTTCCTAACTTGCCCAAAACCAGACCTCTGAGCAGGGCGTCCAGATGACCTACAGGAGAAAAGTACCACACTCATGTCATCGTCTTTCTGCAGAGCTGTGATCCTCCAGAGGATCCAATAATCAGACTGGACCTCAGTGACAGCGTCAGCGCCTCCTCACCTTCTCCTGGTTTGCTGTCCCAGCCGAGCTCCAGGCCGATGGGGGTGAAGAGGTCTCTGATGAATTCCTGGATCTCCTCGTGGAAGTCGGTGTGGGACAGCAGTGAGGACAGCACTCCTAGGTTACAGCTGAGGTCGCTCCACACCGTGTAGTTTGGCTCGTTGACAAACGCCTCCATCAGCTTCAGCACATCCACCGTGCTGATCATCCCTGCACGGGACTGGAACAAAAACTCATATCAGAGACAAATTCCTGGAGAACGGATGTACTGGACTTTATAGAAGATGACCTGGAGGACTGTCGCTCATCCCTCTTAAAGTAAAAGACCAACAGAGGAGAAAGTTTCTTGAAAACAAGAAACAACATCAGCAGACTGATGGAGTTTCTTTAACAACTCCTGTTTCTCATAAGGAGTGCCAATCGTGAAGCCCTTAAGGTTTGATTGGCTGCTCTGCACAGTTCCTCTCTTCTTTTCTTTGTGTACTACAAATAAACAAAATAAACAAGTGTCGAAAAATGTTTCCCTGAGTGTATCTGAGTGTCATAGGAACAGCCGACACGCCATGTGATGTGATGCATGTCTAAGTTCTGGAGGTCAGGAGCTTCAATCCAGAATCATGAGACTCTATATCAACTTTTTTGCAACCTGATAACCGAATAGCAACAAGCTGGAAATTCCTGAAACATTCACAGCTACAGTTTCAGAAATTGCCACTAGAGGCTGTCTTCAAATGTGGGTCAAATCCTGTAGAGCCCTGGAGAGTTACAACATTTTCAACAAGCAGAGACAAACATGTTTACAGCTGGTTACAAATAAATCATAGTTGCTCTCAAACTAAAAGAAAATATGAGTCTTTTCTGGTTTGAGAAAGAAGCTGTTTTAACACACGGATAATGTCTTAAAGAATAAAAAACTCATTCAGCTTTATTCTTATTGTATAAAGGAAAAAGTCAATGATAATGCCATAGCAAAACAGGAATAAAGTGGTTACTTTTCAGGGATAAAGTTGCTATTTTATCATTAAAGAGTTGTTTTCAGGAGCAAACACATTAAGAGAAAATACAAGGGCAGTTATGATCTATGATATTAACAAGACAAAAGAAAACTATTAAAATCAAAATTTAATGATTGTGTTCAATAACCACAGGAACACAAAGAGGGTTAATTTAGTCTTTCCTTGGTTTTTAAATGTCACTTTGGTTTAAAGCACCCCTGAAAAGAGTTCTAAACAAATTTGCATCCTTTTTGATTAGCTAAAATATAACAGTGAAAACGTGAGTGTTTTATTGTAAGAGTTTGTGGAAATCTGAATCTTAATATCCAGAGAATAAAGTCAAAGTTGGTATCGTGTTATTGATATATCAACCTTCTAATATGATGAAATCTTTCATATGAAGCTTGTCTTCATTCTTGTAATCTGTTTTTTTTATCACTATTAAAGCTTGTTGTAAATTACCACATTGGATAGCTGACAGAGATGGATTCAGATGTTTCAGCTTCTCAAAGCTTTAAATCAGAGTCATGACCTGATGTGGTTATTACCACCTATTCTTTTCAGTCTGTGGTTTTAACCTGTTGGCCGAAATATTCATTACGTTTGCAGGCTGTTTTATCATCTGTTTAAAACCTCTGACAACGATAAATCAGTCCTGCTGTTGTATTAAGACTTTAAAATGTCTGGATTTCAATGACGACTCGGACGATTAATATCTCTCACTTTCATCTATTAGCCTTCCTGTTTTCTGAACTCCCTGTTTATTCGTCTACACCACATTCAGGGCACTCAAACTGTCTTTGCTTTAGAAAAAAGGAGAAATGTTGTTGATTGTTTCATTCACAAGAGGGATTTTACCAGTGAGAAGAGGTCGTTCTGCAGGCCCAGCCGGTCCACGGGCTGCAGGCTGAGGTCTCTGACGCCCGGCAGCAAACTCTCCAGCATGGTTGAGCTGTACTGGATACGATAAAAGCCCACAGTGCCGGGGTTGATCTGTGAACAGCAGGGACACAACTGGGTCAGAGCGTGGGGGGGCGAAATGATGTAATTTTACTGTTTTTTACCCTCAGACTGAGCGCTTTTATACAACATGGTTCAGAGAGAGGGGAACAGTGTTATCCTGATGTTAAAGCCGGAGGCTTTAGTCAACAGTGGAAACACTTCCCCAACTAAGCAAACACTGATAATTGTGACGTTTGATGGACAAAAAGCAGGTGACAGAGAAACTTTCTCTGAAAGTTTTGGAGCCTCTTCATTACATTCATACTTATGTCTCCAACAGGAATGTAAAACAAGCAGAGCAACAGGATTGAAGCATTATTAACAGGTCAGTCTCAGCTGTATGAAGCCTCAGTCATTTTCACTTTCCTCTTGACGATTCTTTGTTCAGGCAAAAACATTGTTGACAAGCTGTGCTCATTTACAAGTTACACCCATGAGAGATGGAACAAGTCTGTCCACATCGACTCGTGAAGACAGATTTACAGTCCCACAGACCAGAGCAACCTAGAACTAAGAAACCTGTCCTCTCTTCAGTCTGGGTGAGCCTCTGCTGGACATGTGTGCAGCTGATAGAGGAGTTGTGGGTGCGACTGTTGCGACCACATCCTCTCCCGCTCCTCCTCATGACTAACAATCAGAAACCTTGGTTTGTGCACCTTGTTTGAACTCTGATCTTTCACACTTTGCATGAAAACAGGACAAACTGAGACAGCTCATGACTTCTTGATTCTCTAGAAAGTCTTTCCAGCAATAATTATTTATTTCTGTCAAACTTCACATCAGCTTCAGCCTCTGGTTGTCTTTGTTTGTTAGTGACTTTTTTGTAGATTTTAGGAGCCGAATGTAAGTCAGACTCGAGTCATATTATAATGTTTTGAAACGACGGAGTTCACAAAAAATGACTCATTAAACTTTTGAAATCATCAGCAGGAGTTAACAATTAACTAGTCACACTTACAGTACAGGTGTGTCACATGGTAATGTGAGGTCTAGCCAATCAGACAGTGTTGCGGGGAGAAATTAGGTGAGGCAGAGGGAAACACACACCCACAGTGACACACTTAAGTAGCACAATGTTTTATTAATTTGATCTGCCTTCCGCAAAGTAAGAAGCCAAAACAGATAATCATCTAAATGTCAATACTGGCCCCGATAATCAATCAGTTGATAACTGGTCTACTGCTGGTTATAAAGTGAAGTGAAAAGCTGGAATTTATCGTGACTGAGAAAAACGATTGACCTCACCTTGACCCACTGGTCAGGGCCGACGCTGTTGAGGGTGATGGTGGTCTCCGGTCTGTCCAGCAGAACCTTGAGCTTGGTGTATTTTGGGTCCTCGCTGGTACAAATGCTAATAGGGACCATCCAGCTGGGACAGTCCTCACCTGAAGAACGGACATGTGAAAGAGCCAATCAGCAGCTGGCGTAGTAAAACAACACTGAGGTTCTTTTCAGGTCAGGGGTTTAAGTTTGATCTTCAAAACAATTACCATTATGTGGTCCACTGGCACAAAACTTCTTCTGAGATATCTTAAGGATGCGGTCATCACCTTGCTAGAAAAAATAAATGAGAATCAAAAAGCAGGATTACAAAAGAAGACCGGGTCATAAGACAAAGCTTTCACTTCTGCTGGTTCATTCTCTACACACATGAAAATAAAAGGAAAAGTGGAGTGATTCTGGAGTTTGATCTTTAAAGAGTGATTCAGATAAATACAGGGAGACCAGACAGATCTGATGGAGACAATGTGGCTTCATGGAGGCAAAACACAAACTAGTAACATCAGCAAATACACTTGATTAAAGCCTCTATGAGGAGTTTTTTGAGTTCAAAAAATTGACTGAAATTCAGAATAATGAATGAATAAACAAGACGGACTAATTCAAGGCTGTAATGTTTACATGCAGCTTCTTGACGATCACGCTGCCTTCATACCCATTAAAAGTTGTGTCGACAGTAAAAGTAAGAGCAGAAAATCAACCACAGCTAAAAACAGCTTGTTTTAAAACAGGTAGATGTTTTGAGTAGACGCCACCACAGCAAAGGCGGCTTCACTTCTGGTGGTTTATTACAATAATGGGGGCCATGATTTAAAACACTGTACGCCAGTGAAGCTCACCTGTTCCTGGTCCACGACGATTATAGGAAAGCCCATCTGTTTGGTCCATGAGCCCATCACTGCAGCGATGGGTTTTCCACTGGCCTGCTGCAGACAGTCCCATAGGTCCTCTGTGGAGTAACAGCAGAGAGTCAGGAGTTTGAGAAACCGTGAAATCAATACACACAACTGTTAAGAAATAATCTGCAGCGTGTCCGTACCTGTCGAAGCGTTTTTATGTTGGAACTTCAAAAGATACGCGTTCATTCCTTTCCTAAAATCCTGCGAGGGAAGTGTCAGAGTTAAACGTTGATGAAGAAAAATGCTGCGAGCCACTCGAGTGTGTTGGTAACTCACCTCGTCTCCAATGTAGTTGTGCAACATGCGGATCACTGATGCTCCTTTGCTGTAGGAGATGGCGTCAAAGATTTCATCGACCTCTGATGGGTGGCCCACATTCACCTGGAGCACAAAAGACACACAAAATCATGAGTTGGAGGGTCTTAAGTCACCTTTGGAGCTATTACACTCAGAGCACAAGCAGATGAAGAGGACAGACTTATAGCCAGAATTAAGCTTTTTCTGCTCCCTTTATAACAACCTGCTTTTAGCCTTTACAAAGCCTTCATTACACCCTTTATAAAGCATTAGGCTCATCCTTTATTGAGCTTTTACTACACCCTCTAAAACATTCTTCTTGTAGCCTTTATAAAGCTTTAGATACACCATTTATTAAGTCTTTATAACACGCTTCTGTTAGTATTTATAAAGCCTTAATTACAACATTTATTAAGCCTTTATTAGACCCTTGAAAACACCCTTTATAGCCTTCATTAAGCTTTAATTACACTGTGTAACGCCTTTATTACACTTTATAACACCCTCCATTTAGCCTTTGAAAAGCCTTAATTACACTATTTATAAAGTCTTAATTACATTCTTTTCAACGTTTCATTACAGCCTTACTTAAGCCTTTGTTGCACCTATTAAAACACCCTTTAAGACTTTTTAAAGCTAAAAAGCCTTACTTACACCCTTGATTTTACAACATTCTTTCTTTAAGCCTTTCTGTAGTCTTGAGCACCTTTATTAAGCCTTTCCTTGACCATTTATAACACCCTTATCGAAGTCTAATAAAACCTTAATTAAACCTTCAATTAAGCCTTTAAATCCCCTTTATAATACCTTTTTAAGCTTTTTATAAAGCTTGAACTACACCCTTTACTGAGCCTTTTTCACACCATTTATTAAGCCTTTATGTAAGCCTTTGTGTGTCCTTAATTACACCCTTAATAAGCCCTAAGTATACTCTTTAGTGAATCCTTCTTTATGCATATTGAAAGCCTTTATAACATCCTTTAATAAGCCCTCCATACATCAATAATTTCTTTTATATAACACCCTTAATGTTTCCTTTTTTAAACCCTCTTTTCACCCTTTATGTCTGATTCTAACAGCTTTACATCCAATAACTTTGAATCTCTCCTCAGCTCACCTCGATGGGATGGCTGCTGTCCAGTGCATCCAAGTCCAGAGCACGTGTGTAGTCTGCCGAGACAAACTGGGTCCAGATGTCGTACTCTGGGAAACAGTGGTCCACACATAGGTACTCGATCCAGGAAGCAAAGCCCTCATTTAACCACAGATGGGTCCACCATTCCTGTATACATGCACACAAACACTTGTTAAGTCTGATTACTTAATTCCAGTCCAACAAAACTGTCCATTTCCTCTATAAAGTCTGAGTTATTCCTGAAGAATACATGATGACCTGACTTTAAATATATTCCTCATAACGTCCCCAATGTACATTGTCAGTGCAACCGTGTAGCTCTTTCAGCATTATCTGTCTTTGCTGTTCTGATAGCCATCACTACAGTATTTGAGCTCAGTAGATGTAGAGTTGGTACAAGTAGGGGGATAGGCAGACCCTGCTGCCTACGACCAATTTATTGAGACCTGCATCAGCCCCCTCTGCTGGTCACTCGTTTCAAATCGAGGAGTCTTCACAATCAAGTCAGCATTTTCTTTATTAGTAAAATAGTAACACCAGTAAATAAAATAATTTCCCCCATGATCCAATAAATCATTTAGCCTTTAAATGTTCAACATACGCCAAAAAATGTCTCAGAGCCGAATGTGTCTTCCTTAAACCGTCTCAATATCCAACCCATTGTCTAAAAAACTTCATTAGCCTCAACATTAAAGGCAAAGTTTAACTTTTTACAGTTTATTTCCCTTTTCCTGGGACACACAAACAACATTTTATCTCTTTTGTCTGTCATAAACGCTGCATAAACCTCATTTTGTTAAACTGATTTCTCTTTGTACTGTTATGGGTTTCTTCTTCCAGTGAAAGCACCTTTTATTTTCACTTTTATCTCTTGAATAATGCTGAATTTCATTATTCATATGTTACTATTAGTTTAATTTGAAACGACTCACAGCATGGATTTTTAAAAATCTGTCTCTGTCATTTTATTTTCAGGTTAAAATAACTGATGGAGCATATTGGCAGGTTACCATGGTGACCAAGTTCCCGAACCACTGGTGGGCGAGTTCGTGTCCGACCACCAGAGCCACCCACTGCCTGGAGGACGAGCAGGAGTTCTTGGGGTCGATGAGCAGAGCTGTCTCCCTGGAAATAAAAACCACAGAGAGTCAGAGATCAGGCTGAAGGTCGACACCTCATCTGAACGCCAGCAGAGTTCCTCCTCCATCAAACCTTCAAACGCCAAAATCAGCTGCTGGGCTGCTCATGAAGAAAAGCTGCAGGATGACATGCTGCTGTATTTGGTCAGTGAATGGAGCCTGCTGCTGTATGCAAATCTGAACACCTGACAGATGGCAGCACCTCCCACTAACCACAAAATTATTAAAGAGCCAACACTGCCGTCAAAGTACACAGCAACCCTTTAATAAGGACCTCTGTCCTTTTCTCTTTCTTTCTGTATCTCCTCTGTAATCCCAACAGTCTCCGCAGATAACTGTCTAATATGAGCCTGCCTCTGGTCATTAGTTTTTATTTATCATTGTAACTTGCCAATGCTGCAAAACACGTTGCTTGTCATGGATTGAGATGAGTTAAGAATAAGTTTTATCTTACCAACTGAGATTAAAACTTGTTTTATCTTGATGTTGGGCCTTTTTCAAGATGAGAAAGAGAATGAAGTCTAACCTGCTCACTGTTTAAAGTTTCTGGAGACAAAAATTGTGAATTGGGGCTGTATGAAAAGAAGAGTTTGACTGATGTGGATTATGACTATCAAAATATTGGATTTATTAGGTTTTTTAAAATGGTAAATTAGGAATAAAAAACTCAATAATAAAATGAATCAGTTGAATTCAGGAAAGATGGAGCAACAATCGTTTCTTCACTCACAGAGACTTTCCACTACAAGTTTGGAAATCTACCAGTATGACATGATTATTCATGATTACAAATAAACTGCAGCATAAAATATTATTACTCACACTGACTTTGAACCCATTAAGGGCTACAGTGTAAAACGTCTAAGTGAAGTGGAGCTACGACCTTAATCAATGATTAACCTGTCAGTTTTTTTCCATGATCAATAAATGTATTCTTTGGTTAATAAATTATTGATCAGTGTTTTGATGTCTGATGGAATATTTACATTTACAAAAGCTGTTTCATTATTTCTCTCTAAAAGTTGACAGTCTGGGTATTATTAAAAGAGTAAATATGTTGACAAATTATTTCTAAACTACTGCAGGAAATGAAATTATACTGAAATTTTGCCAAAACTCAGGAAATAAAGTTGGTAAATAAACCCTTTTACATCTACATCAGATGTGTGACTAACAGTAAGATTCCCCTCTCCTCATATATATACTCAATAATATTTCACTTTTATTTTATGGTGTTAAGAAATGATCTCATCTTCAATGTACTAAAAATGTGCATATGACACATCACAACATTACAATCAATTTAAAAACCCTTGTTAAGTATTTTAGCACTGCAGATCAAGTCTGCAAACAAAGAGCTTTGTGTTGTTAATACAGAGTTTTGTTTTGTGCTCTTACATGGCAGATAAAAAAGCATCATCCTAATTAAGGATGGAGTTCATTTCTACGATGCAGTGTCAGACAGCATAATGAAGAAGTTGGCCTTTTTTTTTTCTTTTTTTTTATAGGGCATCTTAATTATGATAATCTCAGGGGTTTCACAAACACAGAGCATCCTTTAGCCACTGAGAAATTTCCAGCTGCAGCTGATCACTCCAGAAAACTTACTGAGCCCTTCTTACTCCTTTAAATACTCTGATTTTCTTTGAGTGAAGTTATTCCAAGAGTTCTGGACCTCAGTGACAATAGAGTTGTTTTTCTTTGATGGTTGGTCAATATAGACGTGTGGAAACTAAGCATGAATCATTACCATATCATACTTAGTCAAAAAAAAAAAACACAGCTGAACTGTTAGTAGTTAATAGTAAACACAAACAGCTAGTCACACTGCGAACAGTTTACAACAGGATCAGTAAGAGCCCAACACAAACATATGCACACCTGGACAAGTTCTGCAAAAAGTTTCAGTTAGAAAAAAAAGTGAAGCTCACCTGTAGGTAACAAGGCCCCAGTTTTCCATGGCACCTAAAAAAGAGGAAGTAATTAGTGTTCTCAGATTCAATATTTTATTATTGAATTGTATCATAAAAGAGATTACTGATTGATTGAATGCAGCTCACCAGCAGCAAAATCGGCAATAGCTATGAGATCAATTTTAGGCAATGGATAAGGAACACTGAAGTAGTCTTTGTAAAATGGTAAGGTCTTTGTTGCAACCTGTAAAAAAGAAAAACAATGAGGTCAAAATATCTCAAAGGAAAACAATCAGATATTGATTTCAATTCTTCACAACAATCTCACCTCCAGTGCAAATTTCCCTTGTTCTGCCTTCCCGACAGGTGTGTAGACCCGTACCGTTATACCGTCTGATGATTGGCTCTCCACATAATCATATTCACCAATGACAAAAGCTACAAGGTATGTGGACATGATGGGTGTGGTGGCGAACTTCACCTCCACGAGGTTTTCGTCCTCTGGATATGGCTTTCGATCAATGACATTCTGGAGAAAAGAGGATAATAAAAGGCTTTTAATAAAATCAGAGATAAGATTAATCTTTATTGATCCCACAGCAGGGAAATTTACAGTGTTAACAGGAGCCAGGACTCAACAAGAATGATTGTTAAACGGGCAACACACGGAGCACACAGCGTACAGATGATTCTGAAATTTACAATAAAAAACTATTACAAAGAAGAGCAGCTGCACACAGAGCAGCGAGAACATTTTTGATATGATTTGAGCAAAGTTTCAAACGGTTTACTGCATAAGTGATAAAAATAAGTCATTTTCAGTTTGGTGCATCTCCTGAATGGACTACTGGGTGTCCAAAAGTGACTCTGAACAATAACCATAGATTACAACCGACACAGAAGACTCTTCTAGACACAAATACTGACAACAATGGATAATACTGTAAAAGTTCTAATAGAGGCCTCTCTCAATTAAAGGCAGGGTCTCTTTTGAATCTGAGTGACGATTAGGATTTTAAATTCAATAACGATTCGGCCTCCCATGGTCAAAATAATATGATAATCAAGACAGAAAAATTGTTTGGCCACCTGATGTGCTTGCCCGTCACATGCTGTAAGTTAAAAGAAGCGCACCCTCCTTCTCTTCCCCAACAGCAACTTCCTCATTAACAACTTGAATCATTGTGAAACAAAGTTTGGAACATGAGGAAGTTGCCGCTCCCGCTAAGATGAATGATGGACTGCTGTATCTTCAACATGATGAGCAACAGTGATACACACTAGCAGGCAGGGGAGAGAGGAGAAGGGAGATGAGCAGGAGGAGGCAATAATCAAAAGTATCTCCTTCAGATGCAGGTCAGTTTTTATGTCAGGATGCTTGAGGAGTTGTTGAAAACTGGATGAAACTTGTCTCTCTGTTTACTCGTTTGTAACTTAAAAGGCCAACCAAGGTATGGACAATCTCATTTATTAGTATGGCTACATAATATGGATAAAACATACATTTTATTTTTGAGGATGGGGGATCTACAGGGTAATAGACAAAATACGCTTTCAGACTTTGGATCATTATACAATATTTCTTAGCAGGAGAGTGTTTGGCGTTTTGTGCCATTTGTGTAAAGAAAATCACAGACTCCTCCTTTAAGTATCTCTGCTGGCATTAAGGCAGCCTGTTTGATACTAATCTGAGCATGAGTGGATATCTCTTCTATCTGTGTCGGTGTTTAAACCCTCCTGTTTCCACAGACACACTGAAAGCAGCATAGTGCAGCAGTGGACTTTAAAAGGTCACACTTTACTTGCTGAGAAAATAAATTTCAGCAGGTATTTGAGCGCTAAAGGTCAAGAGCTGGACTCATATCAATGTGTGCTGTGCTGCCGGCTGGACTAATCAAATTCCTGCACTGGATGGTCTGTGATCTGTCTGTGATCTGTCTGTAATTGTTTATTCACTTTTACAGCATTAACCAGGGTTATTTCTGAGAGATATTCTGGGGAAATTTGTCTCCTGTAACTGAATTCTGTTGTCCCGACTAGAAGGAAACTGACCTGGATTCAACACAACATGTCATTAAAAATGACAGACTGCGTTTATGTCCCAAATTCACCTCATCATCACCCCTCTGTGAGCCCTGTTAGCCTGGAGGGGTGATGATGGAAAATATAATCTGAGCCAGATGATGTTTTCTGATGTAGTTTAGCTGCAAATGCCTTCAGGTGGAATTACAGACAGAGAAGCGAGTCTGACAGACACAAAAAGAGATTTTCTTTTGATGACAAGCAGGCTTATTTCACTTGTATAGTAGTTACACTTCACATGGAGTTAAAGAGAAAATAAAGCAGTGGAAGAATATACTGTGACTGTCCACCCTGTGTTACGTAAGCTTCGGGCAGAAAAGAGAGGGAAGAAAGACGAGAGGGAGAAAACACATACACACACACACACATATATATAAACATGCACACAGACACACGAGTGAAAATCATCAGCAGAAAGTGACTCAGGCAGTCTGGGGTCTGGTGTTTCTCTGAGGGAGTGAAGAACATACGACACGTACCATATTTGACAAGGCTACCCGGTCCTTGGGAACTATCAGGGAGATGTCAAAGGTGGCTTTAATGGCGGGCTCATCCCAACAGGGGAAAGCTCTGCGAGCGTCCGTGGCCTGAAGGGAGGAAGAGAGCCAGAAAGAGAGAGAGAGAGATAGGTGTTAGAATCCAGACAAGTCCAGATCTTGAACTGCAACTGAAAACAAGCCTGAGCCTGTCGTTGTGACTTCTCCCTTCTCATCACTGTGATTTTAATCAGTGAGACTTTGTGACGTCTCAGCATGGACACACGGGTACAGTAGAGGGTGAAAAGGTGGTTGTTAATGTCGTGGATGTTACAATATAGAGAAACAACGCAGGAAAAAGTGAAAACAAAAACAATGAAATAGCTTGAACAGGCCAATAAACTGTCGATTATCTATATCAGGGATGTGACTGACTATTAAGAAAAATGCAGGAAGTGTGTCACAGTGTGTCAGAATTTTACAAGCATTTGACTCACAACTTTTGTTTCTGTGTCACAATATCTGCGTCTGAAGCTCTTTGTGTTTGTAAATTCTCATTTTATTTCGTTCCTTACACTCACAGTGTGCAAGTTTTTCCATGAAAAAAGGCAAAATGAAAAAAAGTGGAGGGAAGGACTTCTCCTGGAAAAATTGAGTGTTCTTATTTTTAACACCACACCTTAAAAACCTGCATTTTCTGTCACATCAGCCATACTGGAAACAGTGTGGGCATATGGACGCCAGACACTCCCACGCTCTCTGGGTGTGTACAAGAAAAAAGACAAATACATGTCTCTGAGTAAGATTTGGGGTTGTGATGACCTAAATAATGTTGTGCCAATAATGTAATGCCTGTTTTTGGATTTAACTAACAATGACTAATGTTGTTTAAAAAAAAGACAGAGTAGTGGAAGTGGTGCATCCCTTAACTGTCAATGAATAACAGACATAGTTAGTGAGATCTTTGCAAACTTTGGAGCAACGCTTCATTAAAATGTGGACAGTCTCTGTGACCGAAAGGAAAGGTGCTACTTTTTGTGACTCTCTTTGGACAGCAGTGGACCTGAAAATGTCGTATCTACGTTATTTTCAGGTTTGAGGTGCCCTCCACAATATGTCATCCTTGGTGCCTCTGTATGTAATATTAGACTCAATGAAAGTGTAAAAATAAAAAATAAATAAATAGGTCATTATCAGATGAAGGGGGAATTATTTGGAATGACACGAGCTGCCACAGCTTTAACACGTTTTCTTTATCTTATACAATTTTGAAAGTCCTAAAACAGATTTTGCGTTCTTGTACTCATGTGTAGAATTGAGGAACAGCTCATACTGTTGCCTGTTATCCATCATTTTAGTACAGTTGTCATTTCTGTTGTTGTTTTCATGAACGCAAAAATCATAAATTTTCATAAATGTTCTTCTTTGAGCTGCAGAACTTCGCTGCACTCGGTGATCGACTCGTCAGGGCTCCCCCCCACAAACAAGCAGCTGCTGAAGGAGAGTGGGTGAGTTGTGTTTAGTCTCTTTGCTAAAGAAATTAGTCAAAGTTAAAACGATGTCTGGTGGCTCGTACTATGGCTGGGAACCTATGTGTACTGTTGATGAAGTCAGGTGCCACTCTATAGCATTATTTGTGGCTATGGAGTGGCTTTTTTGTTGCGGTTTGCGCGTGGAGGCATAGACTGCTATGTATTGCTATCGCGCGGTCTTTGCTGAAGTTGGTATAACTAGAGAAGCATGCGGTCGGCATTCATCTCTCTAGGGGGGTCTAGCTCAATGTTATGGTATGTTTGACCATGGCTTAAACTTACACAGGAATATCCTGTATTATAGTATTTGAGAATCCTCTGAAATATTGAAAAGCTACTAAGAGTTGGAGAACGTAAAGAAACCCCCTCACTCATAAACTGTACATTACTTTTACATGGTTAAAGCTGGCAGAGCACCTTTTTGAAATATGCTCAGGGGAAATGACAGCAGAGGCCAGTTAATATTGTGTGAAACCAGAGTCTTAAGAGATGCCCTCAGCTTTGCATGATATGATCTTTGAGTCATAGAGTGCCATACTCTCATGCATATAGGACCAAGGAGAAAACAACCCAACTAAAAAGTGAAAATACTATCGCGACAACCAAGGATCCCTGGATGTGAGTAAATGGTCAAAGTTTCTTGGTGCAACTGCCCATCATACTGACTCTGTTGGAGGTTTTTGCTCTGCTGTATATCACCTCATCTGTAACAGTCTTAAAATAAAAAATAAATCCTGTATTTAACAGAATGAGCACATGGATGCTATCTCCTATCTCTGAATAACGGTTTCAGACTCCACCGGTGTAGCAGTGCAGCATTTATTTGACTGATTAATCTAATAGTTCAGATCACAAAGAACATTTTATTCCATCTATTCGATTCCCACACCACTGCTGTACATGGTTAACATCAGATTAAAAACATGCCAACTATCACACTTTAGAAATTCAATCCTTTCATAGCCCTAAAAACTGCATTTTTCTTATTGTAGCACCAAGCTCAACATCAGCCTTAATGGAAACTGTCTCTCATAAGTTCATGCTCTACAGAGCGCACACTCTGTGGTAGAAAACCGTGTGTGTAAACAGCAGGTGTTTGTCCTGCAGGTGAAAGTGACTCACTCTCCCTCTCCCCACCTCCCCATTTATCCACCACTCTAGACCGACCTGGTTCATGGCTCAGCTCTCCAAGAATCACCTCAATACATAGAGGCATTCATAAAGTAAACATAAGCAGTAAATAGAAGCATATCGGAGTTATTGCTTTATCTCAGGGACAATTATGGCATACCAGGAATCACATGACCTTCACACCCTACTGTGTTGCAATACAGGCAAGCAGTAGGTTAAGCAACACACTCCACTTTCCCAAAAGAAAACATCCAACTCCCTAGCGGCCGTTCACTCACCTCAAACTGTGTGACAGCAGCGTAGCGGACCTCTCCAGCTGAGGTTGTATATTTACTTCTATAGAATCCCTTCATTTTGTCGTTCAACTCCCCAACAAAGTCTATCTTCAACGTGCCGGAGCCTGGGGGAAGGAGAGTCGCAATGTTCATTCAGCCACAACCAGAGTCTGAAAATCTGTTACTCTTCAACAGCAGCGACGATGGAAAAAGACACAGAGTAAAGTGGGCCCTCTCTTACCTTTCTGTAGAGCGCTAGGAAATGACAGGGTGACTTTTTCATCCTCATTTTGATAGTTAAATCCTGTCGCATTTATTTCTAGAAAGAGAGGGAGAGAAAAAAAAAAGAAGGAGCAGGCTGAGGTTAATCCAAAAGTAGAGATGAAACGATTAAAGCTATGAACAGTATATTTTCAGGAGAGTCAATTCAAAAGGAGGAAAAAAAGGTGGAAAAAGCTGACACAGGTCGGTCCTCACCTTCTCCTCCCTGTGGTGCAAAGGAAGCTGTGATGATGTCGATGTCAGCACAGTTCATCACAATCTGATTTGTGGCTTGTGTAACCTGAAAATATTGACATAAAACAGCATTACTTAGACTTTTTGCTTAAACTTGAAATCCCATCCTGCCTGGTCAACCTAGACTTCAAATTAAAGTGGAACTCTTTCATCGTATCAACTCCCCGCCTTGACTTTTGAGTGCGCAAAGAATAACAGTTATGTTCGAGTTTTGTTGGGTTTCCAGATTGCAGATTGCACTGTAACTTAAAGAGGCTTTTGGTTTTTAGGGTTGAGAAAAGAAGTGGCAAATACAAAGAAAGTGATGCAAACAGAGAGAGGAAGACAGACTCTGGGGCTTCTGTGACTTGTGATGTGAAAACAGCGGATGTGACTGCAAAACACAGCGGCACGCTTGGATGGCATGTAGTTTTCAAAGAAGGCAGTAATCGTGACGTTCACGGTTTGTGGCACTCCTGGTTGGACGCTGCTGTTGTTGGAGACGCTTAGAGGCTGACAAAGGGACTGAAAGGAAGTAATTATGAAACGTGTCAACTAAATGGCAAAATAAGACTTCTGGTGAACAAGTTGTTACCCAACTAAACTGTGGTCACTTCTTGACAAACACAGCATGAAAACTTTCAGGGAGGCTCGGCTTGAATGAAGAAAAATTAGGACTGTCCAGATTAACCGTTCAGTGCTCAGTCTGGGCTCCTTTTGCATTCATTTCTGTGAAAGTGGACTTAAGGCTGCTTTGACTCTGGACTTGATATGACACAAACAGTAAACCAACAGCAGCAAATATCATGACACCCCAAACCATCACAGACTGTGGAAATTTCACGCTATTGGATTCTGGGCCTCTCTGATCTTCCTCCAGACGATGGGATTTCCAAACGAGATCTGGAAATAGGACTTCAGATCACTGAGCAATAATCCAGTTCTCTGTCTTCTTAGTCTAGGTGAAACTTATATGACATCAGGTCAGGGGGTTCAGGAGTGTCTTGACAGCAAAACCACGTCTCTTGTAGTCCATGTGCTTGGACATATCTGTGTGTGATGGCTCTTGATGCTCTGATTCCAGCCCAGTCCAGTCCTTGTGAAGCCCCCTTAAGTTCTTGAATCTGCTCTGTTTGACAATCTTCTCAAGGCTGCTCTCATCTCTGTTGCTTAGTCTCCCTTTGCTCCCTCACTTTCTTTCAGTCAACTTTCCATGAATCTGCTTCCATACAGACTCTGGGAACAGCCGGACTTTTCAGCAGTGACCGATCCTCCTTGTGGAGGGGGTCAGCGATGGTCTTCTGGACAACTGTCAGGTCGGCAGTCTGACAAGAACTGACAAGAGACTGGACTTCTACACAAAATTCTCAGGTTTTTGTATTAAACAAAAAAAAAAAACTAAAATAATTCACTTAGCGTAACAAATCTAATATATATATCTACAAGTCTCACTTTTTGAATTAATTATATGGGAAGAATTTTACTTTTTCGGGACACTAATTTTTTGAGCTGCACCTGTACATGTACTGGACCTACAGTTTTCCTCTCATGACACCACCCCTCAAGTTTTTACATGTTTCACTCGATCATCATCTGCTGGTGGACAAGGCTTTATGACTAACACAGGGTTCAGATAAAGTCCAAAACTCAGGAAGTACATGATGACATCCATGTAAACTGCACATGAATTTAAAACAGCATCACGAGAAGCCTCACAATTAACACATTTACAGCAATCTTAACCTGGACTCATTCCTGATGTGTGTTTGTGTAATTGGGCCTTTAGGGTTGACAGATGTCCAAAAAACAGTGTTGTATGTAATAATCTGGTCTCTGTGTAATGATAGAGTCTTTAAAAGCAGACGCCAGTGATGGGATGGTGAGCTGACGGGCGTCTGCACCTGCACAAAAGAGTGATATTCACTCACTGAAAGCACAGAGTTTATCTCAGTAATAAATGCAAAGTGGGTTGGTATGCTTGTTATGTGCCTTAGTTACTCAGTAACTACTATCTACACCGACTCTAGAAAAAAAGACACAGAGATGCCAAATGATTTACTGACCCACTGAGACAACTGGAAGCTGAATAAAGTCAAGTAATGGAGCGCAGTCTTCCAACTTTTTCAGGGGAGCTGAACTTTCACTGTAGCTGATCTGAAAATTAGCTGTCGGGTTTTTCAATTTCAAGTCGGATAAAAAGATTTTTCAGAGGCATTTCGACCCATGTAAAAGGTTTGTTTGAACAGCAAAGACAGTTACTGTGTCAGTAGTTTCACTTTTAAGAACCATCTTTAAGCTTGAGCTGTATTCCCATATTTAAGTCTCAGTGAGCTTATTTTCTTGTAGTCTGCCCACAGATGTGCATTATATTGAGCTGAGCAGGGACATAAAAGAAAAAAGGTCATGGCAATATACTGCGTAATCGCTCTGGTTCATGTAAATACTATGCTGATGTTTATCCTGAATTTCCATATTCTAAGTTTAAAATAGTACCACTGTTTTGATAGATTGTTCTTTGATTTCTCTTGTTATGTTTCCTCCTGGAGTTCTGATGACATTACTCCTGAACTTTACCTTTACAGGCATTTTGTATTCTTCTTATCCTGGTGTTAATACTGTTCTAATTTATTGATTTTCTCTGAATTGCCTCATTATAATATCTTTATTATGGACCCAATCTGCTCAAGTATCATACTCAAAGTAAACTTGCAATTTCCACTGCTAAAATAGAGGCCAAAAAACGAGCCTTGAACAGTGATATCACTCTAAACCTGCTTGAAAGACTGTTTGCTCATGCAGTCAATGTTACATGGTACATGGAAGTACTTACTCTGCTACTATCTAGTGCCTGTACGTCTTGGTTACAGCATGTTAGTGTGACATTTTAGAGGAATACATATTGATATTAAAAGGATAAAAACAAGCAAAAATGTGTTATTGATGCAGAAGGGGTAGAGAGAGAAAGACAGAGGTACAAGCCCAAAGTACTGAAGGCTTAGAGGCTACAGTCAGGTCATATAAACACCTCAAAATATCAATAACTGTTTTCCAGACCTAATGAAACACCCATGATGTATCAACAAAACAAAAAATGTTTCCGAGTGGAAACAGGTCGTGAGTTCACTCACAGGTCCTGCTGTCCCCATGCTTAAGTGTCCTTGGACCAGACACTTTACCCCAAACTGCCCTTTGGTGTTTGAATGGGATTAGCAAATAATGATAGGTGTTGAACACAGTAACCTCCACCATTAGTGTATGAATGTGGTGTAAACAGAAGTATGTGACATGTAATTTATAAACACTTTCAGTGCTTAGAAGACTAGTGAAAGATAGTATTACATAAACACAGTTCGATTACCTTACTTCCTAACTCTGAAAGCTTAGAGACTCAAGCTTAGGAGAGGACATTAACCTCTCTCCTTTTTCAACTAGCATCATCAGACTTATGTGAATGTGAAATTTGTCAAACATGCACCAAGTAGTAGATGTTCATTGTTTTTATGAAGCAAGTCTTCCACCAAAAGTTTAAAGATAATTTTATTAGATTGGGTCACGACACACTCGTTAACATCAACGCCACAAAAGCCCACTTCACCTCATGCTGTTAGGTGTTTCAATAGACTACAAAGGTGAACACGACCAAACAGCACACTGCAACAGAAAATCCTCTCACAATGAAACCCCACAACAGTGTCAGAGTGGAGTTTCACCATCTCTGCGCCTTTTGTACTTTCACAATGCACCCCAAAACCAAACATGTTAACTGGTGTTTTAGATGTGTACATCTAAGATATAAATACTAGGGCTTTGTGATAATGCACTTGAAACAAACTCACACTGAAGTACATGAAAGTATGAGTAGGCTGTTATAACTTAGAATAAAAGACAGATGTAGTAAATGAAACCAGAGATGGTTTTAATTAAGGTGTCACAGACTTTTGTTTCTTGAATAGACTTTAACTGTGAATATAAGTGTACTAATGCTTAAGACTGCTATTACTCTAACAAGCCACCAGATGTGTTTGCTCAGAGTGGAGCTTTCAAAATTTAGCCCCAGAGCTTCATATGGCTTCATCTGCCCATCACACAGTATTCGAACACTAACACTGAACTACATAACACATCTAAAGTACAAAAAAGAGATTCAACAATGGACAAAGACGAAACACAGTACAAAAGCTGAAAGATCTATGCCAGCATAAAAAATCCTAAAATGCCACGTCCTGCAGTGTTACAGAGGAACTACCAGTAGGTAAGAGCCAAGTGAGACAGATGAAAGCCAGGCAGCAAAAAGTGCAAGCTGTAATTGTTGTCACAAAAAGACTTCTTCAAGATTTTAACAAGAATAAGGAAAAGGGTTGGACTGATATTATTTTCAGAGCAAACATGGATTATTAGTAGTTCATGAATCCAATAACCCATAATTTGAAGCAGTGTTGTTTTCGTTGACGATAACGTTGACGAAAATATTTCGTCAATGTCAACAAAGACAACACTGGTTGTTTTCATATGATATTCGTCAACGCCCCTTTTTTTCCACGACGAAGACGTGACGTTAACGAGCTAAATGTAACTCTTAGATGACTAAAATGTGACGAGACGAATGTGCGTTTACATTGACAAGACGAGACTAGAAGAAAACGTTACTGGTGGATGGCGAACAGAGTTGCAAAATTCATGAGCATTTCGTCAGTCAAATGCTAAACATACATTCTGCAGTGTTGTTTTCCTTGACGATGAAATATTTTCGTCAACGTCATTGTCAACGAAAACAACACTGATTTGAAACCATATGCATTTACAGTTAAATTAAAAATCTTTCTGTCAAAATTTAGTTTAAAATAGCTCAAAACTCCCTTATCAGACTTTTTTTTTTACAAAAGAAAACTGAAACTTTAAACAATATGTGAAAGTTCTTAGATTTAAAGTTCTGTGATAATGCCAAAGGTACCATAGATGTTTAGTATTTGGCCATTACTCTTGAGGTTTTATGGTGGGGTATCGGGCAAGAGTGGTGAGTGAAAACACTGTCAGGGGGTGACACACAGACAGACAATAGGCCAAAAGGTGAATATCAGCTCTGATAATCGTCCAGCTAGTCATCAGTCGAACCCTAGAAATGAGTCATGGATTTTAATTTTAATTATGGGTGTTAATTTAAGACTCCAGTCTGTGATTCATCGTTTTAGTTTAGTTTTTGTTTAGTTTTTTCTGAAAGTAGAGTCAAGATTACAAGAATCCTATGTGTAGAATAGTTTATAATTTTATCTTTGAGCATTACAAAAACACAGTATTATACTTTTGGTCATGGTTTCATTCACTTTCTGTGATTAAAAAACTCTTAAATTACTCTCAGATGGAAGTCTGTGGGATCATCTGTCAGTTTAAGGGTCCTTTTTGGGAAAGAGAAGTTCACAGACAAATATCAGATCCACACCACTGAGGAACAGAAATCCAGACTAAATGTTCTGCCCCGGAGAAGAGTTGGCAACCCCAGTTTGAGCCTTTCCCTTTGATTCAATTAAACAGCCAGCTTCCTCTGATTCACCCACCACGTGTCACTGTAAGGTCAGGACGTGTTTATATTTAACATGTAACTTGGTGGATCTGAATGAGAGAGTAAGGCGGAGGAGGGGAGGGAAGGAGGGAGGGGGCGACTTCATGTTGCCATGATTTAGCAAACACCAGTGAGCGTTAGTCAACCTCAAACCGGCTGATAAAGACCTTCAATTACACAAATCCAATATATTGATTATGACTGGAGGTCGTGCATTGCTGCGTGAAAGGGTTAACGTCACTGGCACACTATAAACTGCTCTTGAAGCGCTGTTAGCATGTGCTAAGCTAACATGAGAGTGCAAGTCAGTTAGCTTCATTTAGCTTGTGGCTCGCAGCAGATATACCCAGCTGCTGTTCCCACATTCAAAAGACTGCTTTTGTTAGTGTATAAAACGATCAGCTAGTTAGCAGCCGCCAGCTGACGTTACCATTAGCTAAAGTCGTAGTCAGTGAAACAGAGCAAATTAGCCAGACGCTGGTTAACGTTAGCTGGTCAGATTACATAACAAGATCCCCGCCATGCACACACAAATCCACCCGAGTCTGCAGACACACGCTCCGGTACACGTACCTCCACCAGCGCCTCCAGCTTGCCCTCGAAAGTGAAGTCGATCAGGTCGGGCTTCAGACACAAGCCGTAGTTAACGGGGTAAACGTCAGTTGGTAACCGTACGAAGGGCCTCCTTTCGGGCATGGTTCCTGTATTTTGGCCGGCTGCGCTAACGAAGACGGTGCTGTGTGTGACTCTGGTTCTCGCTCTGAGCTTTATTAATACAGAGCTGAGCAGAACAGGCCTCGACTCTGAGGAGGATGGACAGCAGCTAGTGAGTCTGTGTGCGAATGACAGCGGAACCCTGCGGCCCAGGAGCAACAACATCTACTGAAACCCTCTCAGCACTGCCAGCTACAGTTCTGTCCTCGTAGACAGCCCAAACAACTCAAGTTAAGCAGCGTCGACCTACAGACACAATACGTCATCACGTTCCAGGGGACGTGCCAAACGTGTGCGGCCAAATACAATTACAACTTGCCTTCGAGGTCATTTTGAGTTTCCATTTTATCAATCAACCAATTTAAAATAGATTTTTAATCTCAAGTGGGCTTTATTGGTTAAAGAAGATGAGTTAGATATATGAAAACAATCTTCCTTTGAAAAGGAAAGGCTAATTCTTCACTGGACTCAGTAACAGCAGCAAGAAAATGTTCCTCTATGTCTGATAGCCAACTATATAATGTTCAGAGCACAACTAGCCAAAGAAAGATTTTAAGACTTGTATTATTGAGAAAACATCTGAAAGGGGGTAAAATGTACTGGTTGACAGGATGGATTTATATTTTAGATATGTGTATGCATGTAAGTGGGTGCAAATATAACTAGAAAAGTACTCGGAGAGCGCAGACCTCTGCCAAGCAGCTCATGTCCCCCCTTATATTGTGATTCACACCAAAACTTTTACTGTTACGTGTCTTTTATTAACTTTTATTTGTGTTTAAACTGGTATGTTCACTGTTCATAATGTTCCTAAAACAACAAAGCTCATATTAGATACATAAATGCATGATTTATTATGCAATATTTGTAAGCATACACTTCCTTGTATCTTCATTGGTTATCTTTCCATTTCCATTTTCTATTCTTATTCCTATTTCCCATTCCCGGGGTTGCAGGGGGGCTGGAGCCTATCCCAGCATCTTCGTGTGAAGGCAGGGGACACCCTGGACAAGTCTACAGTTCATCGCAGGGCTGACATATAGAGACGAACAACCATCCATGCTCACATTCACACCTATGGGCAATTTGGAAGTGGCCAATTAACCTAACCCTACTTAGGCATGTTTTTGGGATGTGGGAGGAAACCGGAGTACTCAGAGTAAACCCACGCAGACACAGGGAGAACATGCAAACTCCACACAGAAATCCCCTGACCCGGATTCGAACCCACGACCTTCTTGCTGTGAGGCAACAGTGCTAACTACTACACCACTGTGCCGCCCATTGGTTATCTTTCAGCATTGAAAATTCCAACGACACCCTTATTTTTGTGTGTTTTGGATCACAGTATCCAGAATTTTGTCTGGATCAGGATCAACCTTTGACACCTCATAAAACTCATTGAGATCCTTTTGTGTAATTTTTTTACTAAAGACTCTGGCCATTTTTATAGCGTTAAATGCAAAAATTCCAATATTTGCCCTATCTCACAATGCTAAAGAATCCTTCAAAAAATTCCTGGATCCAGAAGACCACCAAAATGTAATGGGATCCTCCTGGGGCTGAGACGCACCTCTGGTAAAAATTTCAGGTCAATCCGTCTGTTACTTTCTCCGTAAAGTTGGTAACAGACAAACAAACAAACAAAGAAACAAACAAACCAACGCTACCAAAAACAAAAACGTCAGAAAGACGATAAGATAAAATCAGAAAGTTTGCCCTCTGGGTACTCTTCTAGTGAATCTCATGCAAACAGGTGCCTCCTGGATGTTTTTTCCTGTAAATAAAATGTAAACAAAGTTCAATCTGGGTGCATTCCCTTTAGATAAAAATTCACCTTACTGGATTCTATTCAAGTTGTTAAAATAAAAAAATAAATAAAAAATAAAACTGCAATATGAGTGTCTTTGTTATACAGATAATTACTCATGCTCATGTAAAAAACAATAATAACAAAAAATGTAAAAAACACCAATAACAGATAGAATTATTTAAAAATGTATATAAACTTTAACTCATGACTGATATTTTTTAATACTAAAACTAATTCTTGACATGTATTTAATGATCTAAATATAGGTTATTGACTGAAATATTGAAGATGATTGAGTTGTTTTTATACAATGTTTACATATGAGTCAATTGAAAGATGTGATCAAAGATGACTCCCATAGTGTGACATCCTATAAATAATCTTACATATTTTTTATAGTTATTTTCAAATACACATCGACATCCATCTAAAAATGGATGGATGGGATGGGTCAAATCTGCCCCATTTAAAGGTTGGGTCTTTAATTAATCGAAAATTAGTGTGGACTAGACCTGCTCTTTTGAAAAGCGTCTCGGAATAGCGACTGTTGTGGTTTGGTGCTTTATAAATAAAAATTGATTGATTGATTGATTGATTGATTGATTGATTGATTGATTGATTGATAAAACACACACACACACACACACACACACATAGACCTACGAACTATTTTTTAGGTAAAATAAAGAGTAATATAATATAACTTCGGTCCAAAACAGCGATAAACGTCTATTTAAGTGTAAAACTACAACTCCCAGGATGCCTTTGGGCGCTAGATAATGTGATATGGCCCGTGCGCTTCACGTGACCAGAACTACAAGCAAACATGGCGGACGTAGAAGCAACGAAATCTTTGAGCGGTTTGCTGAACGGAATCGCTCAAAAAGTTTATTATGACAATAAGGAGATTACAGAGGAGCTGCTGAAGAATGAGTTATACCCCGAGATGTCCCAGGAGGAGTTCAGGGCTTTGCACGAGAAGATGAAAGGACTCTTAAAGGTAATAAAACACCTCCAACCTGGAAGGAAAAGAGCAGTTTTCTGTCAGATGAATTGAATTAACGTTACATGTAAAATAATTATTTTATTTTCGGTTGCAGTTTCTTGACATTGTAATGTAGTCAAAGTGAAGCTGTTCTATCTATCTATCTATCTATCTATCTATCTATCTATCTATCTATCTATCTATCTATCTATCTATCTATCTATCTATCGAATGTCAACCCTGATTTCATCTGAAACTATCAAACTATTTATAATATAGACAGCTAAATAATTGTATACCTGCCTAAAAGGTGTAAGAGGCAAGATCCACACAGATCCACAAAAGGGAAGTTTCAGTGGAAGAATAGACAGTTATTGAGTTGTATGAAAATTCACTACCAGTCAAAAGCTTTAGAACACCCCAATTTTTGCAGTTTTTTATTGAAATTCAAGCAGTTTAATTCCAATGAACGCTTAAAAGGGTAAAAAAGTAAGAGGTGAACTGCCAGGGGTAAATAAAAAAGGTAAGGTTAACCAAAACTGAAAAATTATGTACATTTAAGAATTATACAAAAAAAACTGTTTCAGGGAACAAGAAATGGGTTTACAACTTAAAGCCATTCTGCAGCAATGGAGGTTGATCAAGCCTTGAATGCTGGTGCTACAACCCCCTCTTACTGCAGAGTAGTGTTGGAACACACTGTGGTACCATACCGTTATGAACATTGCTTGAACAGTAGTGTACTGTAGAAAGTAGTGTGATACAATAAAAATGGCAAGAAAAGGCAATTAACGGTAGAAGAGAGACAGACCATCATAACACTGAAAAATGTAGGTATTTCCTACAGAGATATTGCCAAGAAAGTCAAGGTGTCAGTGAGTACAGTTTCCTTTACGATCAAGTGGCACTCAGAAACTGGGGGAAATGCTGACAGAATATTTGATTTCCATTGTAGGAAAAAAGCCACGAGTGTGTTCAGCTGTTATATCTGCCAAAGGTGGCAACTTTGATGAGTCAAAAGTTTAGAATATATTTTCGTTTCTAAATTGATTCTGTGATTTCTTTTTACTTCAATTGTTTATTTGTTCTATGCATTAATTTCAGAGTACACTAAGACATTAAACTGCAGCATTTTCAATAAAATTTTGGGAAAGTTGGGGTGTTCTAAAACTTTTGACCAGTAGAGTATATTAAACTACAAAAGAATAAAAATAAAAATGCATTACATAAACCTTTTGAAATCACAAAATCCACAGCAAAAATACAAGCAAACAACCAGTTATGTTGATAAGCAACTTTGATAAAGATTAAAATGCTTTTCTCAGTTTTTTACTAAATAAAGTAATTAGTAATTAATTCATATCAATGTATAAGACATTTAAAGAAAAGTTTAAAATAAGTTAAATATCAGAAATTAAAAAATTGAATAGCTGCATGCGAAGGTAAAAAGTTTTTTAAAAAAGTGGGAGCAGAGTCTGTCGGGGAAAATCTCATGGGATTTTTGTATACCAGTTTGAGCCTCTGTTTGTTTTCATTTATTGGACTCTTCTGATGTTTTTTTATCATTTGAGTCAAACACAGCAACAGTCTGGTAAATGCTGAAATAGATTTCTCTGTCAGCAGGGGGCAGCACTAACACACACACACACACACACACACACACACACACACACACACACACACACACACACACACACACAAACACACACACACACACCTGTTCTCACTGTTTCTCCCCACCTTCAGCGCAGAAAAAGACTGAGCTGAAGATGAGGAATTTACATCGCATTTACACGAAGGATTACCAGCACAGAAACTCTTTCTATTGTTTTAGATCAGTAGTTAACCAAACACATTTCAGGAAAAACCTCCAATAAGACAACAAGAATAAAACGACAACCAACAACTTCAAAAATGTTCATAGCATGTAGAGGTGCAAACAGTAATCCAATTCAGTCCAGCTTGATTTGTACAAAACCTCTTCATGAATTTAAGTATTCAGCATCAATGTGCTCCAATAAGAAACAGATAGAAAATCACAGCAATAGATAAAATAAGACAAGACTAAAACCACAAAAGAAGAGAAAAATAACAATTAAAAACAACAAGAAAGATTATTGTAATAAGAAAAACTGAGATGAATTAATTATAAGGATACAAATGAATCAATAAATAAATAAATGAACAAATGGATACATTTATAAAATGATCCTGTGGGATTTTGAAATGAATGCACGTTATTTATCTAATTTTGGTACTCAAATATATCAAATCTGCAACATCACATTTTACAGCTGCTTTTACAGGTACATCTTCTGTACAGGGGTTTAAACATCTTCCAAACACAAAGACAGCACACCATCAATAACGGGTGAAAAGTCTCTCTAATGAAGACTGTCTTTTGGTACACTTTTAGAAGTTTGAGTGATGTACAGTTAAAAGAGTCATGCAACAATGTGCAGCTTTTTCAGGGTGTAGCCCTTAGCTCAGTTAATCCTTAAAGAAACACCAGATCATTCAAAATTCTGAGAAAACCTGAGTAACACACAGTGATGAAGAGCTGCAGAATGTTACGATGATGGGTGTGTGTCATGTGCAAAAACACCTAGAGCAGTGAGAATTGTGTTAAATGTTTGTTTTGAGGTATAAACTGCTGCATTTGACATCACTGTTCTACTTAAACATGCAGTAAAATAGGTCCTTGACTCAACTGTAGCCCAGCAGAGATCCTGGTCTCTGGTGCACCCTCTAAACTGACCCCTCTCCCTCTCTCACCTCTTAGTCTATCGCCACAGCCGACATGGACCACGCCCAGCTGGAGGCCTTCCTCACTGCACAGACCAAAAGGCAAGGCGGTGGCGGCGTGACCACTGAACAGGCTACTGCCCTCTCTCGCTTCTGGAAGAGTCAGAGGGTCCGGATGAGGGAGAGCCTGCTGGCCCAGAGCCGCTGGGAACCCGGCCTCAGGGGTCTGTCCTGGAGGGTGGACCTCCAGACCGCAGCCAGCCGGGGGGACACGGCTCACAGCGGGCCTGTGGCTCTGATGGAGCTTGAGCTGGGCAGAGCTGGACAGGTGAGACTAACCACAAGATCCTGGTACTTTAGTGTTTGAGGAGTCAAAGCTGATCCGGAGCCATAATGTTGCTTTGCTGATTGGTTATCCTGTGTTCAATTACTTTTGTCTGGTTGCCGTTGGTTCCGCCGGTTTCGAGTCACTTGGGCACTGTGTTTGAAAGCCAGTAGGTTATATTAGTGGCTGCTTCACCTGCACTGGGGGTTGAGAGGGGAGTCTAGGTAGCCGCAACGGACATCAAATGAAAAAAACAGTCTGAAATGGACCCTGGATGTGTTTCTGTTCAGGGTCAGAGTCTGTGCAGTGAAGATTAAACAGGTTTATCAGTATGCAAACCTCATTTACTGATTTACACCCTGACCTTAAGAGTCACGATTATGTAAATACCAAAGCATGAGGCTGACGTAAACTTTACTCTCTGCTCACTGCTGATGCTCCACTGTCCTGCTGCAACAAACCAGACTCACTTCTTTAAATGAACGAGAACAGCCCTGTGTGTCGTTTGGATCCCAGTGAAATATCACAACACGCATCAGTGTTTAGGATAGATTTCAGTGTGCATGGATGTCTGTCCTTGGCTATGACCGGATTTCTGCTCCATCTATGCAAGCTCTAGTCCCATGAGGAGGCTAAATTTAGCCAATCTGGGTCTTAAGCTGAAAACTGTTTTAGAGCCAATGGGAAAAACAAACAGAGGAGTGAGTGTTGTGGAACTCTTGACCCTAAATTTCAAACAAAACCCCAGACAGGAAGGAAACCTCAAGTCAGGGTCTCAAATCTGTGGCAGTCTTTCTGTTATCAGCTGAGAGGGAGAGTTCCTGCTATTCCAAATGTAACCACATCAGAGCTTTTCAGAGTAAGTGCAAAATTTGGTGTTTGAGTTCAACCATTTTAATTCAAAGAAACCTGAAAGATCCAGGCTTTAGAAAAATCCCTATTGACATGGATCAGTTGTTTGAGAGTATGTGTTACTGCTCTGAAAAAGAAAGTAGGACCTGAATGCTGTCAGGCTGTCACACCTGACACAACATCACCTTTGATTTTGACAGGATGAAAGAAAACTAAACTGAACTTTAATATCTGTTTAGGAAAGACTGTAAAAAGGTGACTCCATGACAACCAGATTGTAATATGAATGAATGAACTGCACAGTCTCCCAAGTTGATCATGGTGAAGCCTGGATAGATTTAGCTCATAACGAAGTCAAAGGTAGGACTCTGCTGCTTGTGATGGCTTTAAAGATGGAAATAAACACTGAAACAACAAAAAACAAAAAGACAGAATAGTATAAAAGGCTTCACAGTGAATCATCAGGCCTTATGAGAACAAATCAGTAATAAAGTAAAATGATCACATAACTTTCTAACTAGGCCTGCACGATATATCGTTTGAACATCGTCATCGCGATGTACGTGTGTGCGATAGTCACATCGCAGAGCCTGCGATATTGGAGGTGAATGAACTCATTTAATTTCAAGGGTAACTAACTGAGATACACTGCATGTGACTCTGCATGTGCTTTGCAGCGATCCACCAATCACCTTCGTCCTTAACTCAGTTGCCAATCAGACTCACTTCTCAGTTGCCAATCAGACTACCCTGCCAGCTGTCAATCAAAATCAGGGAGGAGGAAACCCACCCCTGCACATGTTCTGCACATGGAGGGAGACTTGTGTCCGCTGAGAATTACTTTCGGAACTTTACTCATGACTATTAAGCCCAACAAATAAGAACTGTATGGGTTTTAAATTGTACATTTCCGTGGACCACTCTACTATAAGCGGTGCGCGTTTTGCGAGGTGCATGCAATTCTCGGAGGACATGCGTTTCTCGGCACAACACCGCTAACAACAACAACAACGATCGCAAAATGAACAACGAACAAGCGAAAACCACCGAAAAAGAAGATTTGTTGCCAAAAAGAAAATGAAAGTCAGTTATCTGGAATTATTTCGGTTAAAAGAAGGATGATGGCGACCAAAACACGTGTTCTGTGTTCATCTGTCGCCACAATAACGTCCCAGCACAATAAAAGCTGAAAATATCTCTGAGACAGACAGAAGCCATTCTAACATTCACAAAAAGAGGTAAGATCAGAGCAGATTAACTGTCCTCAAGATTTCAGCAGTGCAGCATAAAATTAAATGCCATTCAGGTCATCTGGTGAAAATTCCTGTATTTTTAATATCGCAATATATATCGCAGGGTTGAAAAAAATCGCAATATTAGTTTTTTCCAATATCGTGCAGCCTTATTTCTAACCCTACGTGTCTGGAAATATTACATTAATAGGGTCCAGTCTTCCTCCTTGCAGGTTGATATTGATATGCTATCCCAAAGTGTATAGTCAAAGTAATGATCAAATTTGGCTTAACTATAATGTGTTGAAAAATGAATCAAAGTGTTGTGGTTTTTTCAGCTACATTAGGCACACAGTTATGGCTGCCCAGAGTGTCTGCCTGACGGTTTTTCTTTGTGGCTTGGTTTTGGATGTTGTCGGGTAAATTAGCTGCAGAAAAAACTCAGCTGTAAACTCTGGGCTCTATGGGGCATCAACTCACTTTTGGGACATGCTCTAGTGGAAGTTTGGGGAACTGCATTTTCAGCGCTTGTGTGAGACGTGGTGTAGCATAATGTCATTTTCATGTCAGTTTAATTTCCTTTTGCATTAATCTGTTTATTGCAAACTTATTTCCTGACTGTGCTGCTGATATTTGATAGGTTGTCTCTTTAATTTTTATGTTTTTGACTGAGTTGAAGTTTGTAATTCCTTTTCTGAGGATAAAGGGGGGGAAATGACATTTCCTCATTGGTTCATAAAATGCTATGGATACTATGGACCCAGATGTCCAAAACATTATCCGCTTATCCATGTGGACTGGTGTATTTGAGAGTTTTTGTGTGTCACATAGATATTTGAGCATGCTGACCACCGTTAGACCTCCACTATGAAGCCCAATCCTGTGCAGGTCAGAGGTCGGCTTCAGTGTCTGTCCTGATGTAGTTTTAATCAGAGGGACTCAAACCAGCGGGCTCTCTGGAGGCTTTTCCATCTGCAGTGTTCATCCTGCTTGTCTCTAACCTGGTGTCTACATTTTCTACTTTGGACAAAAGGTAAAATAAAAAAAAAAAAAACAATTAAAATAGTAAGTCTGCAATTTATAATTTGGAAAATATTATTGGTTGGTTCCATGCTTCTCTGGAGTCCAGTCCAAATTGGCTAATGTCTTAAGAAAAATACATTTTCCAATTCAATATTATGTCTAAGGTAAATGCTCAGCAAACAGTTGAAACTGAGCACAACTTCATAAATGGTTCTGAGGGTTTACTGGGTTTAGCTAACATTAGCAGAGCCAGCACCACTAGCTGTAAGTCCACCCAGTCCATAAACACCAACAGCCTGGTGCTGGTAATTCATACCAATAATCAAGTGCTTTTTATACCAGCTTAACCAGAAACAGTCTCCAGGCAGCTGTATCTCCATTTGCTTATCCAAAATACTGACAAATGGCACCAAACTAGAAACTATTATCTGGCAACTGTCCTTGTTTACATCTTAGACACAATGGCAGTTGGGGTAGCTGTAGCTTAGGAGGTAAAGCAGTTGTCCAACAATTGAAAGAGATGGCAGTTCGATTCCCATCCTATCCCTACTCTGTCTGTTGTGTCCTTGGGAAAGACAGTTAACCCACCTTGCTTCCAGAGTGCGTCCTCCACTGAATGTGAGTGATGTTTGGTGGTGGTCAGGGAAGCCATAGACGTGGATTGGCAGCCATGTTTACGTCTATGGCCTCAGAACAGCTGTGACTACTAAGGTAGTTTACCACCACCAGGGTGTGACTGTGTGAGTGAATGAATGATGAATCCAATGTAAAGCGCTTTGAGGTCATTGATAAAAAGCGCTATAAAATCAGATGCATTATTATTATTATTATTACTATTATTGCAACATATGAGCAGCACTTTTGGCCTACAATAAAAACTATATAAAAAGTGATGTAGTTAACAAGTAAACCTGGTGCCAATGTTTAGCTGAGACGAAGGAAAATTGATCCACAGGAGCTATGAAGGCTTCAAAGACTGCAGTCCCTGGATTTGGACAAAGTTGATGACACCATATTTCAGTCGAGTGCCAGATGGTTAATGTCTCTAATGTGTCGGTAACCATGATTTATAAATTTTGCATTATAACTCTGACGTAGTTGATGAATAACTGCCTACTTTTGGCTCTCTTAGTTCTGGACTCTCACTGTGTCTCTCCTTTTTTTTGTCACCTGGAGCTGTAGTTGTGAGTGACAGTTGGCCTAATTTATGTGGCTTTACAGATGGCGCCATCTTCCATTGTGTACAAAAAATGTCATTAAAAACTTTTAACCTCTAATACCAGATGTTCCACTTTTCAAATGTACTCAGACTTCTTGCAACCACGTATGATTTGGTCAGTACAGTTTTGGAGGGTTCAGGAATAGGAAGCTGCTCTCTCTCACCTCAGTGAGAATTTGGGATGTGTGTTGTCATCAATTTGCCCTCCATTTAAAAACAGTATCTACTTTCTCAGCATGAGTTTTGATACTGTGCTTAGAGCTAAAGTCTCTCCTCTGTCTCTTCTCCTCAGGACTCCGAGTTTGTGTGTCTGGAGTTTGACGAAGCCAAAGTGAACCAGGTGCTGAAAAAGATGGCCGACATCCAGAAGAGTATCGACAGTGTTGTTCATGTAAACCCTCAGAGCTGAGTGTTTAAGAGACAGCAGAGGACTGTGATATCCCCGCCTACATTCAGGTGTATTCTCTCTGCTTTCCTGTCGGGCCTGTTTAACAGCACTGACAGCAGGTGGACATGTTCAGATTTGTTTTGATAGCGTGCAAACGACTACAGGGATAGTCTGTGCTGTATAAGATTATACACTTGGGCATATTTCATGTGAACCTGAAAACTCGTCTGACTTGCTGATGGACCAGAAGTTTCTTTATCATGAGAACCTGGAGTGCTGGACTGGTATTGTGTTGTTGTTATACCTGGATGATCCCTCATAATACTCTGATAAGATAACAGAGTCTCTCTGTCAATAGCTGCAGAAAATACAGTACAGGCATAACAATCTAACAGCTGTTGCTGATGAAGAAGCATTTCACACTTGGAGAAAAAGTCCTGTCACTGCAGGGATCCTTTCTGTGATAGTCCCAGAAGCTTGAACTATGATCAGAGTTCCTCATTGGCACAAATATAAAGAACAGTGATAGGTTGAGGGCTGTTTGAGCCCGCAGCCTATCAGACACACTCACCCCTGGCACATCACTTCTTTTGGACCTGCAGGATTAAAAACGCAAGTCAAATTTATGTTTGGACATAAGTGATGGTATGAACTGTAAATCCAGCAGATTTTCTGTCTCTGTACTTCTGAGGTTTTACTTTCTGAGATGTTTAAAAAATTGGACCAAATCCAACTGTTCATCATGATTATCTCCTCGGCTTTGTCATGAATCAACCGAACACAGTTTACAGCGGTCTATCACACTTTATAAGGTCATGGAGGAGTTGATAGTGATGGGTGGAAACGCTTTAGCAGGGCTGATAAGACTCCACCCTGAAGCAATTCGCACAGAGTCCCTTCTCCTATATGACTGTGGCCTAAACTTAAGTCTAAACAAACACTGAACAAGACCATACAGTTTATCACCTGCACCACTTTGACCAGATTCGTCCCATTTTTTAGCACTGTTCCCAGCTGCTATTGGACAAGAGGGGAGGTACACCTGGACGAGGAGACCGCCAATCATAGGGCTGATCATTTAAAGTCACCAATGACAAAAATATTTGACATAAAAGAAAATTCCCAAAATATAAAAACATCTAATAAAATAAAAAAAACATTAAACAAAGAAACTAAATACTTCATGAATTTTGTCTAATCTTTTGTGCGTATGAGCGATTTTTGCTATATTTTAGCATTTTGTGAACATTTGTTTTTCATTTCATTAATTTTTTGAGGCAATTAAAAAATAAGTGCACCATTTGTAAAATGTTTTTATGTTACATTAAAAAAATTTTTTGTACATATGTCATTTCTTAGAAAAAATGTTATGTTCTTGACCATTCCTAAAATGTTTTAGAATTTTGTGAAACACTTATTAGTTTTTAAAATTGATTTTGCATTTTACTAAATCCTTTTCTTGTCAGTTTTTGAAATCTTGGCACTGAGTAAAATGTTAATTGTGTTTATAAAATCTTAACCTTCAGGGCCACCCACTCAAGGCCCAAAAAGTCATTATTATGAGCTACAAAGTCAAAAGTAAAAGAAGGTATGTCATCATTATCCAAAAGTCACAAGTAGATAAAAAGTCAGAATTATTAAGTAAAAAGTCAATTTAATTAGACAGGAATTAACCATAAAAGGATAAAAGTCAAAAGACAAAGGTCATAACTAAGATAATTAAATATCATTGGATTGAAAGTCATAAAAGGATAAAAAGTCACAATTACCAGCTAAAAAGTAATTAAAATAAACAAGTCAAAATATACTGAAAAGAAAGTATAGAAAATTAAAAAGGTAAAAAAATCATTGTCAACAGATGAATAGTCAAAAATAAGATAAGGGAAAGATGTGTTGTGAAATTTAAACTCGACTTTGAAAGGCTAGTCATTACAATGTCATCATTACAAGATAAAATACATGATTATTAAGTTAAGAGTCAATATCTTAAGTCATGAATATTAACATAAAAAGCCATACGTACAAGATAAAAACTCAAAGAAAGAATCAACAAAGTAAGGAAGTTATAATTCAAACACAAAAGTAATAAGTTTAAAACATAATGTTGAAATTTTGAGATGGTCATAATTAAATGACGGAAAGTCAAGTCATGAGTTAACGAGTCTGGATTATGAAATATTTGTTCATTAATTACTCTCTGTCTTATAATTTGGAATTTTCGTTTCAGAATCATTACTTTGAATATGACTTTACCTAATAATTAGGATTCACTATCGCAGAGTTTTGACATTTTATCCCGGAATTATGATTTTTATTTCGCCATTATGACTTTTAATGTCCTAATTATAACTTTTATATAGTTTGATTTTATTCATATTATAATTTTGACTGTTTGTATCCTAATTATGACTTAATAACTTTTTGTTTTAGTTTTCAAATTGACAGAAATGGGCTTCCACACTTCAAGGTGCAGCCCGGAGACACAGAATGAGGCGGGTTAGTGGGAAAACCATAAAACCCACACCTCAGTGTAGACTTTGAGGAGCCCCCACTCAACCTGAGGGAGGAGTCAGTGCGCGCGCAGCACACCGGAGCGACACACAGTGGGACAGAACATTATCACCAACAGAGAGAGACAGAAAGTGACTTTTCCTGTTCCCGAGTGGGATCTGAGGACTGAGAGGACTCTTATCTCACATGGTTTACACAGTAATGAGGATTAACGGGAGTGCAGGTCTTCAAAAACGCCTGTAGGAGCACGAGAAGGGTGCTTTTAACTCAGGTGAGGTACCTGCAGCCTGTTGATCAGCTCCAGGATTTCACAGCGAGGACATGAGGAACCGAAAAGACAGGTTAGTGTGCCGAAAAAAAAAAACAAAAAAACTGACTCGGGTGTATTTGCTGACCAGTAAAAAATAGCCCTGAAGGTGTTAGCGCTGTACACACCTGGATGTGAGTGAAGTGTGGGACTCTTTTTAACGGACGGTCAACAAAATAACCTCCGTGACACATGCTGACCGGAGGTACTATAATTTGTAACTTCAGCACCAACCCATGCATAAAAAGGATCCCAGCCAGAGTCTGTCCAGGTTTAACTTAAAATTGCTACAATAGTTAAAGTTGTACTAAATGAAAGCTGGCTTGTAAGAGTTCATTCAACTTTGCAAAACAGTAACAGGCTTAAGTAGTGTATTATAGTCTGGATTTGGTAATAAATGAATAAGTAGAAGTATCAAACTCAATTCAATTTTGTACAGTTGCAGGTAAAAGGCAGAAGCAAAGGTTTGGGGTTTTTGCACCTCACCTGTTGGGAACTTCTGCTTGTGATGACTTTGGCGCCACCCAGTGGACAGATTGATACCTCCTCCATCTATGTTGATCTTATCTTGCTAATGCATTGGGAGTGATTTCTTACAAATGACCTCATTCTTTACAATTTACAATTCATTACTTACTGTGAATATTTAAAATGCAAAGCAGTGTCTCCAGTGTGCTGTCAATCATCTGGTCTGATACCTACCCCTTCATAGAAGCTTTAATGTTGTTTACTTCTGTTTTATCCTTCTGAGTGGCTGCCTGGCACTGATAACGACTGTCAGTCAGAAGTGTTCCCCACGATAACTGTTGAGTGTACTGAACCAGAGTGAGAGAAGAAAGGCTCAGTAAATGACACTCATCAGCATCATTTTAACTTTAATTGCAGGTTGTATAATGTATGCTTTTATGGCTGCCTCCAGTATGGGCACACAGCCTAAGACAAACATCCCTTTTGTGGCGCCATAATCAATCTTATCTTTTTATGACCTTATCACTTTATTTATTAACGCACCATTCATTCAAAGAGATATAGAAAGTGTACAATGGTACATTTAACTGTCCAAAGTCAGCAGGATGAGATTTTGTTTTGCTCAAAAACCACTGTCCAAGCACAGAGCAGTGAGCACTGAGCCCAGTTTAAACTTTCAAACTTCACAGGAGCTTCATTCGTCGATAAAGATGGTAGAGCTGAGCTTTTGTGTAGTACTCAGGTAATTCAGAGGCAACAGAGTCTAAGACACATGTTTTGAAACTTGTTTGAATAAACGTGTTGAACCAAAAAACAAGGTGCCATGCTCTAATTGGCACATAATAGAAATTTCTTACAGGAGCTTTAATAATGACCCAACAGCCAAAACAAAAGTAAATAAAGACGATTCAGTGAGCAGAAATCTGCACAGATTTAATCTTTTTCCTTGAATGTCCTAATCTGAGCAGTTAGTGAACAAAGCTTTTAAAAAGTGGATTCTGACTATAAGCCTCTGTCTGAACACCCAAAAGAAGCTTTCAGACTGGTTCAACAGCATGCAGAGGTTGAATAAACAGACTTTCATTGTCAGCTCCTTCTGGTAATGGGTTACAGTTAAAGTAAACCATGAAAAAATATACTGACGCTAAACCTGTTCAAGCTTGTTCCTGGAGATCGAACACTTTGGCAGCGGCTCATGTTTTCTCAACTAGTTTATCTCCTTACCCAAGATCCTGATATCTGATTACTGATGTTCGTTATGAGGATTAAAAGTAAGATCTGAAATTGCACAAGGTGTGGAGAGCCATTGTGTAGGAATTATTTATTTAATCTTATGTAACCAGGAAAGCCACACTGAGATTAGAAATCTCTTTTACAAGAATGACCTGGCCAAGACAGCAGCAGCTCATTCCAACAGTTACAGACAAACACATCATTTAAAGGATTTTGGAAACATGAGTCATGAAACAGAATCAGTCGATGCATCTACAGCCTGATGCATCTTCCTCCAATGCCTTCAACCTGCTTTTAAAAGCGAGACCAGCTCCCTGAAACTCAAAATGTCTTACAGGAAAGTCTAAGCTGCAGGAGCAGAGGAACCTAAAACTTAATAATCATGAATAAGGATATGCTGGTGGTTTAGTCTACAGGTAGACAGTGCAGGCCAGCCAACTGGATCATCAGAGAACAGTGATGAGTTAGAGACTTCAGATTTGTAATGAACATCAGAGCTCCATGGTAAACAGAATCCAGAGAGTGAAGGCTCATGTTTCATCCATGCGTACAAAAAACATCCCCACAGTCAGTCAGAATCAGGGGCGTAAAATTTGTAGCAATAAGTTTTTTCTTTGTAGCAAAAGAAAAACAGGACTTTTTTCTTTCTTCTTTTAAATTACGTTTTTGGGCGACTTTTGCCTTTTATTGATAGGACAGGGTGAAATGTGGGGGGATAGAGAGACAGTGGGGAGGACATGCAGCACATGGTCAGGGCCAGACTCAAACCTGCGGCTGCTGTGGGGACTGTGGTCCCCATACATGGGGCGCGCTAACCCGCTCGGCCATCTGCACACCCAAAACAGGACTTATTTCTTAAACTGAAGCCCAGTGGCATCTTCAACTTGTTTACAAGCTGCTGGAGTTTGAAAGACAAAAAATCATCGTGTGAGAATCTCAGGTATTTATCAGAACACACAGACTCAATCACATAACCTTGAGAGGTAGTCAGCAGGTTCAGCTGCTTTGACTTTTAGTTTGTGAACACAAGCTTATTATAATCAGTCACAGAGAGCCTGAAAATTGTGTTGGGGCAGCAAAGTGAATAACTGTATCATCTGCATATAAATAAAAATTGCATCAGGGAAATTTTGACTTTATCAGCTGATAAAAATTCTGAACAACAGAGGTCCAAAACAGAGCCCTGAGGTACGTCATTTGTTAATTCAAGAAGTCTAGAGGTGATGCCTCAGTTTATTCAACCAGGATAAACATGAGATCACTTAGTCAGCAGGTTTGTAGAGTGTGGCTAAAGATAGCTGAGCTAGCACCGCCAGCCTTCAGCCCTCCACATGCCTGTGCTGGTTTTCAAGATACAGTTAAACCGGATAATAGCTACAATAGACCCTAAAGTGTCAGTCATTAAAAACAGTATTTGAAATACTTGTTCAGTTCATTTGGTTCCTTCCTGGTAAATATGTCATTGTTGTGAATTGCAGATGGCTCAAGCAGAAGCAACACCTCGGGTCTTCTTGAGGATGTGTTTTTCTAGGTGTTCACTCCTTCAACTGAAACCTGGAGAGATTTGGGTCTCCACCAGACTAAACTAAGCTGTCATCTCCACACCTGTTGCAGGTAATACTTGAGTGCCAACCCATGGTAAGGTGACAAATGGCAAATAGCATGGTCGTGACCCACATGTTTATCACAGATGTAAAATCCTGTTGAGTTGAATATGGACTAACAATTTGTTCCTGGACTGTTGGATTACACCACATTACTCTAAGCAGATTAGTGATTTTCTAAGCTAATTAATTAGTATTAGATTTGCCATCAGTTTAACAGTTATGTTTTATTCAGTATTAACTCTGACGTCACCTATTTGTTTGTGGATTACCACTATGAGGCCCAGAGTTTGGCTTTGTAGCCGTCGCCTGATATGTTCTTGGAAATTAAAGTAAGCAGACAAACTAGGGATGCATCGAGCCAATATTTGGATTGGATATTGGCTCCGATATTGACAAATTAACTGGATCGGATATGTGATGAATGACGCCGATCCAGTGTTCCAATATGAATTTTTCTTTTAGTTAAAATCATACACAGCAAAACAGCGATTCTGTTCACTCTATATTCTATGTCTGTCTATCCTTTTGCACTAAATGTTTACATGGAAGTCTTACTTCTTTTTGCTGTGTGCTAATGTGCAATTTGTTATTTGTTAATAAATAATATTAAGTAAATTTATATCTGTGTTAATTTGTTACCTTTTTTTAACAAGGCTAATGTCAAGCCTGATGCCTTCACTCATAGGGCAAGGTACACAGTTCATTCATTCAACAGTAGTATCGGATTGGTATCGGATATCGGCCGATACGCTCAGCCCAGGTATCGGTATCGGATTGAATCAGAAAAAAATGGATCGTTGCATTTCTAATACAAACTCAACCATTCCAAAAAAGTGAGGATCTTGTCAGCAATTTTGATGAGAACAGAATTATACAATGTTTTTAGAGTTTTATTGTTTCTGTAATGACAATTTTATGCCTGCTGTCATAATAAGCACATATTTTTCCTTTAACATAAAGTATTCAGTTTCAGTGTCTGATATGTTGTCTTTGCTTGATTTTGAATCAAATAAAGGCTTTAGATGGTTTTAAAAAATCAGAAAGTGTAATTTTATCAAGATGTTAAGCAGTATCCCAGGGCTGTGGTAGCTTGTGGCACCTCCGCACCTTTAGAGAGTAAAGAGAAACAGCTTATTCGAACTCTTTTCTGGAAGATTTTGATATTTGTCAGCTCCATGATGAAAGACTTACCTGCAGTAGTTTATCTGTGGATGACACAGATTTTCAAGAAAAACCAGCTCATGTCCTTAATGCACTTTTGTATTATGAACCTGATGCTGAAAAACCAGTTGTATATGTGCTTGTCTATGTGCAGCCTGTGAACAATGACAAAGACTGCTGCCAGTAAACTGGTGTCATGTGCATGTCTAAATTGGAAAAGTGTGATTTCCATCTGCTGTTGAAGGAGGAGGAGTAGGAGGGGATAAGGAAAAATGTTCATTCCTTCAGGATTAGAGATAAAAAAAAAACAAAAACACTGCAGCCTGTCTGAGCTCTGAAACCCTGGGGAAAAACAGAGGGAAATCAAGTTTTCCCACCGAACTTCTGAATCAGATTCTTCCAGCCATATTCTTTGAACAGGCTGCTGTTATGTTTCCATACACACCTTCGTATCCTGGCTTTACCGTAAGTCCAAATCTGTGCTTCTGCAATTTCTCTGCTTTTTTGTTTGATTTCAGCTATTTTCTTTATCTACATTTTCAGGTGCAGAGAGGGGGCAACATGCCTGTGGTCCGCAGAAAAGTGACTCTGCTCTGTATGACGCTCAACATCTTCTTCTGCCTCCTGATGGCCATCTCATGGAGCCTGAGGAGCGACAAAAGCAGCAGCCAGAAGATCCGCATCCCATCCACAAGGTTTTGGCGTAAACTGGTCCCGAGCAAATCCTTCTGGAACCGGGAGCAGCAGTACCTGGACATAATCCACAACACCAATGTGAATTTTGTCTTCTCTGTCAGCAACCCTGTCACTGTGCTGCCTGATTGGCTGAATGATACAGGGCCGACTGAAACTTGTGAGCCAGACTACAGGGTCCCCATACAAATCTCAGACTACAACTCCCTGCCGCAGCGCCTCCGGGATTTTCTCCTGCACATGCGCTGCAGGACGTACCCCCTGCTGATTAACCAGCCCTACCTGTGCAGAGAAAAGCCCTTCTTGCTTCTTGTCGTTAAGTCTATGGTCCCGCACTTCGATCGTCGACAGGCGATCAGAGAAACATGGGGGCGGGCTGGCATGGTAGCTAACCAGACTGTGGCGACTGTGTTTCTTTTAGGCAACACCATACCTTTGGACCACCACCCAGACCTCCAGAGGATGCTGCTCCATGAGGAGACGCTCCACAAAGACCTCCTCCAGTGGGACTACAGGGACTCCTTCTTCAACCTGACTGTGAAGGAAGTCCTCTTCCTGGAGTGGTTCAATCAGAACTGCACCCAGGCCAAGTTTGTCCTCAAAGGAGATGATGACGTCTTTGTGAACACGTTGCGAATTATTGAGTTCCTAGGAAACCTGTCAGACAGCAGGGCCAGAGAGCTCTTCATAGGTGATGTGATCAGTAATGCAGGTCCCCACAGGAACCACAAACTCAAGTATTTCATCCCGGAGAGTTTTTTTGAGGGGAAGTACCCGCCTTACGCAGGAGGAGGAGGGTATCTGTACTCTGGAGAGTTGGCGTCGCAGCTCTACAGCGCATCTCAGCAGGTGGCTTTGTTTCCTATTGATGATGTTTACACAGGAATGTGTCTAAAGAAGCTAGGTGTTGTCCCTGTGAAGCACCCAGGCTTCAGGACGTTTGGCATTGAGAAGAAGCACAGAGACAACCCCTGCGTGTACCGGAGCCTGATGCTGGTTCACAGCCTAACGCCGCAGGAGATGCTGAGTGTATGGCCGTGGATTATCCACCCAGAGCTGGACTGCCAGTGAACACCTTCATCAAACTGTGTTTATTTATTTTCCTCTGAATGCTAACCGCACCCCCATCAGTAGAAAGATTTGACAAGCTGGACCTTTATTATCAGTATTTTAAAATCATCATAACAACAGCTCATCTGTATTTTCGACTTTATTTCAATTTAATCTTTTCCCTTGTTGTATCTGTATGCACAGGTGCTCTGAAAACCAGTTTATACATTAAAACCTTGGACCTACTTCTACATGATTACTGACATAATAAGTCACAAGTAAAGTCAACATCTAAGAATCCCTGAAGGTTTTTAAAAGACTTGAAGCAAAGGTAACATTTTTCTCTCCAAAGCTATCTGACCTGACTGATAAAGGCAGTAATTCTACTTGGCAGGGAGCTGGAGTTTCAGCTCAGATGTTTTACAACCCAAACTCAGAAAAAGTTCTGATGCAGTATTTTTTGCATTTTGATAAAATCTCAATTTGACTTTTTGCCAGTCATTTCTACCCCTTGATGAATTACAAAAGGTGCAAAACAATACATTTAAAGTGAAATTTTGTTTTATGAAATGTATGCTCACTTTAAATTTGATGCAAGCTACAGATTCCAAAATGGTGGTGAATGTTTATCACCGTTGCATCACCTCTTCATTCAACAACACTCTGTACATGTTTCTGCTCAGTCAAACACTGATTACAGGGTCCATGATTTCCAAAAAGAATGACAGCTTTTGTTGGATTTTCAGACTAGGGGACAACTCTATCTTGGATGAGCTCAGGCCTGGAGTCACTGACTTTGCTGGATCATGTTTATATTTTGTTATCCTCTTTCCATGAATCAGTTTTAACCTGCATTTGTGGATGCAGTGATGAACTGTGTTCTTGGACAATGGTGATTTAGAGCTCATGTAGTGATCCCTTCTACAAAATCCTCTCTGTTTTTGATACAGTGCTGCCTTAGGGCCTGGAGATCAGGACCATCCAGTATTGTTTTGGGTCCTTATCCCTTTTGTAAAGAGATTTCTCTGATTCTTTTAATGATATTATGAACTGTAGATGATGAAATCTACTCATTCTTTCATATTTGACACCCAGGAACATTATTCTGAAACTGTTGAACTATTATCTCACAGTCTCTCACAGAGTGGTGACACTGTTTCTGTGCAAACCTGTTTTGGTTTATGTTTTGTAATTATGCTTTATCTTTGTCAGCTGATTTTGGGCTTTTTGTTGTGTATAAAAGATACAGTCACAGTGGTGTCACCAGTGTTTTTTCTGAAGTGGAGTTTAAAGCATAACCGAAATGCTAACTCAACCTTACTATTGGCCAGCCGAACAACAGGCAAACAGGTGGAGCTAAGGTGGACCCATAGGCTTCTTGCTAACAGCCCAAAATGTATAACCTAAATAACTTTTAAAACAGACATTGCTTCAAATAGCTATAACTTTAATTTACAATTGGTAAAATCAGGAATGAGTGATCTAAATTTTGTGATATTTCTTCAGTAAGATCCAGATGGCTTTCCCTCCATATGTTTTGGTGCCATCCTGGTTATGTCTGATCTTTCCTCAGCTGTTTGCCAGTCTGCTGCTTAGACCAGGGTCCTCTGGCAAATCCAGTGAACAGTGGTCACTTTCTTCACCTTCTTCTGTCCATCAACACAGCAGCGGAGCTAATAGCCGAGGATGTCAATGCTATGCTGGCTAGGTACCCCGGCGCTCCGCTGCTTATTCTGTGGGACTTTAACGGATGCAGACTGGACAGTGTTTTACCATCATTCCAACAGTATGTGGATATTCCAACAAGAAGGGGAAACATATTGGATTTATGTTACGGGAACATCGCCTTCCGTGCCCGTTCATATCCACCGCTTGGAGCTGCTGACGACAACGTCATCTGTTTACTTCCGCTCTACAAACAGGAACTAAAGCGCCACAAATCACAGCGCAGCAGTGCCCCCCAGTGGACGGAGGATACCATCACACAACTCCAAGGCTCCTTAGCCTGCACCGACTGGGACATTTTTGATGGCAATCTAGATGACAATCATCATAAATACAGGATCTGTCTCCTTGTCAATGTAAAAAAAAGGCTCAAAATGTCAGTTTAAAGAAAATTAAGTTTAATGGCCAATGAAAAGAGAATATTTCTGATACAGCAGCGCCCTCTAGTGGTCATACTTGACAACTTCACCCAACAGAAAGCGACTCAATCAACTCATTGATGAAGTTCAGCTGTTCAGAGCCAAGAGGATACACTGCAGTTGAAGTTGTGAGGATTAACTCGACTTTTTTTTGTGACCGATTGAAAAACTCAAACTGACAAAGTTTTGATGCTAAAATGCCAAAAAAGAAAAACTTTAGATTAAACAGTTCTCTACTTTTCTTCCTGCTGATGTTTTGGACTCACTGTGACTCACAGGTAAAACTTTCACACAGAAACACAATCAGATGGTTTAGCTTCAGTGAAGTTTGGGGAATTAAATCCTCACATGTTTTGTTTTGTTGTATTTGTAGGTGGACATAGACGAAACCATCAACCCTCCAGGTAAGAGTGAACATTGGCTTTCTCTTCCAGTCTTGAAGGGATTTTTCCATCAAATAACATTTAAGAGTAAAATAACATAAAAAAAAAAAATAATAATAATAAGTTGCACTGATTTGAAGGAGGAACATTTCCTGTGGTCTTATGAATCAAATTCTGACATTCTTATTGAAAATCATCGACTCGCCTAATGAATGCCTAATGAAGATCTGGCTCTGGGAACATCTTGATGATCATTTTGGAGCTCTTTACTTTTCTAGCTCTCCTTGATTTTTTCTGATCATTGTTGCACAACAAAACTGTTTTTTACCCATCAAAACCATGGTATTTATTTTGGCAACCCTGGACAGGAGGTAGTCTGGAAGTCACCAAACTGAAATTTCAAACCCCTGATCCCTGCCGCATCAAAGAAAGGGTTTATTTAAACATCTTTAGGTGCAAATAGGGGGGAGGGTCTGGAGGACTTCCTCTGGGAAATTCAGAGCATCTCACACGAAATTTCTCACATTCTGGTGAATATTTATGAAACAATTGGTGGTAGGGTTTATGAAATGCAGTTATTCTTGCACAATATTAAAGATGAATCTAAATCCATCTTTCACACTTTAATTTATGAGACACTTTCTGAGATTTGATCAAACCTTGTATGTCAACTTAAAGCTCCTGTGAGGAGTTAGTAAAACTGACTAAAATGAACTGATGCACTTCTATGATGTACAAAAGTACACACTTTTAAGTCTTGAGTGAACTACTCATGATCAATAAACCTTACAGAGGTCATTCTTGCATCAGAAAACAGTTTATGATCTGTGTTTACATGTATATTTCTTTTATTCTTATAGTTTAATGTATTTAAAAAGTTATTAAACCTCAAACACACCTTGACACAGAGTCAAAAATGAGATTTTTAAGACCATGACAGCTCCACAATGATGTTACGTGCTGCTCCTCAAGTCTTTGTTACCCCTCAGATGGCTCAGGAGGAGACGGTGGTGGCGCGTTCTTTGCCCTACGGAGCTGCCACCAGCTGCTTCATGGTGACAGTGGCGAGTTCTTCTCCCCAGACTACCTCTGCTCCAACCCCCCTCTGTGGTGCAACTGGACCATCAAGGTGGATCCAGGAAAGAGGATCCATCTCAACATGGAGGACCTGACCCCTGATGACACCTGCCACCTCAAACAGGACCAGCTCCATGTGGATGAGCCTGCTGGACTCTTTTCAGGTCACAAAGTCCTGCAGAAGTGCTGGAGGGAGGCCAAGTTTACATCCTCCTCTAACACCCTTTACGTGGTGCTGCTGATTGGGGGTCAACCCAACCCACCATACAGGGGCTTCCACGGACGCTACCTGGCATTTGGACCACCAGTGGTTTATAACCCGCTGGAGGGGCCCTCACAGAGACACAGGATATCAGAACCGTCTCTTGGGGTTGATTTATTTGATATGAAAAGTGAACAAGAAGAGTCAGATTCACAGGTCTATCCAGAAAGTCTTGATCCAGATCTGATGTCCGATTATTATGATCAACATGCAGCTATGACTTCTGAGCTGCCCTGGGAGGAGGAGGACTCAGACTCAGAGGTTGGAAACACACTATGACATATTGCTAATTGTTGCACTAATTGAGAATTTAACATCAGATGGAGGACTAATATATGTAAAGTTCGAGCTCAAAGAACATTTGCAAACAGCAGCAGCTTGTTCCTACATACTTGTTGAAAGCTTGTGTAGGTGCACAGCAATAAATGACAGTGTCATCAGTGTAAAGGGAAAAAGAAACAGACGATACGTGAAGATACTAAATGATAATGAAGAACCAGGTCAAGGAATTTTGTCAGTTTTTTCAGTTTTTTTCTCCTTTGAGACTTTACCTGCAGTTTAGTTCATTTTTGTCCTTCACTCTGAATTTGTCATATTATTCTTTTGAAATTCTTTCGTCATCTTTGTTATTTTGTCGTCTTAGGTGAGTGAAAACCAACGTCCAGCCTTGGTGAACTTCAACCATATTCACCCGTTCACAGTCCAGCCCACAGCCCCCACATCCACACATGAGACCTCCAGATCAGAGCGAGACGCTGAGCAGACCCCTTCAGTCCCGTCTGACATGCCTTGGTCTCCACAGCAGGAGACCACCACCCCAACACCAGCAGCAGTATGGAGGAATATGGAGGAGGACTTGAAACCTCCAGTGGAAGCAGTTGTCTCAGAGGAAGATGAGGAAAAGAATGAGGAGACTGAGGCCTCAGACCAGACTCTTCCCCCCTCTGAAGGACCAGAACCAGAGGAGCCCACTCACCCTCACCCTAACATGGTGGAGCTGCTGACAGACTACAGAGGAGACTGTGAGTTTATCTTTGTTTGATGTGCATATCTTATTTCTGTATCAAACCAGGGAAATCCGGGTTAATGTTAAAAAAAAACCTTTCTAATGTTTTTCTCTGGTAGATAACGTCAGAAATCGCTCTGAAAGTCCACATCTGCCTGGTGGTGAGTACAGCAAAAAAATCTCTGGATAAGGACTGTAGTACCACAAATATGTCCTGTACTTTCTTTGTACCTCACCTGAACTGTGTTTAAAAAAGGACTCTGCATAGACTCTCAGAAGAACAATTTTTTGCAAGTGGCAAAATAAGATGGCTCATTTACTTATTATATGTCAGTGTCTTAAAATTACTCACAGAAATATAAAGTCTGCACGACACTTTCCTGATAGTTGTGAAAATTGATAATGAAGACAGAGCAGGTAAATGCAAATAAATCTATGTGCACACTAACATGGCCACCTTTGTTATCGCAGATCTATTATTGTGCCACCCCAGTCAAAAAAGTCTGGACAGAGGGAACAGAAGGATCTGTCAGGCTGTCAAGTTTGTGCAATAAAAGCTACAAGAAAACAGGTGTTGATTTTTTCTGTTGGCTCTTTGTCTCTCAGATCACCTGTTTGAGGTGGGCATTGAGGCGACTTTCCAGCATGAGTCAGAGGAGTCCTGGGACCAGGTCTCCAAGTCCCTGAAGCAGCCTGTGAAGACTCTGGTAGGTGGTCGAAAACAAATAGAAGCTGGTAAAGGTACTGTTTGATGCTCTGAACCTGTGGGTGGATTGGTTTTCCTCTTTTTTGTCTGTTTTTCAGTCACTGCTCACAAATATGTTTCCTTAGTCAGGGCCCTGTCCCTCAGGTGTCTGTCCTGGGCCCTCTGTTGTTCTCTTTATGCCTGCTCTGGTATCCTATAAGGACATTCAAAGGTGTCTCTTATCATTTATATACCAATAACATTCAGCTGTACATGTCTTGTAAACCTATAAATGTCTCTAAACTGTTCATCTAAAATGACTGTGTGAGCTGTATTAACATGTGGATGGCTGATCATTTTCTCCAGACATACCTTGTATGAGCAGTATTTGTCTGCATGTGTGTAGGGCTGGGCGATAAAACAGTAACCATATATATCAAAAATTAATTTCCCTCAATATCAATTTAAAACATGGTCAGTATCCTTTTTGATAGTCAGCATTATGCCATGTTTTGGTAGACTTAACGAAGAGCCAATGAAAAGAGGAGTTTCTCAGGGTCCGCTTTGCGCTGAACCAATCGTGCTGAATTAGAACCAAGTATCAAACAACTGTGTAGTAGCAGGCAGCAGCTACACGCAGCCATAGCACTTTAATACATGAAGCCGACAGCACTGTCGGTGAAGAAAAAAAGAAAATGGGTGTTACCCCCCGGCAGAAATGCAGATGAAGGCTCAACAGGTGATGACATCATCATCAACAACACTGGCATGAAGACGTCGCTGGTGTGGAGGTATTTTGGTTTTTTGAGGTCAGACATGAAGCAGAGTAAAGTGCACTGTAAATTATGTCAAGTACGTGTTCCCACAAAGTCAGGGAATACCTCAAATCTTTTTCATCTTTTTCTGTAGTGTAATGGTTGTTTTATCGAGGCTGTGGTTATCAAACATTGCACCGAGAATTGAGGATTTTTGCATGGCAAAGCAGGCTCAGGTCTCACATAAACATCACCTACTAGTGCCGGGAGGGGGGGTTCATGCTTTGTTTTGCTTTTATTATTTTATCATGTTATCGTGAAGCACTTTGACGCCTGGTCTTGAAGGCTGCTGTATAAAGAAGTTTATTATTATCATTTAAATGTCGACTTATTCAGTTAAATATCAGAGAAGGACTCGAGGCTGAGGAGAGCTGAGGAGCTGACGCTGTTTTCCGTCTCTTGCAGATTAATCAGAAACTGGAGTCTCTGCACAGGTCGCTGTTAGTGTTTACCAAAAGAATAAAAAGGTTAGTTGGCGATATTCCTCACTTACACATAAACTTTCAAACAAGATGTAACAAACTTGAAGAATTTCTACGAAATTAGCCCTTTTTTCCCCAAAAATTTATCCAAATATACCTCAAAGTCTGTGTAAATTTCAGGGTTTAAATTGATCCCAACTTTCTGTTGTGTGCAGGTTAAGAGCGGGGGCACTGTTCATCTTCTGGCTGCAGGTCAGAAAAGGACCTCCACATATCCACGAGACCGTCCACTTTAGCCTGCCTGGACTTGAAAGCACACCTATCGTCAATATGAGAGGGAAACCAGACAGAGGAGTCATTGTGTCCGTGTCCATAGCAGGTTCAGCCATCTTTACTCTTACCTTTAAAAGCACAGTTTGAAGGAAAAGACTGTCTGACTACAAGCGCTGAAGCTTTGACTATCTTTAAAAACACTAAGTACACTTTAACAGGCTTTAAAAAGTCTTAAATTCATGTTTCATGTGACCCCATTTGCTTTGGTACTCATGCCAGCTTCCAAAAACTGTTGAACTTTATGATAGATTATATAAAAACGGTTGTTTATGAACACAGTGGCTCTCTGTCTGTGTTTTAGATGTGAACGAGTGTGGCACCCAGATGATGATGTGTGACATTAATGCAGACTGTGTTAACCAGTTTGGTTCGTACTTGTGCCGCTGTAAGCCTGGCTTCAGAGATACATCTCGCATCGGAGAAGGAGGGACTGTGTGTGCTGATACCAAAGCTGCAGGTATGGATGCTTAAATGTGGAGTTTAGGTTTATATTTAGCCCTGTTTTTTAAAAAAATATTTAGAGCTTAAGAGGGTTTGAAGTTCTGTAAAGACCAATCCTGAAACTGCTTTAGAATATTTGAACACAGATGTGTAAAAATGTGCTATAAGCAGAGTTGTAATTCATGCAGGTACAGAGATTAATCGATTGTTAATATTTCAACATCCCTGAACTCACAAAATGAAAGCTGCAGTAGACCAGCAACTCCCTTGTTCTGTGAGGTAAAATGACTGTTTTATCAAGTGAGTTTGGTGTAACAGCTGAGATTGTAAAAAGAGGGCTGATGTTTACAAAGTCTGGGATTACTTGTTCACTTCCTGCCCCCCTGTGCCTCCTCTTCCTCCTGCAGGCTGCAGCTCAGGCGTCTCTGCAGAGACCAAAGGTGTCTACGTGCTCTTCTTCCTGCTCAGCTGCCTCATCTTCATGCTGCTGGCGGTGGCTGGCATGCTCTACCACCGTCACCACCGGGGGGCGTTCCTGGTCCGCTGCCGTAGCAACATCTCACTCCACGACCCCAACAACAACCGTCGTGAAGGTGACCCCAACCTGACGCCTCCACCTCCTCCCCCGCCAGCTCGGAGCTTTAGGGAGGGCTGGCCTCAGGTGAAGGAGCACCTCCCCCCCGTCGACCTGCCGCTGCTGCGCTTCAGCCCACTGCTGCCACAGGAGGGCGGATAGATGTAGACGGATGGAGGTCCAGGAGCTGTGATGATCCACAGTGTCTTAACTCGACACATTCAAACCTTTTTATTTATTTATTTTCTTTTTCCTGATACTAATGCTTCATGTTTGTGATCTTTAAATTAAAGTCACAAAACAACATTTCCTCTCTGAGCTTTTTTTGGGACATAGAAATGATGACGAATGTTGACCAAGCCCACCAGAAATCACTTACCACAAACTTTACCCCTTTCCGAGCCTAAAGCTCAGTGGCATTAACTCATTCATTGACCTCTCTTTTTTTCCAAACTCTTGAACACTTACACTCACTTGGGCAGTCTGTGGATCTCCTTTGCACTCCACTCTGACCTGGGTCAACAATGCGCCTTTATAGGTGCAACTCAGAAGAAATTGGAAGAGTTGTTTTGTTGTTCTGGCTCTAGGACACACCAGCTAGACTCTGGGTCTGCAGAGGACCTTTGGCCTCTCAATTTCAGACCGGCCACCCTGCATGGCCGTGTGCAGGGAGTGAAGTGCAGTCTGTGCGGGCCCACCTAGTCCGAACCTGTTTAATAGGCTTACAGCAGCTAATCCAGGCGATACACTGTCACATGGGGAGTCTGCTGACCTGACTCTGCTGTATGACACACTTAGCTGAAGAAACTGAGCTTTTCTTTTGCATTTGGAGTCTCTTCGTGCTTAATGAGCATCAAGAGAGCTGTTTTTTATCTTTTAGTTATTATCTTTCTGCTTCTAAGAGAGGTCTGTTTATAAAAGCCTCTTGACCCTCCATGTTGAGCTGAACCATGAGAATCAATCTGGACAAGATAGAAAACACCATATGCAGACTCTTGACCTCATATTTAAGAAATATTCATTTATCATGGATATACTGTCAACACAAAACAAAATACATACCACATCTGTGATCCATGTTGACCACAGCTGGACTTTTAGCTGCTAACTTTATCTACAGATGACAGTAAAACAAAGCTAAACATGTTTATAAATACCAAACCTGCAAAAATCCAAACTTTATAATCAGATATCACGCAAACAGACACTGAATAATAGCCATACTAGCAAGAAATCAATTGCGGAAAGGCCGAGAAGCCTGTGGTTAGGAGGTTGTTTTATGCATACTGACAACAACAACTCTCTCAGAGGGCCCCTCAGATGCAAAAATCCCAGAGTAAGATGAACATCCAGCAGGTTTTAGAGGTGGGATGCTTTGTTTTACTGGTTTTCCACTCAAATAAAGGAAGATGCAGCTTGGGGTGCTACTTCTTACACAGCTGTGTAGTTATAATGACCTCAAAGTATTCCTTTTAACATTTTAGGCTCACCGTTAGCCTTATGAGGGTCCTCTGTTTTCTGGTGAGGTTTAGTCTGGACATGGTGGTGCTGTATGTATGTAGTATAGTACCACACATGCTAATCAGTCTCTTTCAAAGTAAAGTTGGCAATGGAGCAGTCAGCCTGTCTACATCATGGGGTGGAGGGGGTGGTTGTGATGGTGGGGGTCATCTCTCACTTTTATGCTTTCTTTCTGTCTCTGTTGGCAGTCTGAGGTCAAGGAGGGCGCTCCTCCTCCTCCCTCACCTCCTCCAGTGCTCCCCATCTGACCATCCATGCTGAGCTTCACCTGTCGAGCAGCATCCCCCACACATAATCCCCCGCCTTCAACACCTTCTGTTACTGTAGAGGCCTTTATTCTCAGGTGTGTTGGTTGTGGGGGTTAAATCACTAAAGCTTGAGCGCATGAATGAATTTGAATCCTGATTGTGATGAACTCTGAGTTTTGATGCTGTTGCCTGATCTTCTGTCTTATTCATCCTGATAATCAAACTGTGCATCCTCTTTTTCTTCCTCATGTAAAAGCTGCAGCTGCCTTTACAAATGCACTTTTCATCTTATTACTGCACTTTATTCTGTAGATATTTTCATGAAATTTGTGCTTTGCATACAATATGTTTTCTTGTAAATTTCCTGCGGTCTGAGGTGCAAGTTTCCAGAATTAAAGACACCAGCTGCCAAGCTCAGGAGGTTACATGACTTATGTTCTTCTGTGCAAAGCATTATGGATATAAAAGCACAGCATAGAGATACAAGAGGACATCCTGGTACTTTTACATTTGATATGTATTGATTAATATCTTCCGATAGAACCTCTAGTTTTCCAGCTTTTTATATTTGTAGTAATATTCAAATCTTGCTATATTAATAATAAGTCTTGAGACTTGTGGTGGTGCTTTGACTTTACACACCTGCGTACATCCCAGGTATCTAATGGGTCACCTTCAGTCCGTCCTTCAGCTCTCTTTGTCCTCTTGCCTCCTTGTGAAGCAGCAGCAGCGGCAGCAGCAGTCTGTCCCTCTCTGTGTGCAGTCGGAGGCCACCAGGCTAGGTGTGTGTCAGACCACAGAGGTAGAAAAGCAGTGATCTGCTCTGTTAGAGCCTCATGGACTCCACACAGAGAGCAGAGCTGTCCTCACAGAGTTGGGGCTTAACGAGCCACCACCACCAGCAGCAGCAGCAGCTGGGTGGGTGGTCATCAGAGGTCTGTTGAGGGTCAAAACCACCATCAGGAACAGAGTCCAACATGTTTATGTCAGGGGTAATATAGATGCTGCAGGATGAGAAAGCATGGGTGCATTAAAGGAGACCTATTGTGCCCAAACTGTACATGCATATATGATGATGATACTCAGCCTCAGAAAAGCTTAAAACATGTAAAGATCTTGAGTATGCTGCTTACACCCAACTCTATGATACATGTATTCCAGCCAATAGCATCAACACGTTCATCATCCAAGAGCTGCTGACTCACTCCAGCCACATGAAGCTGGATTTTCTCATGCACCAGGAGGGACCCAGGGACCACTGCGCCAGCATAGTCTGAGGATCTCATCTCAGTGCCGAACAGCAGTCAAGGTACCTCTGCTTCGCACATGGAGGCCCTCCAGGGATACGCCTCTCGTACTATTACTGACCCACCTCCAAAGCGGTCCTGCTGGAGGATGTTTCGGGCAGCAGAAAATTCTTCAGACTCTCGTGTCTGTCACATGTGGTCAGCATGAGCCTGCTCTCATCTGGGTGCTGATGGTGAATCTGCCATTTTTGTCACAGTGATGGGAGACACACCAAACCTTCTGGCTCTGGTGCACATGGATGTGTTCACAATCATTCTTATATCAATATCTCGGAAGCGTGATTGACTTTGAGAAACATTGCCATGGTATATATCAACATATCTTACTCTGTTACTCTAGTGAAATTCAACAAGGTGTTTTCAGGGCAGCAAATCATGTAAGTCTACTCTGTGGGTGTCTCAAAACAATAGAATGGATGGTAAAAATGGGTATAATCCCACCCTGTGCAACATAAGAGGATAACCCCTGACCTCCAGCTTCATGTTTTTATCAGTTATTGTCTGAAAGTATTCGGCAACTCAGGGGGTCAAACTTTAAACAACAGAAAATGACCGAGAATATCAACAGACTCGCCAAAATGGGCCGTAGTGGGACTCTGAGTGATCCATATGACCTGATTCTATCAGAAATTTAATGGAGAGTTTTAACCTGCTCATCTCTGAGGTGGATATCATGGCTGTTCACGGCTCAGTTAGTGCATCAGTGTGTGAGTTTATTTTTTTTCTACACACTGGTCCAGGTCAGATAAACAGCTGAAGAAACGCTGACCCTGCATCCTGAATGATTCCGGCAGCAGGTCAGTAATCTCCTCAGTGTTTAATACCTGATCTCAGTGTAACAGGCTTCATTATATCAGGAGAATCACTCTCAGGGTTCCCACTCGGCTCCTCCGCAATTTATTTTTCTATTAGCCAAGTGTGTGAAGTGTGATTGGACGAAGAGCTGCTGGGTAAGATAAGAGCACGGTCAGAGACCCAGCTCACACAAACACACACACTGAACACACACTCTACAGTGATTACAGAAAGACTGACTGGTTATGATCGGTCCCATGGGTCTGCATGAAAATGTCAACTCATCATTTTCTGTTCATAAAATTTTTGATAAATTCTCTTGTTTTTAGAGCTCAGATAAAAATGTTACCCTAGAGTCATAAGAGTGAATTTGGGCGAATCATCAGTGATGAACAAGGCGGTACACCTGTGTTTAATTTAGGCTGCTCACTCATTTCCACATATGAATGGTTTTGGAAGTGATTTTGAGCCCATCCAGTGATTTTCACGTCAAAGCTGTGACTGTTTTGTAATTTTTTATAACAGGTTAAGGTAACCAGTTTATTAAGGAGAGTGGCGTAAATTTTGAAACAATCTTTCTTGAGGATGTAATGCAGACTGCTGTCCCCCAATCTGCCCCTAAACATCCCGTCACTGCCGTCACCTTTTTAACCTCCTGTGTACTCTGAACAGATGCTGATCAATAAGATGACATCTGTTCTTTGCAGGGACCCACACCATTGCCTACTGGCAAAAGGGACAACCCCCCACTCACCTCAACTCAAAAAAACAAAAATAAATTGACATGACAAAGCAGCAGAAATGCAAAAGTTGAGATACGAATTGTTTGAAATGGATTTAAGGTTCACAAAGACCAGAATATAAATAGGTTAAAGTGTAAAGAACTGATCCCTCGGTTCAGTATTCTCAGATAGTTGTGTTCCTTCTCAAATATTATCATTTTAAGTTTCTTCTGCATAGATCTTTGTTATAACCTCATATTAATCTTCTCAAGCAAAGATCTCCCTTCAATTGCTATTATCTTTTTCTTCCCCTGCAAAGATCTCTTTTCTGAAGCATTAACGCCTCCTACAAAGTGATCCTCACAAACAAAATCTCCTCTTGAACAATATTTTTCAACTTCTTTTGCCAAGATAACCCCTAAAAGCATTATTATTTTTTGCTTCTCTTAAGAAGGTCTCCCAAATTTTCAACTTCTCTGTGAAAATCCTCCTCCAAACCCATTATCTCCAGGTACTCTTGCAAAGTCCTCCTTTCTAAAGAATTGCTTCCAACTCCCCCTGCTTTTTAGGCCTTTCCTGCAAAGATCTTTTTCAAAAGGCATTTCCAGCTCTTCCAGCTTCAGAGCTCTCAGGTCTAAATAATTGACAGTTTTTCTTGCAAAGATCTCCTTTCAAACAGCAATATAATTAACTTCATCGGCACAAGACCTCCTCTCAAAGATTACCCTGCAAGAAGTATTATTTTCAGCTTTTCCTGTAAGAATCACCTTTTGATTGGCACTGTTCTTAGTTTCTCCTGTAAATTCCCATCCATCTTACACCCAGTTACTTTCTTCTGTTTTTGCAAGATTCTCTTTGCACTTTCTTTTTTCTCTTTCTTTTTTTCTGCATCTCCTGCAAAAAGCTCCTCTTAGACAACATCGTTATCAACAACTTTGCAGAGTTTCCTCTCTTGCCAATGCTAATTGCTCTTTCTTAAACTTTAATGACAGGTTCAACAACTTGTGGGACAAGTAAAGGAGTATCTTATCCTAACCCTCATGATGGACTTGGTTTAACACATAGACTGTATATAGAATGGACGCCATCTGCCTCCTTGTTGGATAAAGCCACCTTGAGAACAGCACCCTCTGGGGACGAGCTGCAGTATACGTCATAAATCCTGCCTCCTCCAGCAATCCCTATGGAGCTGTAGACAAACTTTGAAAATTTATTACACAGAATATACACTTTTCTCCCCTGGTTGTGATGTTGACATGTAGTTATTGTAAGACTGGTTTGTGCTCAAGTCCTCTTTTTTCTGTACAGCTCCATTTTTAAAAGTTATTAGGGGGTTCATGTTTTCTATGATTGACACTTGATAGAGGCTATGGGCGCACGAAGATTGCGTTGCTCATCCGGGTGTTACGCTGTTTGAAGTGTCATCACAGCGACTCTCCCGCTGAATGCGTATAATGCTACTGCGCAATGTTGGTTTCAGGAAGTGGAGAAAAAACATGGAATTATCAAGAACTTTTCAGCTTCAAATCGTTATACTGGCAGAAGGCGGAACCAAGTTGTCCATAGTATATACAGTCTGTGGTTTAACATGTTGCTGCGTGCCTTTATTTCTATCTCAGTTAAAGACACAACCCTTTTGCTGCCTCACTGACTGATGGTGTTAAATGCAGTTTGGACCCATTTGTGCTCTCAGAAGCTCCTACCTCTTGTACTGAAATTAACAAAGTGATTTGGGGCCTGAAACATTTATATTCAAGAGCAATCTGACTTAACACACATTGACATATCTACATTTTTACATGATGGAGTGGCCTCCAGTTTAGCTTTTGCTACAGCAGATGTTAGGTATTTAGGAATCACCAAACCTGCAAGTTTTATTGTGTTTATGCAGTCATCCTTAGCACAAATTCAGCGCTTTTATGAAGCTCAATGAAGAATCAATGCAACAGGCTTTACCTGTAGCCTTTGTCAGAAATCATCCAGAAATACCACGAACGATGAATACTGCTTTCTGTTTACGCTGGAACACATGACAGAGACATAAAGACTGTGAAAACTTGCTTCTGGTTTCGTCACATCCACAGAGACAATAGACCGAGCTCAAACCCTGCCATGATCCAGGGGATAATAAACCTATTCAGCACACAGAAAATGTAACTACCGCATGGAGATAATGCCAAAAAATATAACAAACAGATCTGCAGTGATCAAAATTCTCCTAGAGGGGGCAGTGTGGAGCCTCGGCCTCTCTCTGCCTCTCTCCTCAGGCTTTAATCATTTGTCAGGCACAATAAGAGAAGCATTTATAGTCATATCCCTGTAATAAAGGAGCTGTCTCTTTGTCCCTTTTCATTCAACACATTGTCACGACCCAGAGGCTTAATCCTGCAAACTGACGGACAGTTGCATCCTGGGAAAAGAGCCGCATGCCATTGTTTGAGTGAGTCAAATCTGTTAAGCCCTAATTCTTTTGTGGGCATTTGCATACTCGGAAGTATTCTTTTACTGAAGGGCCAAATCCTCCTTGTGTGTGATGTGAGGTGTTTTTAGTATCATTTGTGCAGTATCTACATGCACTATTAGCGCTGCATAATACCCGCATATAATACAGCCACATAATCTCACAGATAAGGTTTTTTTTTATAAAGTGTGGCTTTGAAACAGGATGAAACGCTGCAATTTCCAGCGGATTCAAACAGGCTCAAATGTCATCAGAAATGACAAGAGCCTCTGCAGAGACAGGATACCACCATGCTTATATTTTTATCGTTTCATCACCCGTCTGATTCCTCAAATTTAGTGTGCAGTTGAAAGGCCCAGGATAGGCTGATGTTATGGGTCTGGTGTTATGAGAAAGATGGCTACTAGCCTCTTTCTTCCTCTCTTATGTCTCTTTTCTCTTCTTCCTCTGATTTTCTCTCCTCTCTTCTTCTGACAGACTTTCTCCATCTTGCTGATAAACTGTTTTTTATCTGTGTGAGGCGTCCTGCACACTGTGGTTCACTCGTTCTTATCCTCTGTTGGCTGTTTTTCAGCTTCTCTCTGGAGTCCTTTCTGCAGACGCTCTGATAAGATTATTGAGGTGTGATGGCAGGAGGAGAGTGGAGGTGTGACTGTGTTTCCTGTTAAGCGAAACTGTGACATACCTTAACTTTCCCCCAAATAGGCTACCTGCTAAGTATAGATACTGGCTTTTGAACTGTAACAAGTCAGGGGGTCTGTCTGCTCTTTGGGCAATGTGGCATCCATGATTTCCAAAAAGAATGACATAGTTTGATTCATCAAACCACTGGATGGTTTTTACACTTTGCCTCAGTCCATCCCTAAGTCATGGGTGTTTCTGGACCATATTTATACCCCAAACACGATACTGTTGACCCATTTTTGCCTTACACACCTAAACAGTTCAGGGTCTCCACTGTTCTGTTGTTTGCTGAAAATAAGCCTTGTGGTTCCTAAGCTCTACAAAGAGGAGGGCATGTCGTCCATGATTTCCAAAAAGAAAGTCAATTTTGTTTCCACTTGTCCTCAGTCCACCCTGAATGAGCTTGGTCCCTGTGAAGCTGTGGGTTTTACTAAATTCAGGAATCTCAAATTCATCCCCTCCTCTGCTTTCTCATCAGCCCTTGCCAGCAGAATGTCTGCCTCCTCTGCCCCCCCCACCTGAAAACCCCTCTGAACTTGTCAGCTTTTACAACCATACTCTATCCTCCTGCCTGGACCAGCTGGCCCCCATCAGAACCAAATATGTCACCTTCAAACACTCAGCTCCCTTGTACACCACCGAACTCTGCGGCATGAAAGCCCATGGGCGCCAACTGGAACGGCTCTGCAAGAAAACCAATCTCAATGTCCACTGCCAAGCCTATGCCGACCACCTTCACCGATACAAAGATGCCCTCAACTCAGCCCGGTCCGCCTACCACTCAAACCTCATCAACTCCAGCTCATCCAACCCAAAGGTCCTCTTCTCCACTATCAACAAACTCCTCAAACCCCATGATAACATCACAGATTCCTTCACAGCCACAAAGTGCAATACCTTTCTGTCATTTTTTCAAGACAAAATCGTCTCCATCCACCACAACCTGGCCACATCCACATTCCATGACCCCTCCCCACCTTCTCCTCCCCCCTTTTCCACCCAGCCACTGTCTCAGTTCTCACCTCTGTCACCAGCCGAGCTCCCCGCACTCATGGGAGGCATGAAAAACTCCACCTGCACTCTGGATCCCATCCCCTCAAGCTTCATCAAGGACTGCCTCCCTGTTATCTCCCCACTCATCACCACAATCGTCAACTCCTCCCTCAGCACTGGTTCCGTCCCTCCATCTCTCAAACTGGCTGCTGTCACCCCATCCTAAAGCAACCTGGACTTAACCCTGAAATAATGAGCAACTTCCGACCAAGCTCCAATCTCACCTTTCTGTCAAAAATACTGGAACGAGCTGTCGCCACCCAAATCAAGACCCACCTCACCTCCAACAATCTGTTTGAACCCTTCCAGTCAGATTTCCGCCGACAACACAGCACAGAAACAGCCCTCCTGAAAGTAACCAATGACCTCCTCCTCTCTTCCGACTCTGGCCACCTCAGCATCCTCATCCCCCTCGACCTTACAGCAGCCTTTGACACCATCAGCCATTTCATCCTCCTCTCCTGACTAGAATCCCCCCTCTGCATCACTGGCATCGCCCTCTCCTGGTTTGGATCCTACCTTTCAGACAGACAACACTTTATCAGCATCAAAAACTGCACCTCCTCCACCGCTCCTCCATGGCGTCCCCCAAGGCTCAGTACTCGGCCCCCTCCTCTTCATCCTCTACATGCTCCCCCTTTGGCAATATCATCCGTCGTCATAGCCTACACTTCCACTGCTACGCTGATGACGTCCAACTGTACATCACCACCAAATCCATCACCACCACAACGCATTCCACCCTCACCCACTGCCTGACCGATGTAAAATCATGAATGCAAACCAACTTCCTCCAGCTGAACGCCAACAAATCAGAACTCATCATCATCAGCCCCAAGACCTCCATCAACAGCGCCCACAACTTCCACCTCTCCATCGACAGCTCGACTCTGCTCCCCTCCCCACACATCCGGAACCTTGGTGTCATCTTCGATCAGAAACTCTCCTTCGAACAACATATCAACCACATCAAAAGAACTGCCTATTTCCACCTCAGAAATATTGCCCCCCCGGCAGCAGAAACCCTCATTCACGCATTCATCACTTTAAGACTGGACTACTGTAACAGCATCCTTTACGGCTCATCATCCAAACTCATCAAAACACTCCAGACCATCCAAAACTCTGCCGCCCGCCTCCTCACCCACACCCGCTCCAGAGACCACATCACCCCTGTCCTCCAAAATCTACACTGGCTCCCTGTTAAACACCGTATCACCTTCAAAATCCTTCTCCTCACCCATAAAGCTCTTCACAATCAGGGCCCCTCCTATATCAGTACCCTGCTCCACCACCATAAGACAAGACCTCAGGAAAGTCCATTACCACAGTGGGGTGAAGCAGCTCAAGGAAGAACATTATGATCACTTTATCATTTCCTTGAAGTAATAATCATCATATAAATCATTTTGCACTGTAGACGCAGTAGTTCTTCTGCCTTAGTGTCTCGGTCTGATTGCATTTCCATGAAGAAATGATAGCTTTGACTGTGTGCAGTACCGACTAAATTTGATCTGGTGAGCACATTAAAATAGTTGCAGAAAAAAAAAGTTTGTAACCAGTGAAGAAAGGGAAAGTTCTCTGCAAAGAAGAGCCAAAGGCAGTGTAATATTTGTACTGATCCTGGCCTCATACAGACCTCTTACTCTGGAACAATGTGACTTAATCTGAAATAAAGCAGAATCATCCTTAAAGCTAAGGAGTGAGAGCACCTCTTATCTGTGTTTCATGTGGATTTCATGCACACTCTGCGTTCATTCAGTCTTCACAGTAGAGATGTTTCAGTGTGTTGCACCATCATTTCCTCTCCGAAGTCACGCAGAGTCAGAGCCACTCTGCATCTGTTCTCTGCTGTTTGTTTGTTTGTTTGTTTTTCTCTCTCCTCCTGTGTGTTTAAGCGTCAATTTCTGCCGGCCAGGGACATGTGAAAAGAGCCACGGCACGAACGGAAAACAAGCCCTGAGAGACGAAGATGAAGAGGAGGAGGGGGGTGAAATGACAAAACGAGGAGGGGAGTGGAGCCCGGGAATAAGCTGCGATTAAACCGAAAGACAATCAGACTGCAGAGATGAGAGGAAGAGAGAGAATAACACAGATACTTACGATGACAATGACAGCAAATACAACAGACGCACTGGGAATGCAGCGTGGTACTCAAAGTGCCAGATCTGGATGTCTCTGAATAAGAGGGAAAGTGTTCAGTTTGAAATCACTGAATAAGAGAGAGTGCGCTGTGGCCTAAAGGCACAATATTAACCATTGCTTTTCACATTTTTAACAAGTTTCGAGCATTGTATTGTTAGGATGTACTCCATAATTTTCAACTTACGCCCAATTTGCGCTAACAGGTTTAGAGATAGACCAAGTTATGATCTGACTTGCCCAGTGGTGGTAAGGCAGTGGCTCTGTAGGCTTCTTTGATGTTGGCATACAGCAGATCCAGGGTCTTGTTTTCTCTGGTAAGACAGGGTGCAGGAAAAGAGGGTCCGATCGATAGTTGAACCTCCGATCGAGGAGGAACAATGCGGGTTTCATCCCGGTCATGGAACAACGGATCAGCTCTTCACCCTCGCTCGGGTTCTTGAGGGGAGATGGGAGTTTGCCCAACCAGTCCACATGTGTTTTGTGGACCTGGAGAAGGCCTACGACCGGGTCCCTAGGGGAATCCTATGGGGGATGCTCCGGGAGTGCGGGGTGGAGGGTTCCTTATTAAGGGCCGTCCAGTCCCTTTACCAAAGGAGCACAAGCTTGGTCCGTGTAGCCGGCTGTAAGTCGGACCTGTTTCCAGTAAGGGTTGGACTCCGCCAGGGCTGCCCTTTGTCACTGGTTCTGTTCACAACCTTTATGGACAGAATTTCTAGGCGCAGCCGGGGGGCAGAGGGTGTCCAGTTCGGCAGGCAGAGGATCGTGTCACTGCTTTTTGCGGATGATGTGGTGCTTCTAGCTTTGTCAAGCAGTGACCTTCAGCTCTTGCTGGGGCGGTTCGCGGCCGAATGTGAAACGGCTGGGATGCGAATCAGCACCTCCAAGTCCGAGGCCATGGTCCTCAGTCGGAAAAAGGTAGATTGCCTTCTCCAGGTCGGAGGGGCGGTCCTGCCTCAAGTGGAGGAGTTCAAGTATCTTGGGATCTTGTTCACGAGTGAGGGTAGGATGAAACGGGAGATTGACAGGCGGATCAGAGCGGTGTCAGCAGTGATGCGGACGCTTAACCAATCAGTCGTGGTGAAGAAAGAGCTGAGCCATAAGGTGAAACTCTTGATTTACCAGTCATCTACATGCCGACTCTCACCTATGGCCATGAACTGTGGGTAATGACCGAAAGAACAAGATCACAGATACAAGCGGCCGAAATGAGCTTCCTTCGCAGGGTGGCCGGGCTCAGCCTTAGAGATAGGGTAAGGAGCTCAGACACTCGGGAGGCACTCAGAGTAGAACCGCTTCTCCTCTATGTCGAGAGGAGTCAGCTGAGGTGGCTCGGACATCTGGTTAGGATGCCTTCTGGATGCCTCCCGTTAGAGGTGTTCCAGACATGTCCCACCGGGAGGATACCTTTGCACCAGCACGGCAACCATGATAACACCTCCTGATGTCGTCTGGAATTGTACGTTGTTGTCCAGATTTGCTTTTCCTCAATGAAAGGAGCTCTTCTTTTGAGTAAACTCTTCACCCAGCAGAAGTATCCATCAGCAGCCAAAAGAATGACAACAACAATATGCTAGCTAAAGCTAAACCTCAGTGGTAAGGCTGTTTAACTCTGGGTAAAAGTGGTCTGATTATTTCAATGCCATAATGAGGTAATATATTTTTGAAGGCCTCTCCAGACAGAGAAAGAGCCATGGTTTACCTAAATGAGTAGCTCATGAATAAAATTGTGCTTCCTCCTCCCTCTCCTCCTCCTCCTCGTTGTCTCGTCTCCTGTGACCCCCCCTCTGCTCCTCTCAGGTCCTTGCCTGTGCGTTTGGTTTTTGTGTTCTGGTTCAGCGGCTCCCTGACGTCCCCACACAACGGCTTTTATGACACATGAGGACTTTTGGGCGTCTTCTGTGTGGAGGCAGTGGACCTGCTCCTCTTAATTAGCACTTTGTCTCTGCCCAGGACTGACCTTTTCTCTGCTGCTCTGTGGATGAATGGACTCCCACCTCTCTGCTGTGTGTTCCTGTGTTATACATGATCACTCCAGTGTGGCTGCAGCTCTATATGAAGCTAGGGATACACTCATGTAGGAAACCTTTACTTCCCCTTCCTTTACATGATTGTATTAAATATTAAGTGACTCAAAATGTAAAAAAAAAAAAAAGTTTGTCCTTTATTTTTTAGCTTTCCATATTCTCGAATGTGAGCCCTGAAAAGCAGCTTGCAAATTTGATGGTGCAAACTTTCCCCCAAACCAAGTTTGAATGCAGAATAACAGTTTTTCTTTTGGAATCAGTGTGTTTCATTTATATTCCATCAAAACGAACAATTTTCTTCACGCAGTAAGTTATATTTTATGGTACGGCTCTGTGTCTCTCTGTTTCATGTGCATTTACAAAAAGTCAGGGCAGGTAGAGCTGCAGCAAAGACCTTGGTTACAATTTACATAACATTATTAAAAATCACAAACATCATAAAAAAGCTAGGCCAAGGTGGAGATGGGTTGCAAGTCACATACTTCTACTCTATGTAATATGCATTCAAAGAAATTGAAGGCAGGGAGAGCAGCAGCAAAGACTAACATGACAATACATATGGCACTGGTAGAAACAAACATGGCAAAAAAAAAAGGTGGAGCGATGGGTTGGGTTACAAATCACACACCTTCACTCTATTTTACCTCCATTCATTAAAACTCAAGGCAGGTAGAGGAGCAGCAAAAACCCCAGTGAAGTCCTCTATTACAGTACACATGATATTACTAAAAATCACAAACAGCATAAAAAGAAAGCGCTGGGGTGTTGCTGGTTTGCAAATCACGCACCTTCACTCTTTTTTATATGCATTTACTGAAAGTCGAGGCAGGGAGAGAAGCAGCAAAACCCCCAGTGACAGTACGAACAACATTGGTTGGATCAAACACAGCATAAAAGGAGGAGCTGGGTGGGAGGCGGAATGCAAAGTAGATGGTGCAGGAAGAGTAGGCAGGTTGAATGTGATAAGATACAGCGCCTAATTTGACATTTACCACTTAGATAAGCCGAGCTGTTAGCAAATGGGCTCTTGTTAAAATCAGCTTGAGTGTTATAGGCTGAGCTGGACGTCCTAGCTTGCCTGAACCAGCACTCAACACAATATAGGCTGTGGATATTATAATTCAAGAGAAACACAATGACATCATTAACTTTCTAGGAAATGGGTGACAAAACCGGTGAGTAATGATCCAGCTCATGTGACTAATGCATCTAACACACACACACACACGCACGCACGCACGCGCGCACGCACACACACACACACACACAATTTGCTCCACCATGTCTCCCCCCGAGCTCAGAGACCCTCCAACACATCACCTCCTCCTCCATTTGGAGAATCGGAGATGACCTTTTGCATGAATAAAGTCAAAGAGGATTAAGGCGGCAGAGACCTTTGCAATGTCAGCCGAGGGGAGAAGCAAAGCATCCTCCTTTGAACGTGGGCTGAGTGTCGATGTCTGCGGCTGCCTGAAGGCCTCGCTGTGTGTGCTGGAGAAACACAACAGACAACACACCTTTAGGAAACAGTTAAACCTGTTTGAAATATTGCTCCTGATATTTAATGTTGAGTTACCGTCAAAGCTGTTCATCCGTTTCACTGAAGGAAATAATATCTCTGCTTTATAATCTTATCTGAATTTTAGAACACACATACATAATCCATACCTTACAAGACATAAACACTGAATCCATTTGCCTAAGTATGATAATCTGTCCATCAAAGCAGGATTATAAAGATTAAGATTAGCCGCCTGCTCGACTTCTATCAGGATTAATAGAATTTCATTTTTTCATTATTACCTGTATAGTACCTGCCACAGCCATCTGGAACTGAGCAATTTACACCTTAGAGAACGGTTTTATGAAGAAAGTGATTCAGTGCATAATGACAGTGGACCTTAAAGTAGAAATACAAAGACAGAAAAAGGCAGATAACTATGAAAATACACAACATGTGGCAAAATAGACCGTTTATGCAACAGGATTCCACAAAATAAAAGTCAGCTTTATGGAACAGCATTTCTAAAAGCACAACAACTTTTAAAAGGCTGCTTAATTCTTATATTCTTATAAAGGGCAGCAAAACACAGCTCCAAAAACTGACATCGAACAGTACAATCAATCCATGTTTTTAGGTAGAGTCCACCTGCCGAAGAAGTGGAGGTGTTCTCCTCCACATCAGGCTTTAGCATTCCACGCAAGCTTGTGGAAGGGCAGGGAGCTCACAAACCAGAGCGATACCACCAAATAAAAGTACTGCCGGACAATAATGAATTCTTTCTGATAAAAGCGGTCCTGACTGAGCCCCTTTTTATATCACTGTGAAATTTTTTTGCAGAAAAAAGAAACAAAACAACTTACTAAAACTCAAGCTGCAACCTTTCGTGTTGAAAAATGATGCCACTGTGGAAATGCAGTTTCCTCAGGTGTCCACTTGAGATGTTTTCAGCCTGGTAGAAAACATGGTTTTGGTTTGTATGGCTTGTCAATGCCTTCACAGGCTTTATTCATGGGGAAATTTATTTATTTATTTATTTTTATCATAGTTTGGCTCAGAGTTTTGCAGAGCGATGCATAACTAGGGGTTTGGCTTCTTCGACGGTCTGTTGGTCAGGATTCTTAAAAGCCCCCCCAGGCTTCATATTTTTGCATTTCCAATATGGCAACTGCTTACTGCTGCTTGAAAAAACACTGGAGGACATTCATAGTTTTGGTAATGCATTTTCATGAAAAGAAGAACAAACAACCTCATATTTAGAGTTCAATGAAGAAAATGTTCTGGTTACTGACACCATTGGACGAGGAGGGTGGAGTTTAAGGATATTATTTCAGGGACCTTAATGTTTATGTCAGTACCACCTGGATTCTGCA